CATTTGCAATTAACATTCATTATCAGCACATGTTTTGACCTGAAATAGCTGCCTCGTTTTCCTACAATAGCAACGGCATCTAAAGCTTTGTTTCAATGCTGTTTATCTAAAGTCTATAAATTTTTTTTAAAAAAAATATATAAATACATAAAAAATAAATTTTAGTCGTCGTTTCTCTTGCGCGTACATAGAGTGAATGATAATATTGCGGAATTAACGCTAGCTTATTTTAAAAGGCATTTGCAGAAGCAGTGAGGATGTTAGAGGAAGAGGAGGAACGATAATACTATGAATAGCGAAAAAGCGGCACTTGGGATCGCTGTGAATGATGAAGTTGGCAAGTGGGAAAGTTTTTAACACTAATTTAATTTCTGGTAACAATGCAAAATGCTGCTAGTTTCTAGCTTTTCAACATTGTGTCACTGGAGTCAAATTTTGGGTATGAAAAATTACGCGGGGTGCTTTGATGTTGTGGATGGATTTTGACGCGGGGTGCTTTGATGTTGTGGATGGATTTTGATATGTTTTTTGGTTTTGTAATTTCAGGAGGATGGGAAGTTGAATTGCCTAAATTATTTTACTTAATAAACATTCAAATTATTTTAATTAAAATTCTAATTACAAGCTAGTAAAATCATTGAACTCAAATAATAAATAAATTATCAAATTTTAGTCATCAAAAAAAGTCAACAACTACCAATCAATTGATGCAAATTCAGCTCCTCCTCATCTATTGAAAAAAAAAATCTAAAATTCACATTCGATCTGTTTAGTCAATCATTATGAATAATGTCTATCGAACATCCCCCAATCGTACACTCAATTTTCGGTATCAAACAATGTCGAATTTTAATAAATAAAATCTATTGAACAAAAATTTGTTGGCAATAAATTATCATCTACAAAAAAATTATTATCTCTAGATCTACTTTTTTATTATCGATCAATATTATTAATGTTATTCAAAAATCAAACGGCAAATGCGACGAATAAACGAAAAGTTTTTAAATAATTCAGCAAAAGTTTTGCATTTTTTTTGAAAGTATGGAAATGAAAAATTTTTTGTTCGAGCTCGGAATTTAAAATGTCTGATTTTTTGATGATATTCCCATGTTATGATGAGATTGGAATTTTTTGGGGGTCGGCTGGTGCATTTTGGTGTCTTTTTTAAAAAAAATATAAAAAAGTCTTTGCAATAAAGGACGTCAATCAAATGAAATGAGATAGGATTCGAACTTACATTGCTACCACTAAAGCCCAATACTCTGTCATTGAGCTACCAATTCTACAAACAACATGCAACAAAAATCCCTAATAAACCAAGCATCTAAATCCCGATTACAAAAATCTATCCAACTTGTCCCACTATTATTTATTATAAATGCACATTTCGAGTAGTCTTTCACATACAGACGATGTATAATTTCACATTTTGTGTGCATTGTATCGAAATTTTGTTAGGGACACAACACACAAAAAAAAATAATGATTCATAATGGTGACATAATGAAAATTCACCTGCTATAAATCACGTCCATAAATTCATAAATTATTATGTTGCATATAGACTACTTCATATGTATGAAATCATATTGTTTCGGTGAAATGTTATATTTTTTTAGAGGGTAGAAAAACATTTTTTTTTTTTCAATAAATTTTGCCATTTTTTTGTAGATGAGGACAAAAACTATTTGAGAAAATCATTCAGGCGCCATCTAATCATTAAATTCAATTTTTCCTTTCCTTTCTACCCACATGCCGTGGCACTTTTGTTTCCTCTTTTACTTCTTTGTGTTTCTCTCATTTTTTATATAAATTATTTATGCCTTTTTCTTCTTCGACTTATTCTCGCGACACAAAACATCTCATCTTTTGCTTCATTCGTCCTTACTTTTGTTAACTTTTTGTTTTGCTCGAGCTTGAGGTTGTTTCCTTTTTGAGATGCAGTGTTGGAGTTACTTGTAAAGTGTTTTATTTTTCAAATTTGATAGTTAAAGCTATTAACATGTTTTAACCAAATATACTTTATATATTAATGTGCGTTTATAGCATGCGATTAGGGTTTCATAGATTGTTGATGACAACAAAGGTTCGATTCCTAAAAAGTCTATTAAAGAATGAAATGATTTATGAGAGAAATTTTTTTTTAATTTTCTTGACTGCTTCTTCTTTGCTTTTCTATATTATTGTGCGTTTATAGCATGCGATTAGGGTTTCATAGATTCTTGATGACAACAAAAGTTCGAATCCTAAAAAATCTATTTAAGAATGAAATGAAATATGAGAGCAATTTTTTTTTAATTTTCTTGACTGCTTCCAGCTTCCTGCACTTGTTCTTTTTAGCATTCATAAATCCCAACTCTGTTCATCCATCCACGACTTCCTTCGTATTGTTCCCTTCAAGACAAAATATACACAAATTGTAAATTGAGACTACGATAAAAATGATAATGTGGAAATAAATATGAAAAAAAAAGTTGTATTGAAATATTACTGTAGAATTTATCATCGTAGATTATTTCATGCTCTTTTGTTGATAAGAGACAGTAAAAATAGAGTAAAAGGCCACCTAGATTTACAGCTTGTGACTTCTCGTAGCTTGAATGATAGTGACTAAATAATTGATTTGTTTGAGGTTTTAAAGTTAAAATTTTTTTTTAAGGTTAAAGTTCCACAAAAATCCAATTCAATCCACAAAACTATCGTCCTCAATGTAATCAAAAATTCCCATTCACACGTCCAGAACGCCCTCAATTTCCTCTTCAATGATCATTCTAATCACATAAAAGCAATCAGTAATTATGAAATTTATGATGTCAAATGCATAGAATTGTAATTATCAGATGCATAATGTGCATTCGAAGCTATCAAAATTTGACCATACGACAGTCACAAGCAACCGAACAATGGATTGGTTTTGTGGACTCTTCTGTTGCCGAAGGAAATATAATTTTTTGAATTTGGGGTTTTGATGGTTCAGAGGTTATGTTTGGGAAGGAAAATGAGAAGACGCAAAAGGGTTTTTTGTGTTTCTGACTTGCCAAGGGATGAAGATGGAGATTATAATTTGAATTGTCCATGAAAATTGATAAATAGCTATTAAGAATTCACCCCTCTGTAAATATTAAGGTATGAAGTCATGGATTTTGTGTTGAAATAACTCAAGAACGACTTTAGGAGTGCATTTAGTAAAATATGTTACATAAATCCTGTTATGCGTGCAATTATATGGTATTAAGAATCTTAGTAAACTTCAAATTTATATTAAACTTTAAAAAATAAAGATTTTTACCACATTTTGCATGAAATATGACGAGCATGTCACTCCCTTGACTTCATTACACCATCATGCAACATAATTACATCCCATAACCAATTACGCCATCTCATATGTTTATTGTCTCGTGATTGAAACTATCTATGAAAATGCATGCACTAAAAAGTTATCTAAAATCCCTTGAAATAAGTTGATTTACTTTAATAGGACTTTGATAGTTGATGTGAGTAAGGGATTGTGAAATAATCAAACTTAAGCCTAGTCTTACAGCATAAAATGGGATCTACACTAGCTATAAGCTACTTTATACTATATACTAGATACTAGAGATACTAGATACTAGATACTAGATACTAGATACTAGATACAAAATTTTAGATAATAGATACTAGATGCTAGATACTAGATACTAGATACTAGATACTAGATACTAGATTCTAAATACTATTTACTAGATACCAGATACTAAATTCTAGATAAAAGATACTAGATACTAGATACTAGATACTAGATTCTGGATACTAGATACTAGATACTAGATACTAGATACTAGATACTAGATACTAGATACTAGATACTAAATACTAGATACTAGATTATAGATTAAAAAATAAATTGAAATTAAATTTTCAAAAAGTCTCCCAACAAATTATCACAAGGAACTCGACTTTGTAATTGGATCCATCAACAATATATAAACGTAAATGTTGATGATAAAGTGGTTATGTCATACAAAAAGTCGAGAATTATTATTATTATATCATCATCATTCGCGCTGTCATAATACAATTACCGATTTAATTAAGATGTCCTTTAATAACATGCACAGCTATACAGACGTAATATTGTGGTAATAATACATCAAATACATAAAACTATAAATTAAATGTTGATTTAATGAAAAATCACAATTAAGCTGGGTGGGGCCGTGCATGAGCTAAAGGAGTGTGTGAGTAGTTGAGATACAAAAAGAAAATAATTTAAGTTTGTGGAAATTTTGATGTTTGAAGAGGAAATGAGCGCATTTTTAATTAAAAATTTACGAAAATTATAGTCACACCAAGTCAATAAAATTCCCATCAACCAAGTCAGTCCATCCACATAACAATAAAAAATCATAACAACCCATTCATTCCACAAAACTACGCTAAATGTTAACAGAATACCCAAATGAGCGGGGTGGGGACACAAAAAGGGCAATATTAACCTCCACAAAAGTTTAATTAAAATTGAAAAACATGAGAGAATATCCTACCATAATATTAATTAAATCCGACTATTCCAGTGTATGTATATAGGCACAGATGGTTTTAACGATTTCATCTCACACCCCATCCATTGAATTCTTGACTCTGTAAAAACGGATTTTTCACCACTTTTTCTGTTGGAAAAGAAACTGAAAGGGATTTTTCAATTAGGTTAAGGAGGTTAAAGACATCTTTGAGTACATCCTTTTGTTTTTGTTTCGTTCAGCATTGATTGTGTCGAATTTTTCTGTAATGGAAGAGGAAATTTTTCATTGTGGCTTTTACGGATCGTTGAAGAATTATTAAAAATGGCTAAATGTTGGAATTTAAGAATTTGAGTTTGTATTGAAGCAGTTTGAGATATGTTGTCAATGATTTAGAGTTTGTTGAGAAGAATAAGATCAGTTTAAGACAACTTTAGAATATAAGACCAGTTCAAGTTAATGTTAATGTAAGAACAAGATCAGTTTAAGTCAATGTTAGAAGAACAAGATCAGTTTAAGTCAATGTTAGAAGAACAAGATCAGGTCAAGTCAATGTTAGAAGAACAAGATCAGGTCAAGTCAATGTTAGAAGAACAAGAACAGTTCAAGTCAATGTTAGAAGAACAAGATCAGTTTAATTCAATGTAAGAAGAACAAGATCAGTTTAATTCAATGTTAGAATAGTGAGATCAGTTCAAATCAATGTTAGAAGAACAAGATCAGGTCAAGTCAATGTTAGAAGAACAAGATCAGTTCAAGTCAATGTTAGAAGAACAAGATCAGTTTAATTTAATGTAAGAAGAACAAGATCAGTTTAATTCAATGTCAGAAGAGTGAGATCAGTTCAAGTCAATGTTAGAAGAACAAGATCAGTTTAATTCAATATGCAAACAATGAGATTAGTTCGAGTCAATGTAAGAAGTATAAGATCAGTTCAAGTCAATATGACAGAGATAAGATCAGTTCAAGACAATTTAAAAAGAACGAGATCGGTTCAAGAACAATTCCTGACCAAATGCGTGTTAAATTCCTTCAATATAATTCTACCAAACTTCTTATGGCTAGTGATTAATAACCAAAAACTTCCACATGAATACATTTTAAAATAATCAAGAACTTCCTTTATCTTTACTTACCAAAAAGAACACAAGCAATTTATTTGAATTTATTAATTTTCTAAAGTAATTTTCATTGAGTTCCAGCTGGTTGTTTGTTTCCTCAAACCTTGTGCAATTCACTTTTATCAATTTCAAGACGTTTTCTTCAAAAAACTCTTTTATTGAAAACTTTCTTGCCTTCCATTTCCTTAATTGCTGTTTTCGCTGATGGATTCGTTGATATTCAAGGTCTGAATGACTCCTCGTACTTTAAATTGAGCAAGTGAAACTTTAACGAATTGAAAATCTGATGAATATTTTTTTCAAGTTGATTTGAACTTTTTCTCAAAGGTTGCTGAGCGAAAAGTTTTAAATTATAAAAAGCAATGTTAATCAAAATTAATTTGATTGAAAAGAAAATTGTTTGCATCGACATTAAAGCTATAATTCAACTTCAGCACAGCGAACATAACCGAAAACTAATTTTCAGCTATTGAAAAACATACAAAACTGCAAAGCTCAACAAATCCTTTATCATTACTCAAAATGAAGTAGCATAAAAAGCTGCATTCCGTTGCAAATATAAAAAAAAGCTCTTTTCAAATTACAAAAAGTTAATTATTTAGAACTTAATTAAGAAGAGTAAGTAAGTACACCACAATGCACAACAAAAATATATGTATTGTAGCATATGTACGTACATACATGCCATTGCTGAAGTTCAAATTGTATGCCATAAATTTTCGGTTTCAAAGCAAAAGAGGAGGTAAAATAAAAGTTTTTATGCTTTTGCTAGAGCTTTGTGAGCGTTGGTTACGCATGGCTATAAAAAATTGAATCTTTATGGTTCTTGAAAAATTTGAATTTTAACGGTTTTAAAAAAATTTGAATTTAAACGGTTTTGAAAATTTTGAATTTTAACAGTTTTGAAAAATTTAAAGGTTATCGTTCTTGAAATTTTTGAATTTTAACGGTTTCGAAACTTCTGAATTATTTGAACTTCAAACATATCGATCTCAAAAATCCCTACAGAATAGACAAACAATAGAAACTATATTTACAAATAATACGTTCAAAGAGCAATGTTTGTTCGAACATAATTACATGCAGAGCTAGTTTTCATAGTCAAGTTAATTTTCTCTACTACCAAAAATTTTCATAGGAAAACTTATTACCTACCTTTACCACCTCTACTCAGCATTCTCTTTTCCAAACTCTATGTGTACTCAAACTCTCATCCATTCATGTTGCTGCCATTCTATGTATGCTTTTGCATTAACAAGCAATTTTCATGATGATGAAAGTTTACTGGCAAAAGGCAAATATTTTCTCTCTATTTGTAAATTGCTGCCTTGAAAGTCATTTAGAATTTAAAGAGCACAAAAAAAAGTTTTATGCTGACTCTCTGGATGCCCATTTGTTGCTGCTCATTGTGCGTTAAAAGATGTTGCTTATATAAGCATGAAGGAAAATAATCAAGAAAATGAGGAGTGAGAAAAATTGTGCAAGTTTTGATGCAACAAGACGCAAATTTTCTAATTTTCAAAAACCATTAAAATTTCAAATTTTTGTAAACCGTTAAAAATTCAAATGTTCATAAACTGCTAAAAATTCAAATTATCAGAAACATTTAAATCCCAGACGATGCGTCATTTTAACCACAAGTCTTCTCATTCACCAACAACCCGTTCAATCTCCAGTAGATGAAAAGAATAATTTTTGAAATTACATGCTTATCCAGCAGAAATTGTTGTTCAACAAAAAAAAACTTCATTCGTACATTCCTACGGGCTAATATACCTGAAATCTGTAAAATATCTTTTTCCTATTATTTTGTTCACTTCTACTTTACATTTACAAATAAAATGAATTGAAATGGTCAAAAATTTGTTTGTTGTTTAACAAAACAAGAAGTTTTAAAGTTTTGCTTCAAAATAAAAAATTTTTTGACCCTCCCCCAAACCTTCCTGTTCTCCGGAAGTCCCAAAGAATTTTTTATATATAACAGCACAAAGGTATCAGTTCATTAAGTCCAAGCAAGGATGTCCGGCACAGCTCATCAAAAATTCAAACAATGGATCACAAATTTTATGCTTCATTTTACAGCAACACATTTTTATTTTTTGAGTGAGAGAGGAACGAAATAAGTCAAAAAGGCAGGAGCATGAAAATTGTATGAAATGATATGGAAGTGCTTTTTTAATTACATTTAAATTAACACACAATACATTTCACTGTTGAACTATCTGAATGCCTTATGGGCTTTTGCCAATTTGGAATTTTTTTTACAATTATCAACTACAACTGAATTATTGACTACAAATTATCACAAAATAAAAGAAATTAATTCTGAACACACTTTTTTTTAAATGCGCACAATTAATCATGTGAAAAATTATCTGAAATATTTCGAATGAATAAATAACTGATAAATAGTTTGCAGGAGGTTTAGGTTGATTGGGGATGGAGCGCATTTTTTTGGTACTGTTTAAGGAGGCATTTCCTCTGTGTGAAAGGAAAGAAAAACGAGAGCAATAAATAATAATAATAATAATAATAATAATGATTTTTTTGGTTTATTTTAAGATTATTGTAAGCTTTCATGGTAATAGAGGGGAGGGGGGGAGGGGGTACCTCAACATTTGAACTTTAGAAAATAATTTAAAAAATCTTAACGGATTTTAATTTTTCAAATTGAATCGATTAGTTTACTAGGGTTGAATGACAGGAACAGAGCTAATGGTTAGGAGCCCTTAAGAGCCTGTGACCACCCCCCTCCCCCCTCTAATATCCTGATTACGCTCCTCTGCATACTGCCAAATTCAAACCTGCTTAAAAAATGCAACAACCCCCAAAATTCATCCAGCTATCATCAATAATCCAGCTAAATAATTGGAACAACGCAGCACACACACAGAATATTTTCCATTTTGTGGCATAAATTGTTAATTAATGAGTAAAAATATTTTTAATGAACAGCTATTGAATGTAAATAAAATAAACCAGCAACAGAAGTACCCAAACACAAAAATTCATGAGCACGCTTGACATATTGTATAATCAAATTAGATAGTGAATAATTATAGATGATGGCTATAATAAAAGGGTCAAAAACCGCTGGAGGGGATTTTTTGAATTGTTGTGACTGATAATTGTGAATATGATCAGAGAATTGTAAATTTTTTATTTGATTTATCGTCAATGATATATGAGAACGTGGTAGACAGTTGATAGTTATCGAGGTAAGGCTGTCAATGGCATTTTCATGGCGTTAATAATTTTATAGATTTTGTTGCCAATTTTTAAGTTAATTTTATAAAATTCAATGAATAATATGGAGATGGATTACAAAGTCTCATACAGATCGTATATCAGGAACTAGCCTGCTCATACAGACACTACGAAATTGTTATCAAGAGCCTTTAACGACTTGACAAAAAATTACAAAAATTACAAAAATTTTTATTCAACTTTCAATTTAAACGATCAAACAAGAAGGATGCAACAAAATTGATTTCCTGGACAGTCATTGCTTTGTCTTCTGACAATCTTACCACACCATTTCATGCAGATTCCATGGTGCTCATGGCAGCTTTTTTGCGTTGAATCTGAAATTTTATAATTTTAACTTTGTTCCTTTAATTTTATTAACTTAAACTTTACTGGCTGCTTTTGATTGTTGCGCTGTTGAGATTGTCAGGAAAATTGCAAATAAAATAACAAAAATTGCGAAGATCTTCATTTTTTGGAGCTTGATTAATTCACAACTAGTAAAAAACTTAGAGGAATCGAGTTTGTTGTCATATATTTATAGTTATAAGTGCTATAGCTTTAAAAACAAATTAAGTATACTAAGTACAGAGGTGTAGCTAGAAATTATTTTTGGGGTTCCAATTTTTTTTTTGAAGTTTTCCTAGTTCAGTACTTATCATTAATCTAAAGACTCACGAATGATTTGAGTAGAAGTTCAAAGACCCCTTGGACTTCCACTTCTGGAAATGATTAGCTTGTAGATTCATTTTTACAGTTTTTTTTAATTAAAAGTTGCGGTGTACGTGAAATTTTTACTAATGTGTAGAAAATTTCTACTTAAATAATTTTCAGGTCGTTCAAATGGGAAACAAGCACAAAATTCAAAGAAAATGTTATTACTGATTTTTGATGGATCTCAGCTCTGTTCTCAAACTATTGCTGGTTACAAGACTTAAAAAATTGAAAAAAAATTTCATCTAAGAAGATAATTCAGCTTGAACATCCACAATCCTCCATTGAGTCAATTCTTAAGCCACACGTTCAATTCTAAGCACAATTCCGACGGTCTGCATTTTGAACAACGTAAATTAATTTTATTATTTCGAAACGTATTTGCCTAAAGATAATCACAAAAGTCGCAGTTTTGAAATCAATAAGACAATAAGTCAATAATTTTTAAGACCAAGTCACACCTATAAAAGCTATTTTTACGATTTGACAATTGCATATTTCTATTCAATAATAATTTTAATGCTTTAAAGCTGGAAACTTAAAATAAATATAAAAAATTATGACGTCATTTTATTTCAATGCTGAACGGGGTTATGTTATTATTTTGATGAGCTGTCGAGCGTGACAAAAGTTTGCTGAAATCTGCTATTATCGTATATGACTGATTAAATAATGGGAGAATTTTTTTTATTATTTTGAGAGATTTTCAATGATTTTATGTATTTGTTGACTAATTTTGAGATATGTTCCAAACACCCCCCCCCCCCTAGCTCGAAATCGAAAGTTTAACATTTCTATGCAATTTAAACAATTTAGTAACAAACTTAAAAAAATGAACCTTAAGTTATTAATAGACGTCATTTTTGAACGACCCTATTGCGAATTTGCAAGAATCGTGACTTTTTGTAAACATGCAAGCCAACAATTTAAATGAATCGTGGTTTATACTGGGGGTCCTCGATTTGAATAGGTGTTTTGCAGAGATCGAAGCCGATTTTTTCGGCTTAACTCAATTTTTGATTTTTTTGATAGAAAAAAAGGCATTTAACACCCATTTTAAGTATTTAAATTGAACTTTACATGCTTTACTATGATTCTGTGAAATATTTTTTCAGCATGTAGCTATAGTAAGCTCTGAATTTCAATTTAGCCGATTTTAAGCCGATCGGCTTAAATTTCGGCTTAACATTCTTTAACTTGAAATTCTGAGCTCACTATAGCTACATGCTGAAAAAATATTTCACAGAATCATAATAAAGCATGTAAAGTTCAATTTAAATACTTAAAATGGGTGTCAAATGGCTTTTTTCTATCAAAAAAATCAAAAATTGAGTTAAGCCGAAAAAATCGGCTTCGATCTCTGGTGCTTTGTTCCAGAAAAAATCCTGTTCAAATCGAATATACTCAAATCGATTTGTTTACTTTTTGTATGAAAAATGTCCGTTACAAAAAAAAATCAAATTTTCTATTCAATAATTTTCGTTAATCAAATCGAATCTATTTAAATCAAACCTACTAAAATCCAGGACCCATAGTATTTTGAGCAATTATTATTGTTTGATAAGATGCACATGTTTTTTGACGACAGAGTTAATATTGACAATGATAAAAAGAACTTCAGAAAGGTTGTCAACATCCAAATAGAATAAGCAGTTAACAACTTATAATTTATTCAAATCTTTTTAAACTCTAGATACAAGCATAGCCTGTAAGCACCAAAGATTGAAGATCACAGAAGGAAAAAACAGTTAATTTCTATTTTCAAAAGAATTTTTGAGTCCATTGGACCATTTATTTCAAATTCTTAAATTTAAAATCTACAAAATATCAAAAACAATTTCAAATCAAATATTAAATATTAAAATATCCATAATTCATCCACAAGTTACGTAAGAAGAACACAGCAATATGAACCTTTAGGACAATCTTTAGCTGGCATTCTTATTTTCTCATTACACCATGTCATACATTCACCAAGATATTCTTTGCATGTGTCGCGGTCTTCAATGAGTTCTAAAATAAATAAATAAAAAAGAGTTTAAAACTTGAACTCTGAACAGATTCATTAATCTTCTCGTACCTTTAGAAATTTCTCCACTCGAGAATGTGAAAAAAATGGTAAATAAAAGCACAAAAATCGCCATAAACTTCATCTTCTCAAAATCGTTCCTTACACGGCAAGCAACAAAACAAAACTAAAAGAGAAATTTCGCGTAAACTTAAATGATTTTTTTTTTATTATTTATTTGAAATAAAAGTGATCACATTACGACAAGGTTGAAACCGTAAATGCTTCATAAAATTTTATTTAACGTGACGAAATGCTATGAGCTGTAATGCAAACGTGTGAGAGAATTTTTTTCAAAAGTTGAGTTGAATTCATTCATGAAATGGTTTAGCTGCGAAATGATCGTGTTGTTGCGATCAGTTTGGTGGAATTTGTAGACGTATGAGTGAATGGTAAGTGACTTAATGTAAAGATTGGACCATTAAAACAATTAAATTATTGTTACGGAAGTGTGATACTTTCATTTGTGATGCAATGAACTATTATTTGTATTTTGTAGCTTCTAAGTTTCGATCAGCAGTCTATACAACTAAGATGTATCCATAAGACATTAATTGTGGAGGAATTCGAGTGTATATGTGGAAAATTCGATCGAAAAGTCACTGACTTGAAGATATAGTCACCTGGTTTTTTTTTCTTGACAAAAGCTTGACTCTAGATTAATTGTCTTTTCATCACGACTTCTTTATCGTGCTGTGTTTGATATGTTTATAATACTTCAAGCATCATGTTTGTAGATAAAAATGGATTATGTAAATGAGATCAATGATCTACCCAGATCTACCTTGGGGTCATTTACTTATAAGCTTTTACTTCCTTCCTTGTAATGCTTAAAGCACATTGCCGCATGTTCTTAGAAGGTTTAAACTTAAGAGAAAAAAAGATACACGTAACACTAAGTGCTTGATGAGAAATATGAGATTTTTTGCATCCCAAGGTCCAGCAGGAACATAGGAGATGATCAACATCAGTAAAACTACATCAGATTTTTCTGAATTTAAGTCTATTCCTTTTTCAACACCTCTCTATGAGGTCAGTGTAAAGTATCTATGATTTAATAACATACTTACTTACTTCTTTTGGCTGAGCCCATTGTCTCATTCAAAGATCGTCTAAAATCAGCTTTAACCTTCGAGATCTTCTGCTAGTTCGGGTCCTTATCAACACATCCAATCCAGGTGTTCTATGGTCTTCCTCTAGATCTCTTTCTATCAATAAAGTCTCCAACTGTTACTATAAAAACCGGGGCATCTTGTAGACAATTCATTTAATAACCAACAACTTATAAAAATGCGCCTCATCCTTCTTCCTCAACATCTTCTCAACTTGCATTATTTATTTTCGCTCATTTCATTTCATACATTCGAACGTATGCGTTTCACATGAGAAAGAAGGCAAGCAAGCAAGCGAGAGCGAGAAAAGAACTGAACATGAAATTCAAATGTGGAGAATTTACGACTTTGAATGAGTAAACTCAGAAAAAAAAATTGATGTATACGTTGCAGCTATAAAAACGTATCTCTTTTTAATTTATGAGAATAATAATCTTGTTGATACTTGTTTATATTTTGCCGGATTGTTTTTGATTCAATTGTTTTGATGTGATGATGATGATGATTGGAGTTTGGTGTGAAAGGGGAATTTTTGAGATTTGAATTCTATGGAATTTGGATGTTCATTGTTATTTTAAATTCTAATTTTGATGATCAATGCATTTAAATTAGAGGCGATTAAGAAATAGATCATTCATAGTTAAAGCTTAAGCTAGAGGTGACCAATCATCGTAATTGACACACACAAATCATTTAAAAATCCAAAAAGCTGCAACAAAATTAAAATAAAAACTCAAAACTTAATCTTCAGATGCCAAACTTTATTATTGCATTATATTCCCAATTCCATTTTAATTTGTAAAGTTATAGTCACTAGCACATGACTTAAACTCTTTGTAATTCAACATTTTCAATGCTTTGATATTCGCTGCTGACTTTTGAATATAAAGCATATAGAATATAGATGAAATAAAGATGCAAAATACCTGGGAAAATAACTAGAAGATAACCTTTAGATGAAAAGGCTGAGAGTTCCCAAAAGAATCCCATGATCGTCGATACAATATAGTAGACGAAAACGTGATGGATGAAAGCTGGATTTCGCTGGAAAAATGAGAAGATAAATTTAATTTTAATGTTTTCAAAAAGATTTTAAAAGGTTTGATAACTTTTGGGTTGTTCAATTACAAAGATCATCACAAATTCAATTAAATTTATCAACTTACCTTCTTAATACCCAGCAACAGAACTGCCAAAAGAATCACTTCAGCCACAGCAACGATGAAAACCTTTGTTGCAGTCATCAAAGCAGCTAAATGTTTAAAATGGTTTTCAAATAATTGTGAAAGAAAGTTCAAATTTTAAGTCTTACCTGTTGATATGGTTTCACAATTTTTGGATTCAGTATACATTCGAGTTATTTGGACGATTGGCTTCATTTCTATAATTGTTTCGCATGGATTTTTGATCAGGAACACAGTCAAGTACATTGCAAAGACCGCAATAATTATATTTAATGTTATTCCAAACCTAATTTGAAAGAGAATTTTACATTTTATAAAACTGTTAATTTGATGAATAATAAAGAGTTACCATGCATAGAATTTGGCTTCTGATTCAATCTTTCCGCAATTCAAGCTCCAAAAGTTCGACATTTTGATGATCGTTTAATTTAAAAGTTTAAATTTAAATATATTTTTTTAAGAGTTGACAATTGAAATTTAACAACTTAGAAGTGTCTCTTATCAAACTCAAGAATAAACTAATTGGGATAAAGTTTATTGGTAGTAATGAATTGAAAAATAAAATAATTGTACCTAAAAGTTTCAAAACATTTTAAAATTTTAATTTAATTTAATTTAATTTATTAATCTCTTTTGCATTGCTCCTAAGGAAAAAGCCTTCTGAATCAGTACTTAAACTGATTAAAAAGGCATAAAAAACCTTAGGATCCTTTAACATATACAAACTGGTGGTGTTTAGAAGAGTTTCAGTGTATAAATACCTTAAAGAAATCTCTTCTTAATTAATTATGTTAAAATTACTACAAACATTATAGCGGCTCTCATGAATTTAAATTTAAACAGTAAAAATAAGTCTACAAAAATAACGGCAAAAAAAAAACTTTTCAAACACAAATTGTGTCATCTCAGTATGATTACAAATATTTACTTTAAAAGTGAGTGAGTTAAATTAGATCAAATTCAATAAAAAATAAAAATGAGTGAAATAAAAAGACTAAGCGAATCATTGAGCTTCCTTCTACTGTTACTATTCATCTCCTTGACTGTCATTTCTGCTGCCGTCAGATAAGTATCCTTATTAATTGTAGTTCCATATCTTTTGCATATTAAGTCTCATTAGATAATTTTTTTATCTCTTTTTAGGTATATTTAGCAAGGAAACTACCACTGAAACATGTCTCAATTATGCTCTTTTGCTGACAATGTGTTTTTACTGAACGCATGAACTCATAGATGTGCTTACTATTCTGGATTTCTTGAGGAAGGTCATTAAAGATCCTAGGACTAATTGCTGTTATTCTTTTTTTTCCATATGACGTTCTGGATGTTGTTGGCTTGAAGTATTCTTTTGTCCTGCCTGTTCTGGATCTCACTCTGTCAAGTTGTATGTTTGTGAAGATTAGTCTCTTTTTTGTTTTATATACAAAACTAGCAGCTGCCTTAAAGAACAACGCGCGTATTGGTAAGTTTCCTTCAACTAATTCCGAATACATTTCTACCCTATTTGTCAACCGATCTAGGTCATATACGTTTCTCAATGCTCTATTTTGAAGTACTTGCAGAGGCATTATTATATTGAAGTTTGCACTTCCCCAGACAAGAATCATGTAATTTAAGTGTGTCTCAAACAATGATTTATATATTTTCTTTTTAATGTCACGTGGAAGTGTCTTTCTAAGCTTCCATATGATTCCTGCAGCATTAGACAGTTTTGTTTCAACATTCTTGATATGTTCATCCCATTTCAAACATTCATCAATTATCAATCCTAAGTATTTTGCGTTCTCAACTCTTTCTATTGTGTAATCTCTGTCAATTTTCACTTCCTCTCCATCTATTGCTCTTATTGGGATTTTCTTTATATTTTCTACTTTCGTTGTTGCTGAATGAATAATCATGAAGCTTGTCTTCTTCTCATTCAGTATCAATTTCTTTGCATTTAAGAAGTTAATAATTATTCTCATATCTTTGCAGATTTTAATATCAACATTCTCATTCAGTTTATGGACATTCATCAGTACACAGTCGTCAGCATATAGAAATATTTTACCTTCAAGTGTGAGCTCTGATATAGAGTTGAAAAATAATATGAAAAGCCAGCTGCCTAGAACTGAACCTTGCACTACTCCATGTGAAAAAACTGCTTCAGAGCTTAGAACTCCATTTACTCGTACGACCTGCTTTCTGTTTGAGAGATAACTTTTGAAGAGTTCCAATGCTTTTCCTCTGATTCCAAAGTTATTCAGGGTAAGCAACAATTCATTTATATCCACTATATCAAATGCTTTTTGCAAGTCCATGAACACAAGCGATACTTTTGATTTATTATCAATTTCCTTCTCGATTTCGTTAATCATCTCAATGGCTGCTGTTTCTGTACTTGATTTTTTTCTATAACCAAATTGCCATTTGTAAATTTTCTTCAGGTATCCGTCCGTAAAGTCCACTAATCTTTTGTGCAGAATCTTCTCGACAATTTTGTTGAATGTTGTTAGAATTGAAACAGGTCTATAATCCTCTACATTAGTTTTTTTGCCGGTTTTATTGATGGGAGTTACTATGGCTACTTTAAAAATTTCTGGATACTCTGCTGTCTCTATTATTTTATTTGTAAGGTGCATCAAAAGACTTGCTAATTCGTTACTAATTATTTTTACATGTTCTGTTCGTATACCATCTACACCAGGAGAAGTTTTTGAGAGTGATGCTATTATTTCTTTTACTTCAGTCTCTGATGTTTCTTCTAGGAATATCGAATTTGCTTCAGATTTTTCGGCAGCTGAATGAACATTCTTGTTTAGTTTACTTCTTGCTTCTGTTACAGAATCGATAAAATACCTATTGAACATCTCTGACATTTGTGCGGAATCAAAAATTAATTCTTCTCCTTTTCCTTTAAGAGCTACTATCTCATTACTTGACTTTCTTCTCCCAAGAAGCTCATTTAAGTTTCTCCATACTTTCTTATGGTCGTTTCCTTCTAATGACCTTTCAATAAATTTTGCTTTTTCATTCTTGATAATTTTCTTCATTTCTAGTGTTGCTTGTCGTAGTTTTTCTTTGTATGTGATATTGCCAGGTCTCTTACGGCACATTTTCGATAGGTGATCCTTATGCTTAATGGCATTAATTATTTTTACATTGTACCATTTGCAAATTTGAATGTCTTTGTTACATCTTAATCGAATTTTTGTAGTTGCTGATTTCATAGCTTCTTGCGTGATTCTAGTAAGTTCCTGTGCGATTTCGTTTGGATCATTAATTGTAAAAATTTTTGAGTAAAAACTAAGTGTCTCAAAATTCTCTTTAAATTTTGTCCAATTTGTCTGTTCTTTTACAACTACTTTTGGTGCCTTAACCTTTTGGATGTTAGAAAGCTCTGTTATAACTGCATTATGGTCGCTAATTCTATTATGAATCGTGAAATTTTTTACATTTGTTTTATTCTCAAAGTTCATACACAGATGGTCTATTATTCTATTGCTCTCATTCCTTGTCTTGATGCAATTTGTAATGTTGAAGTCATAGCTTTTCAAAAGGTTAACATAATCTCTGGATTCTTTATTGTCAGCATTCGCATCCAAATTTACATCTCCGATTATCAATGTTCTTATCTGTTCATTGAGCTCTATCTCCACATCATTCATGAAAGGGTTAAACGATTGTTGGATGGGATTTCTATAGTAGCACAAAAGTTTATAGTCAGCATCATTGACGTTAACTATTAGTTTAATTTTTTCAAAGTTTGATGAAGATTTGGTGAACGTTTTTACAAAAATTCCTTTCTTTACGAAGACCAGCAGACCTCCTCCACTGTTTTTTGCATCTCTGCAACAGCTGTACTTTTCATATCCATTCAAGTGATAAATATTTGATGGAAATTTTGGCTTTAATTTTGTTTCGCCCAGCACTATTACATCACATTTAAAATTGAGTTGTGACAGAAATATCTTAATTCGGTCATATTTTTTTTCATTATTTATACCTCTTGCATTCATTTGAAGGATTGTGAAATTTTTACATTCGATTCTACTACTATTAAATGACGAAACAGACTCAAAATAACGATTATTAGCTTTATTATTGCATAAAAATTCCTTATTTACTATTCCGAGTGTTGCTAATTGCTGCTGGGTTGTCTTTAATTGCTATGCTTTGCTATGATTGTCTTGAGAACTTGATGAAGAACCTTGTAATTGTTGATTTTTGCTGATTTTTGAATGCTTTTCGTTTGGTAACCATTCTTCAATCTCTTTCAAATCAGATTCATCTTCAATCCATTTAATTCTTTCATCAGACTTTTTAACATTTATTCTGAAATTGCTCAAGTATATCATAAAATTCTTCTCCTTAGCTATCTTCTTTGCCTTTCCTATTAAAAATTTGTTCATTGGTGTCAGAGCATCATCAAAGTATATTTCGTTTTTAATTCCTGATTTCCTTTTTTCTTTCATGACTTTCAGTTTTGTGTCAAAGTCGTTAAATTCTACGGTTATTATTTGTTTTTTTGGCGACTCATTCTCTTCTAATTTCTTGACATTCCTTACGTAAACTGACTTTATGCTGTCTTGTTCAATATTAATATTAAATTTTCCAATAACTTTGATCACTTCCTCTTTGACTTTATTTCTGTCAATTTGATGAGACATGCTTACTCCGCTTATTTCCATTTTGTTCTTAAGCTTTTCTTGCAACATTCTATTAACAATTTTACTTTGCTGGTCTACTTTCTTCTCATTTCTCATTACAGAACTCTCCAATTTACTTATTTTTTCATTCATTTCAACCATATCCTTGTTCAAGATGTCAAATTTCTCATCAATCTTTGCTGTTACTTCTTCTTTTACTGCCAAACATTCATTTTTAATATCATTTGATATGCGACTTCCCAACTTAACAATGATATTATATAGATCCTCATTTGATCTCTCAACTTTCTTTGCTTCTACATTTCTTTTCAGATTTCTTCTTGGCGTCTTTAACTCATCCTGGAAATCACTACCTGGAGTTTGTTTGTCTTGACTAGTTGTTGGTGATCTAATCATGACTTCTCAGCATCCAAAATTGACAAAATTGAGATTTTAGTAGACTCCCACTATTATAGCTGTAAAAGAAGAAAAACAAAAACGATTAAGGCAGCAACAAATGACCTCTTCAGCTTTTTTCGTCAACGTACCGTGTCAAAACAAGACTGTTAGTGATCAAAGTCTCCTAACAGTCTATAAAAAGTGCCTCGTGGGAGTCTAATTGTTCTATTTTAGTAAAACTGCTAGTTCAGCTGATTTGACACAGATTCCGTTAAATCACAATTTGAAATTTTGAGATCACGTGCTGATGAAGACAAATTCACCACTTGGTCGATTTTCACCACTTTTTTCTGGCGCGCGTTGCTTTAGTGTTAGTTCCTTATCCTCGACTTTATTTATTATTTTACTTAATTAATTTATTATTTTCTGCCTTTTTTATTGACTCTATGCACAGATTTGACAATTATATAGATGCTGTATCACTTTTTACTCTTGACAGGCTTTAATTATCTTACAAAATTCCGTATTTGTTTCTTCTTTTGTTCCGTTCTTTTGTCTTTTAGATTTTAACTTTTAATTAACTTATTATGCCTGATTTATGCTGAACTCGATATTTTCCTGTTAACACTTATCGTAACAAATGACGGAGTTTTCTTTCAGTGTGATTTTTTTCACTCTTAGTATTTTTAATTAACAATTTTTCTCAACGATACCAATTCAATCAATCAATTTTTATGTTAAAATTAAACTTTCTTAATTTAAAAAATCTCAAAAAAATTGTTTTTTTTTATTTTGATAAAAATGAACAAACTTTATTCAGTGAGACTATTTTTTCCTCCAAAATTTCAATTGAGCACTAAAGCAATTTCAATTGAGCACTCTCAAGATAATAAATATGCCTTCAAATCCTGCAAAACTACAAAATTCATGTAAAATGTTAACAATGCATTAGTGTAAGCCTTTTATCATAACGACATTTAACAATCAATCTTGCACGTGCTACATTACACTAAAATATTTATGAAAAATGTTTACCTTTCATGAAAATATTTGTTGCCTAATAAATGTGAATCAGAGCAAGAAAAGCTGTCTAAGAAGCATAAATGATGAAATTTTTATGAATGGAAATTTTCCTCTGAAGCTTATGAGCATCAGAAAACTATGCGAACATGAATAAATGTTGCTATTCATCAACTTCTATGGAAATGTGTGGAAGAAAAGATGGCATGAATGCTTTTGATTGATTTTAATGTGGTACAAATGATAGAAGTGGATTAAATGAGGTTTGTAAGCTCATCTTTTAGTGAATATTTCTCAATGTTTCCATGAATAAAATTGCATAAATCTTTACAACGAGTTTTGAAGATTCAAAAATTAACGGCTTTTTAGATTTAAATTTTAACATACTTAAGTTCTTCAAGTTTTAACGGTTTTTAGCTATTCAAGTTTTAACGGTGTTTGGAGATTGAAATTTAAAAGATTTTTTAAGTTAAGATTTTTGTAGATTAAAATTTCAACAAATTCTTAAAAGGTTCTGTTTTTTCCAGTCGGACAAGAAGCATCCTAGTCACATTCAATACCTTACGACTTGCTCTTTTGAAAAATTTCCTCAGTATTAAAAAGTCATGACATAAAATCCTCTCATAAAAGATTTCACAACATAAAATCCCAATAATTGAACACCAACTTGTACAACATTCACATGAATATTTCATAAATATTGCAAGAAAAAGAAAAGAAAAATTCTCAAGAAATCGTTATGGTAATCTCATTTTCCACAGTTTTATATCATCCACCATGCTTATTACATAAGACGAACGACTGAAAATAAATCAGATTGAATTTTACTCGGGTAGAGAGTTCTAAAGAAGACCATGTATCATAACTAAGTACAATGAAACTGGAAAAAAATATATTTGATGTGAAAACTTTTCCACTCTGTGTAGCTACAACTACTTTCTTTCCACTTATTAAGTTTCTTCTTGTACTGAGTTTTAGTTTCTTGAGAAAAATGTAGTGGGATCAGTTTGGATGATTTTAAGTTGTTCAACACATAATCCGCTCAAAATCTGAAAAAATAATAAAAATCCGCTCAAAATCTGACAAAATGATGAAAATCCGCTCAAAATCTGGGAAAATGATGAAAATGCGCTCAAAATCTGGCAAAATGATAAAAATCCGCTCAAAATCTGGACAATAATAAAAAAATCCAATAAAAATCTGACAAATCATAAATATCCGATCAAAATCTGACAAAATGTTAAAAATCTGTCCAAAATCTGAATCAGGCATGAATGTTTCATAGAAAATTAAAGAAAACTAAGCGCTTTAGCCACGAACTTGACTTTCCAACATTTCATTTCTTCCTTTTTTGTCGCTTTGCCAGAAAATGATATCGAAGAAGATGGGATTGAATAGTACTTTATAGTTAGTAAAGAAGTACATAAATCCCCTTAATATTTGCACACACAAAAGTATCCATGCATAAGTATCTATTTTATAAGACTCCGAACATAAGAAAAACTTTCAAGATTTTATTTTTATCCCCACGATCATTTGCGTTGTTTCTAGATTTATAGCATTGGATAGTATCGGATATACACATTTTGTATCAGTAATTAATTAATACCACTAGAAAAGTTTTCAGTTGCTTTCACGAATGAATGATTTATGCTTTTTACTAGTTTCGTATTATGATTCGTTCTTTCATTGATGCATCTTCATGAACCTTTTATGAGATACATCCATTTTCTACATAATTGGATTTCGTTATCATCTTTCTACTTTTCCTAAAGGAATTTTATAATCAACTTTCTTATCAGATTATAATGCATGGCGTTAAACTTGGCAATGTTGGTTGGTGCTTATATGGAATGACCTCATACCAATTATTTTATTTCAAGTCCTATTAAAATACAATCGATAATATGTTCGAATGTCGACAGTTAGGAAATTGTGATTGTGTTTTTTATATCCTTTTATATTTAATGTGGAAACAATTTTGTTTAAATATTTCTCGTAATAATAAAACTATATTTATGGTGATAGGAATATTATGGATTTATCTGAAGATTGCATGAATTTTAATTTCATTTTAAAAATTCAAAAAAAAATTTAATTATGTCTTTAAGCTGCATGCCACATGTTTTCTTAACAATTAACTTTTCTGCAAACAAGAACTTACTTAAAATAGACAATAAACTTCATTCCATAACCCTTAGGAAGCATGCAAAAAAAATTCTTCATTCACAAAAGAAACGAACATCACAAAAGTACAAGTAGACATGCTTTTTTGAGCCAACATGAATGTCATTATTATTATTATACTCAGTATTTTTTTTTGCCTCATAGCCACACAATATGCATTTATCATCATTCAGTCATTAAATTATTGCCTGCCTTCTGTTTTATGAAGGAGAAAAAAAATAACACAAATTTATATGAGCATGTACATGAATGTATCAAGCATAAAGTCAATAAAATTTTATATTTTAAATGAATTGTTATCAACTGCACATTAAAAAGAGCAATTGTTGAATTTATTGGGAATTTTTTTATTGCATTTCTTTCAGTTCTTTTTATTATAATGCAATAAAGTGTTTAAATTATTATTATTTTTATTTTTTTTCTCTCGTTTTATTGGAAATATTATTGATATGTTGCCAACGGCATCAATTAATTTCTACAACAGAGAATGAAATAAACGAAGAGTAAAAAAAGGAATCACAGAGAGATTAATTGAACAAATTAAACAGTTTAATTAAATTGCATTTAGTGTTATCTTCAAGATAGATTGCTGTTCATGGATTGATATCTTTATTAATGTGAGATATTGCCGTAAGAGATTTGGCATTCAGATACAATGTTGCGATGTGAAAATAAAGTAAAATATTTATTATTTGCTGAACCGATTCAGATGATTTTGAACCAATTCACTAGATTTTGAACCGATTCGCCAGATTTTTAAACCGATTCGCCATATTTTTAAACCGATTCGCCAGATTTTAAATCCGATTCACCATATTTTAGTACCGATTCGCCAGATTTTGAACCGATTTACTACATTTTAAACCAATTCATTCAATAAGTCCTAGTCTCAAAATTCTTTCATTCTTCTCAAAGCGCTACCTAACCTAAAACAACACTTTAACATAGCAGCTGACAAATTAAACCAAAAACACTCAAGTCAATAAATTCCCAGCTGTAAAATTCATTCATCTAATGCTATGAGACATATTTCTTATTCACTGTGCATTCATAACAAGCTTTTATATCTATCAGATAAATCAGATCATTTAATAAAAATCTACTCACATAAAATTCGAATATGCGTACGAAGAATTTCCAATTTCTCATTTCCGCAACATAATTCAGTGGAAGGCGAGAACGGTTTTTACGACAGTTAATTTTGTGCTTTTTGGTGTTAAGCTGATTTTGAAGGATCTAAAACGCTCAATAAATATTGAATTTCTTGTAACCTTAAAAAATTTGAATTTCTCAAAACCGGTAAAATTTTAAAATTTCATGACCCTGCTAAAATCCATCTACAAGCACTCGTAACAGAAAATATAATGTGTGAAGCCCAAAGGGGACATGATTTGAACATAAATTTATATGTAATCGATAGTCCAATGTAAGTTAATGTATTTTATATAGTAAAATTCATTTGATTGTTCCATTCGATCCATTACAGCATGTATTTTTCGGTATAAATTTAAATAATTTTAAGTAGACAATAATGTATCTATATCCTATAAATCTCCAAAACATATTTTATTATCAGTGGATTTAGGTCATATGTGGAAAACAACAGCATTATGATGATTTAATCCCGCGGTAATAATGTGATATTTTTCACTAACGATGGCCTGTGGATGGATATGAACTGTATATGGCTGTAAATTAATGATGGGGAGCTTAGTGGAGATGAAAATAGTTTGAATCATGTTTATTGCTGTAGATTATTTATTGAGAATTGAGAAAAATTAATAATGTGAAAAGTGAGCATTAAAATTTATGAATAAGTTCAAAATCATTTTGTCAAATTTTTCGTGAAGTTAACATCTCATTTTCTCAAATCCTCAATAATGTCACAACAGAAGGTTAAAGGGGTCGAGGGCCCATGTTGCAAGGAAGCCAGCGCAATACTGAATCTTTCTCAAGGGAATTCAAGTTACACACAGGCTCTTAATTCAACTCATCTTGTAGGACATCCGAGATTTCACGTCCTATGCAGCAAAAATTATAACAAAGCAGAAATTATCAATAATTTGAATTCTTTGGGCTGCACAGAAGTTGTAACTGATCAGCAGGGTAACACAAAAACTGCATTTTTAACAAGAGAGGATCAGAACCGAACGCTGCATGAGATCCTTACGTCATCTTATGGAAGAAGAGCTTTAGAATTGTTAAATCAAGGAAGAAATGAGGTTATCCTTAAAATAGCAACAAGCGAGCTAACAACAAACAGGAACTTAATGATGGCAGTTGTAAGAGTTGGGAAGCAATTGGAAACAAAGCCTGCAAACGCACTTGTTTTATTACTCGGTCATCATCAACATAAGCCTGAGGGAATGTATGTTCATGTGAAGACATTTTATCCGACTGAGCAGCGTGTAGATGGATATGTTTTGGATGTGACGCGATTTTGATTGAGGATCTTTGAGAGAATGTAAAGGTTTTTGGTTGAATAAAATTGCAAATCTATTATTTTGATAATTTCTTGTCTTGTTTCGTTAATTCCATTCAGAAATGTTATAGAGAAGTGATCAAAGATGTGTGGCTGAACATCTTTAAGATGAATAGTTCGAAAAGAATTTTGAATTCAAATTTAATTTGACTTTAAAAAAAATATATTTCAATGAGCTTTGAAGCTTTCCAATCAAAATTTTGTCAAACTTTGAAAGTTCTTGTCACGTTAAACATCTTAATCTTATTGAATAAAAATGTCTGATAAAAAAGTCAAAGGAATTGACGAGCCATGCTGTAAGCAAGCCAGTGAAATTTTAAATTTATCTCAAGGTAACTCAAGTCAAACTCAAAATTCACCTCATCTCATTGGGCATCCTCGATATCACGTTTTATGCAATCAAAATTACAACAAAGCTGAAATTGTGGAAAATTTGGAGTCTCTTGGATGTACAGAGGTTGTTACTGAGGAACAGAGAAACACCAAGACAGCTTTTCTCAATCGAGAAGATCAAAATCGAGTTTTGCATGAAATCTTAACTTCTGAACAAGGAAAACAGGCGATTGATCAACTGAATAAAGGAGAAGTCGAAGTCATTTTGCGAACTCCAACAAGCCAGTTGATTAAAAATAGATATTTGATGATGTCAGTTGTAAAAAATGGTACAAGAGTCCAAGATAAGCCTGCAAATTCGACTGTATTGATTCTTGGACAACACAAAAATCTACCAGAAGGAACTTATGTTCATGTAAAGACATTCTATCCTACAGAATAGGAAGAAAGCAAGCTTGAGCATCAAATAATATGGAAATTGTCAATTCTTGCTGTTTAATAAATTTAAAATTGATTGTACAAGTTTTTGTTTTATTTTTGAAAGTCCCAAGTGTAGGAACAGAAGCAATGAAGACCAAATTTACAAAATATTTATTATCTATTCCTTCTTCTTCTTCTCATCTGATTTCTTACATTTACCGAATTTACTACAAATTTTACAACAAACTTTTCTACAAACACATCTTAAGACCTTGAAAGCCAAGACAATCAAAACTATTGAAATTAATTGGATGTCCCAGAAATGAGACCCAAGTAATCCAAAATTAAATTCATTGGGCCTCAAATGCGTTGCTTTAGGATTTCTCATGACATATTCGCACCACCAAACAGCACGATCCATTGGCTTTTGTGGCTGGTCTTTAAACAGCTCCGACCTCAATTTCATATTGTGCGTATATTTTGGATTTTCGAGAACTTCAAGAAGTGCTGATTTTAATTTCTCTGTTGTAATTGTTTGAAGATCAACTTTTACAGCTACGCCAGCATTTTCAGATTTTTTTAAGTTCCTGATTTGATCCATAAACAGTGGAATGCCAACAATTGGAACTCCATGCCATGTTGATTCCAATGTAGACAGCATTCCTGAGTGTGAAATGAAAGCTTTTACATTTTTGTGAGCCAAAATGTCATTTTGTGACAGCCATGGACGGATCATCAGATTTTTGGGGAGTTCCTTGATTTTGTCAGTGTTTTCAAACTTCCAAATGAAGTTATATTCAGGCAATTGACGGAATGCCTCGACAATTGAAATGATGACTGATTCATCTAAGTATTCTGACTTGAAATTCGATCCCATTGACATCAAAACTGATCCTTTCTTGCCATTATTTAAAAACTCATCAAGTTCCTTCTCAACAGGTTTTGGCTCAGCAATTTGCATCCCACCGATTTCAATGACATTTGGAGGAAGTGACTCTGCAAATTCTATTGCTGGATGTGAGTTAACAAGAGCAATTTGCGCGCGTTTCTCAATGTCACCAACATAAGGAAGGTCTGAGCCATACATAGCTTTCATTTGTTTGTCAATCGCTGGAAGTGAGTAATACTTCCTGATTCTAAAAAATAAGCAGCAAGAAAAATTTTAATATAATTGCCTAAAGACTATATCACCAGGAAACTTACAATGACTCAAAAAAGTTCAAAAATCCGTTGTCCAATCTTTGTAAAATGTTCATATCACTATCATAACTGAGCATATAATGTGGCTTAACAGTTAATCCAAGTTTATCACCACCAAAAATATCAGCTGTCGTAAATGGATTACAGAATGCTGAAATTGCAACAAGCGGTGGGTAGTTGAACTTATGAAGAAGCCCCAACATGCACGGTAGCATTGTGTAGTCGTAGATCATTAAATCAAACTTAAAGTCATCTGGATAATTCATTATTACAGAGAATCCCTTGTTTTTGGTCAATTCTGTGCATACTTCATATCCAAATCCACTCATCATGATCATATTCGTAAGTCTGCCCATATTTATAAATTCTTTGAAGAATGTTGCTACATCTACACCTGGCATGAAACTGAATATAATAATTTAAAGGGTAATTTTTCAGGATATTTTTAAAGCTATCAAAACTTAGGCTTCCAAACTTACTCATCCATCATTTGATATTGGTATTCCATGTGAATATAGTGTAAATTTTCTGGTGGATTTTTGACAAGGTCAGCTGATATAAAAGTGACATTATGTCCATGAGCAGCAAGAGCTCGAGCTAAAGCACTATTGAAAATGTGATGACTTGGACTGAAAAAACAATATTTATTAAATCGTTGATTAAACTCAGTCAATAAAAACTTACCTTGCAAGTTCACTGGTAAAGAGGATATTAAGAGAATTCGCATCAAAAATGAGCAAAGGCATAACAAATATAATCAAGAATTGTGACTTCATTTTAGCTAAATTACTTTGGGCACCTTACAGTCGAACAATTCACTAGCAACTGATTGTGATTTAAGAAATTGATCATTTCATATCAGTCAGAAGTCATATAATTTTCACAATTTGTGTGTAAGTCTTAAGATAAGCACAAGATAGGCATAAATGAGAATATTTTGAGATTTTTATCATTTGTCAGATTTTTATGGAATATTTGACGTCACATATTAAGTCATTTAGATGACAGGGGAAACCTCAATACCATACGACTCGAGATTTATATTTGGACATGTAAAAACCTCTTGAATTGGCGCGTAGAAGACCCCCAAGAGGGTCTTGTCTCTTGCTTAATCGTTTTGAACCGCAGCGATAGCTAGGATAGCACGCTTCCTCTTGATTAACTACTTTCCATACCTTCACACCTTGTTCATGACACTTCATACTAAGTTAAAAGCTCATCACATCTTGAAAAATTCACAATCTCTTCATGCTTGACTATAATCAAGCCTAGTTATCAATAAAACAATTCTTATAAGATAAGAGATATCAAAATTATCGCACATACATAAATACTTATATGGAGATGATAAACATTTATGGAAATAAAATATCATCGGATTAGTAATCTCATTGGAACTTAAAATTTTATTAAATAACAAATTAATATCAAAATTAGTTCTTTTTCTTCTTGTCATCTGATTTTTTGCACTTACAAAATCTTTTCATTATTTTTTTACAAGCACATCTTGCACCTAAAACGATCAGCACGATAAGAACTAAAATAAGAACTTGAATATCCCAAAAATGAGACCCAACCAATCCAAAATTAAATTCTGCTGGCTTCAAATGCGTTGCTTTTGGATTTCTCATGATATATTCGCACCACCAAACAGCTCGATCGAGTGGCTTCTGTGGCTGGTCTTTGAACAGCTTTGCCCTCAGGTTACTATTTTGTTGGTACTTTGGATTCTCGAGAACTTCAAGAAGTGCTGATTTCAGCTTTTCTGTCGTTAATGTTTGAAGACTAACTTTTACAGCTACTCCTGCATCTATTGATTTTTTCAAGTTCCTGATTTGATCCATAAAAAGTGGAATGCCAACAATTGGAACTCCATGCCATGATGATTCTAAAGTTGACATCATTCCTGAGTGTGAGATGAATGCTTTTACATTTTTGTGAGCCAGAATGTCATTTTGTGACAGCCATGGACGGATCATCAGATTTTTGGGGAGTTCCTTGATTTTGTCAGTGTTTTCAAACTTCCAAATGAAGTTATATTCAGGCAATTGTCGGAATGCCTCAACAATTGAACTTATTTTTGATTCTTCCATATATTCTGACTTAAAATTTGAGCCCATTGACATCAGCACTGATCCTTTCTTGCCTTTATTTAGGAACTCATCAAGTTCTTTCTCAACAGGTTTTGGCTCAGCAATTTGCATTCCACCGATTTCAATGACATTTGGAGGAAGTGACTCTGCAAATTCAACTACTGGATGTGAGTTAACAAGAGCAATCTTCGTATGTTTCTCAAGATCACCAACATATGGAAGATCTGATCCGTAAATTTCTTTCATTTTTTTGTCAAGATTTGGAATTCCGCTGTACTTTCGCAATCTACAAGAATTTGTGAAAATTAAAAAATAATTAAATTTGTTGGATATTTAGAAATAAGTCTTAACTTGCACAGATTCAAAGAAATTCAAGAATCCATTGTCTAATCTCTCAAAAATGTTCATGTTCTTGTCATAAGTTGATGCATAATGAGGCTTAACAGTTAATCCAAGTCTTTCACCACCCATAATGTCAGCAGTATAAGGTGGGTTGCAGAATCCAGTAACTCCAACAAGTGGTGGATAATTAAATTTATGGAGAAGTCCAAGCATGCACGGTAATGCTGTGTAGTCGTAAATCATTAAGTCAAACTTGAAATCATTCGGATAATTCAGAATGTCATGGAAGCCTTGATTTTTGACTACATCTGCACACATTTCAGCTCCAAATGTATTCATCATCAGTGCATTTTCATATTTGCCCATGTTCACAATTTCTTTATACCAAGTTATTAAATCCATGCCTTCAAAACCTCTGCGAATTAAAATAACATGAATTTTGAGGGATAAAAAATTAAAACTGGCACTTACTGAGCCATAATTTCGTATTGCTTCTCCAAATGGATGTAATGCAAATTTTCTGGTGGATTTTTAACATTATCAGCTGATACAAAAGTAACGTTGTGTCCACGAGCGGCAAGCGCACGTGCTAATGCACTGTTGAAAATGTGATGACTTGGACTTTAATCAAGAAAGTTTAGATAAAAATTAATTCAGTTTTAAATTGTATAAAATTTATAGAAACTTACCTAGAAAGTTCACTTGTGAATAGAATATTGAGAGAATTTACATTAATTATAAGCAAAGAAGCTACAAAAATATTTAAAATTTTAGATTTCATTTCTTTGTGATTTTCAGACCGTACTGCTCAAAAAACATTAAACAACTGAAGCAATTCTAAATTTAAAAGTTTATATTTATTTGTGACTTGTAACATTATAGAGATAAGAAAATTATCTCATAAGCACATACATGGATATGAATAAGATAAAAATTTAAGAAATCAAAAGAATGTTTAAACTTGTAGCTATTCTTAATGAAGCTGGTATCACACTATTAATTAAAATCAAAAATATTTATGTTTTATATTTAGTGGTCCACTTAAATTAAATTTGATTAAATCAAGTCTCAAATTACCTAGCAAGTTCACTAGTAAACAGAATATTAAGACAATTTGCACAAATTATGGCTGTCAAAAATACAAAAACTCTTTAAAATTCTTAATACATATTGACACAACCGACCTAAGCACTTCTTTACTCAACTCAACGAGAGTCAAAGTAAACAGCTGACAACACGAGACTCACGCAGAATTAATCAAAACAAAACAAAAATTCCACATGTGTTTGTGAGAACAGAACTGACAACAAATTTCATACTCACACTTAAATAGTTTTATCAGATAAAATATATAAATTTGTATTTGTGAAGAGATTTCAATCTAAATTGAAGCTTTTTTTGCATCGAGTCTGTTGTCAATGTTCAATTTCAGTTTATTAAATTGAAGCTGAGAATATATTTTGAAAAATTCTAAGTCAAGGACAGACAATTGATCAATTGAATGAATACAATAATTTGATATTTAACAGATCATATGGATCTATAATTTTTTTGACGAGAATTCAAAAATCCATCAGGAATTTAATTTTTGAACTGCGTCAAACTTGATAACTTGTAATCTTGTAGCACCTGACAACAATTTAAAAAATAACTGATGGGAAAAAAGGTTTTTTATTTTTAGAATCTCGTTATTCTTATCTAAGCTCATAATGAAATAGAGCTAATTTTTGACATCAATTAATATCTTTGTTTTGGGAATTCCATAGCTAAGTTTTCAATAACTTAAGACTATCTAAACTTTGATTAAAAATAGACATCACTAGACTCCTTGTTACGTCTTGTTTTGCTCCTAATATTGAATAATTTTCTTAAACATAATCAAATCTAAACTAAATTCATTGACAAAGCCATTCATACCTCAATCTGACTTAAACGGCACTCTTCCCAAATTAGGAGTAATCTCAAAGTTAATATTATGCTTAAATGGACATTAAACTTCCTCTACAAAAATGGCATCAAGTCATAATAAATTTTAAAGTGTATCATTTGATGATAACGATAAGAGAACAAATTCGTACTTTTTAAGCACTCTTGCAGTTGATCATGATAAGAATTTTTTATTTTTTTTCCATTCACGCGACTAGATTTTCAGTCATAAACAGCATTTTGATCAGTTCAGTTGTAAAACAAAAGCGAGGGAAAAATGGCAGCAAATCAGACTAAATTGCCGAGTGAAATTTATGAAAAAGCTTTAGCAGAAGTTGTTGAAAAACAGTTAAATAATTCAATTGACAACTATGACATAACAATCAGTGCTGGCTCATCAAAAGGAGACAATTACCTTGGTGTCATTTATAGAGCTCAAGTTAAGGACAAGGTCACGAATGAAAATAAATTGAATTTAATTGTCAAATTGCCTCCACAAAATGAAGTAAGTCGTAAAGAAATGTTTGCTGGTGAATTTTTCAAACGTGAAGCTGGATTTTATGACAATGTCTATCCGATCTACGAACAATTCCAGAAAGATAAAGGAATTGATGTTGAAAATGAAGGATTTCATCAGGTCGCAAATTGCTACAAAACCTTAACAGAAGAACCAAATGAAGGTTTAATTTTTGATGACCTTAAAGCTCGCGGTTTTGACATGTTTGACAGATTCAAGGAAGTCACAAAAGAGCACGTCTTTCTCGTAATGAGAACTCTTGGAAAATTTCATGCAGTTTTTTATGCTATCAAAGACCAAAAACCTGAAGTTTTAAATTATTATTACACATTGAAAGATTCTTTTAAGATTATGTCAGAAACTGAGAACTCAACACTTCCTGCTTATTACAGTAGCTTGAAAAAACAGACAATCAAAGTTGTTGAGAAATGTGAAGATTTGGAAGTGAAAGAAAAAGTAATGAAGTATTTGGAAAATGACTACAGTGAATTGATTGAGCATTGCTTAAGCCGTGAAAAGTCGGAACCATACACAGCAATATGTCATGGAGATGTAAGTGATTTTATTTTATCAACGGGAGCAGCTTATGTGTTTTGTATTCGATTAATACTATAATGACTTAACCAATTATTTTAAATCCCCAAAAAAATTGGTATCGCCTGGTTACCAGTAAAATAAGTTTGTAAGATAAAGTTCATTCCTAATCTAGAAACTCAATTTTTTTCAATTTTAATTAGTGTTGGAACAACAACATGCTGTTTATGAACAATGAGGTAAGAATAGCTAATAGAATTTGCTTTAAGGTCTTTATAATGATCTATTCTCTTAATTTTCAATCAGGATGGATCTCCAAAAGATCTCAGGTTTCTTGATTTTCAAATTATAAGGTGAGAAAAATGCAAATTTATAACTTTTATTTTACAAAAAAAATATGTTTTATTTGGTCCCCTTGGCAGGTATGCAACTCCTGTAACTGATTTGGTATACTACATTTTTGGATGTACAACAAAATCATTAAGAGATAAGCATTATCATGAATTCTTCGACGTTTATCATGCTGAGCTATCAAGTTACATGCGAAGGTATGAAATATGCAGCATTCAATATTTCTCAATTACTCATAATAATTTATAAATTCTATTCTAATCCATAGACTTGGCTCAGACCCTGAAGTAATGTACCCACGTAAAGCTTTAGACGATCAACTCAAAACGTTTGGACAGTTTGGTCTTCTCATGGCAATGATGGTTCTTCCAATTTTCACAAGCATACCTGAAGACATCCCAAATCTTGATGAAATTGCCGAAAGTTTCTCGAATTTGGGCACTGAAAATGAGACAGGAGCTTCTGCTTTCAATTTTACATCGGAGAAAACTTATGACAATTTTTCGAAGAGATTGTTGGACGTTTGTCATGATATGTGTTCATTAGGATATATTTAGACTTAATTTTAATACTCTTTGGATATACACCAAAAAATTTTAAATGTCATTTTAAATAAAAATTATCTAAAATGAAAGCTATCATCTTCATCTGTTAATCAAAACTCGATATTTCATTTTTGTTTTGGACTCTAATACGAAAATATTTGATGAGTTCAAAGATTATTGAATATCAGCAAGGGAAACTTACAGTGAAACTTTTATGCTTTATAAATGCTTTTATAAATTATAGACGACAGCAACCCCATGCCAAGCTTCTGCATCAATAGGTCCATGGAAAATAATAAAAACACCAAACAATAGCATTTGGGTCAATAATTAAAGAATAATGTCATTTCCAAAAATGCTTATCGCAAACCCAAAAAAGGAATATATATAAGATAAGGCATTACAGAAAAATGACACGCGTGTCAATCAAATCATATCAAAGCATTCAAGTTTATTCATCGCTCTTATAAATACCCAAAATTATATAAATCTTCACAAACTCCTAGTAACCTTTCAGCATAGATTGGATATGTTTTTGTTGTAACATAGCAGACTCCTTTTGATACAGCTTCATTATTATCTTCTTCATTTGTCGATTCCACTTCGTTGAGATTTGACACAAATTCATCCATATCAGGAACTTCATCTACGTCACTAGTGAACACAGGAAGCACTAGAACTCCCATTATGAGGCCAAACTTGCCAAATTTCTTCAAATGATCGTCAAAAGCATGTCGTGGGAAAAGTTTTTCTGGATCAGAACCAAGTCTGTCGATAGAATATTTAAAAATTTGCCCCAGATCACAAAAATCGACCAACAATTACCTGACAATAAAACGTGACAAAGAATCGTAATAAAAATTTATAAATTCCTGGTAATGCTTATCTCTCAATGACTTAACCGTGCAGCTAAAAATATAATACATTATATCTAAAATTGGTGAGCTGTAGCGCATTATTTGCCAGTCTAAAAATTTAACGGAAATAGGGTTTCCGCTCTGAGAAGAGAAACAGTAAATTAAACTCTCTTAGATTAAAGTTTAATTCTCATACCTGATCGTTTCTGAACATCATATTGTTGTTCCAGCACTACAAAATGAATAAAAATTAAATTTTTATAGATGTTTAGAATATGAAAATATCAAATTACATCTCCATGACATAGTGTTGCGTAAGGTTCAGTCATGTCAAGATTTAAGCAACTTTTAAATAATGACAAAATATCTTCTGATAATAATGCTCGTACTTTTTTGATCAGTTCTGAATTTCCACATTTTTCGACAACTTCCAGTGCTTGATCTCTTGAGTCTTCGTACCAAGATGACATTAGAGATCCTTTTCGCTCACATCTCATGATAAAATAGTCATTTCTCTTTTTGTAAACATCAATCAAGTCCGGCTCTTGTTCTTTCATACAATAAAATATTGCGTGCATTTTTGCAAGCACTTCCATGACTAGCATAACATGTTCTTTTGTCAATTCCTTGTTTCTATCATAAACTTCAAATCCTTTTACTTTTAAATCCTCAATGTAAAGTCCTTCGAATGGTTCGACAGTCAAAGTTTTGTAGCAAAGTGGAACTTCATGAAATCCGTCATGTTTGGAACTTATTCCTTTTTGTTCCTGAAATTTTTTGTAGATTGGAAAGAGATTTTCATACACTCATAAAAATATTTTTAATAATTTGTTACTAAAATCTTATTAAAAAGTTTTTAATGAGAATTATTAAAATTTTAGTAAACCTTATCAAACTTTTAATAAAACTTATCAAATTTTAATAAAAGTTTTTAAAATTCTACAGCGTTGTAAAACTGTTGTAGGTTTCCAAAATTGTAAGGTTTTCATATATTTTATATACTTCACAAACGCTCCAAGAAATGACTTATACAAAAGAATGTCTTAGTTCTCATACAAAGTCATATAAAATTATAAATTTCTATGAGGCACATTAAGTGCCAAAAATCTTGCAAAGTCTTAAGCTTTGAGAAAGCATTTTAGTTTAGACTTGAAAAAGCTCCATACTTTAAATTAATTATACTATAAAGCTGTTTTTGTAAAAAAAATAATCCAAGAAATTTTAATGACTTTTTACTAAAATCCATGAACAAATTTAATAAAAATTATAAAAATAAATCTTAATAACTTTTTACTAATGTTTAGTAAGAAAATTATTAAAATTTTAACAGTTTTGTAAAATTTGAATGCAATTTTGTAAAACCAAAACTTTTAATAACCCTTATCAAATTTTAGTAAAAGTTATCAAGATGTATTTTTATAAACTTTTATTAAACTTTTTCATACATTTTTAATAAAATTTATCAATTTTTTTTTATGAGTGTAGAAATCAGCTTCATGAACAAAGCTTCTGTGTAGGAAAAATTCTTCACGTCTTGTTGGATTGCTTGGTGGCAGTTTAATGATTATTGACATCTTAATAGTATTATTTTGGATTACTTCCGCTCGATATATAATTCCAATGTAGTTATCTCCTTTAGAGGATCCTTCACTGTATCTAATTTCATATTCATCACATGACAAATTAAGTTTCTGCTTGATCAATTCCTTTAAATTCTCCTCGTAAATTTTATTGGGCAAAGTTTTAAATTTTTCATGCAATGCGTCACTTTTATGACTCATTCTGCAATATCCAATAAATTATGTGTGAACGATATGAACAACAACGACAAACTAAATGTTTTTGGATATACTCTCTTTAAAAGTTTAATCAAAAGCAATTATTTTCCAAGAATTAAACAACGAAACATGCAATTTTCTGTGTATAAACACGTTTAGCTTTATTTGTGGATGTTTTATTGCTGTTACTCAAATATTTTATTTGTGTATAACTTTTGTAAACTAATGCGTTCTTCATATGTATCCTAAATTGTTCATATCGACACATACATCCATCATTCTCTCACAATATGCATCATATGTTTTTGATGATGTGTAGGACGTCACACTCGGGTCAATTTCTTCGTCTTCGTTTCTGAATTTGAAAAGATTTTCAGAATTTTCATCAATATCAGGCAAATAATTTACGTCAGTTGCAAATATAGGAAGAACGATTGTGGCAATGTAAAGGCCGAATTTTCCAAATGTTTTTAAATGTTTGTTGAATATTTCATGTGGATATAGCTTTTCCGGGTCCGATCCAAGTCTACAAAATAAATTATTTATTAATAAGAGGTTAAGAGAGGGTTAAAGGTTGTACTTGAATGGCATCCATAGTTGTTTAACCAACAACAATTGCAAGATATTCACAAACAACCTCGTTTGAATTCCAAAAATTACCTTTGAATAAAACTCGAAAGAGCGCTGTAGTAGACATCCAAAAATTCTTGATAATGTTCATCTCGAAGCGCTTTACTGGTGTTACTAAAGATGTAATACATCAAATCTGTTACTGGGGAAGCATGATTCATGCGTTGAAAATTTTGCAGTCTAAGATCAGATGGAACTCCGTTCTATTTAAAACCAAAAATTTTTTTTATTATTTCAAGAATTGTTTTGATTGCGTTGTTCTTACCTCATTATGGAACATAATATTATTATTCCAGCACTAAAGAATAAAAAGAATAGAAAATGTAAGAAAACATCCTTAAGCTTAATTTCGAAGAATTTAATGAAAATATCAACTTACATCACCATGACACAATACAGCAAAAGGTTCCGAATCATCAATATTAATACATTCTTTATATAAATTATAAAGTTCGTCCTTGTAAATGGCTTTAATCTTCTCAGTTACTTCATTACTTTCCTTCTTATTTATCATCTCTAAAGCTTGTTGCTTACAAGATTCAAACCAAGCTCTTACTGGGGAATTTTCTTGTTCGCATTGCTTCACAAAATGATTTGAAACTTTCTGATAAGGCTCAATTTCTTTTGGATTTTGATCCTTGATGCACAAAAATATTGCATGCATTTTCGCGAGAGTTTGCATGACCAAAAGCACATGCTCCTTTGTCACTTCCTTTAAACGATCAAACATCTCAAATCCATTTGCTTTTAGATCTTCAAAATAAAGTCCTTCGTAAGGTTCTTCAGCCAGAGTCTTGTAGCAATGTGGAGCATGATGAAAGCCATCATTCTCCACATCAATTCCTTTATCTTTTTGAAATTTCTCATAAATTGGATAGATGTGCTCATAAAAATTAATTTCACGAAGGAAGCATGTATGAGTATCAGTACTTTCTCGTCTTGATGGATTTTCTGGCGATAATTTGATGATCAAGCTTGTCACAGTTTTATTTTCCTCAATATCAATGACTTCAACTCTGTACATTATTCCAAGATAGTGGTCACCTACACCAGATCCAAATCCATACTTTAATTCATAATTATCAAGTGATTTTTTCAAATTTTTTTGTAGATATTCCATTAATGTCCTTCCATACAATTCATTTGGTAAATTTGAATCTCTTCTAATATTATTCATGACTGCACCTTAATTTACTTGCGGCTGGTTAGAAATTAAACTTTCAAATGAAGTAAAAATGTAGAGCATTGTCGTCGTTTATGGCTTGATAAGAGATAAACATATTTTTAGTGATAATCAGCTTTATGACTCAATTTTTATTGTCTTACTTACAAGATCTCATAAAGTTTATTATTCATGATGATGCTATTGAGACTATTTAATTAGAATGATGCAAATTTATCAAGCTGGTGATGTATTTCTGTTGATCATTAGGATTGAAGTTAAGCTGTATAATATGGATGGGTTGTGGATTACTCAAATGGCACAAATCGGTTAATCGATCAGAAATCCGGCATTAAACGGGTGTGACTCTGGAATGGTGCTAGATTTATCCTTATCCTTACTCCTTACTTGAATTTTGATTCTGTGAAGCATTAAATGTCAATTTCCCATTATCTTGTCTCCCCCTTAATTACAATACAAACCAATTCAAATTCCTCGCATTTTATTTCTTCATTTTTTTTATCTAATCATATTTTTCATCATTTTTTTTACACATCATGTCTCAATTTTTAATAACTAAGTTTTTCGCAAAAATGCTTCTTCATTCAACTTTTTTTTAATATTTTTTTTTTTTGTCATAAGAGAAAAAAATCCTAGGTGAACTAGAAAATTACATTAAATCTGTTTTAAACGCAAAAAACTTTAGCGCTTATAGAGTCTGAAGGAGCAAGGTTGGATTTTTAAAAAATAATAATAATGATGTGTATGATTTGCTCAAGTGGAGCTTTATTACGGCACCCTTGAATACTTTTTTATGTAAATTAATGCTGTTAAAAATAATGATGGTTATATTATGTGTGTGTGTATATATGTTAAATATAGTTGTTATAAAGTACAGGCTTAACAATCTTGAAGTAACACAAAGTATGAAGGGGGATCGTTTAGGTTATTTATTGCTTGCACTTTTCATCTTTCCTTTACTATGGTATGTCCATAAATCATTTAAATATTTTCCTATGAACATGCAATATTTATTTCTTATTTTTTTTTTTTGTCTTGTATTAACTCGTGTGTAATGTATGGTAGTGTAAGTTCGTGTTTTAGGCACTTTTCATAAATTATTACAAATATCCTTTTTCTTTAAATTCCTTAATTTTACATCTTCATACTTTGCTTCACGATTTAATCTCTTGATCTTTGTTGCATTTGCGGAGCTACTAAAATCATAATGACTAGTTTTTATGCGGGAAATTAATTTAAATTATTGTGGCTTGTGCGAATCATAAAACGGCATCTATACACACAAGAAATGGGAGTTACTTTCAGAAATGGGGATGGTTTATTTAGTTGCTTGAGAAAACTTTTGGTAATTGAATATTTTATGCTTATTAATATTCACTTGATGGAATTTAGAACTTGAATTACTCACCAGAGTGGTAGAATCGCTTGTTTTTTATTTTCCATGACCCCCACTGAGAGTGAATCAAATATATAAAAGTTCTCAAGACTCGCACATCCCCATAGCTTTAGCCAAGGCGTTTAAACTCAGGATTAATCTTGAAAAATCTCAAAGATCCTAAAAATCCCTGAGCCAATGAACATGAAAATGTGAAATCCCCAAAATCATTCCTCAAATACATCAGTGATTACACATTTTTTAAGTTTATTTTCCAATGAATTTTTTAAGGATCTTTGGGATTTTTCAGGATTAATTCTGAGTTTCCACGCCTTGGCTTAAGTTTGAATCACATTTAAAATCCTTAAAAAATATTCTTATTAAAAATAAAACTTTGACTTAAAATGAATTATTGCAGAATTTAAAAATTAAGTTTACAAAAATAACTGAATCTTCAAAAAGTACGCACTTTACTTAATCTTATGTTTAGAAATGATCATTTAATTTAGCAAAAAATATATATTTTATTATGCTTGAACTACGCTAAGGAATTAATTTAAAAAAATTATCTTCATTTTCTCATTTTTAAATGCACAAAAAGATTTACAAAAAGTTTATCGTCAATATTTCAATTACAAATCGTTTGTTTTAAGTTGTCGTGTGAGAAGATATCATAAAATTCACTGGCTGCTCAAGGATTTAACCATTTCTTATTACAAAGGTTATTCAGGAAATATTAAAAAGCTTTTTTAAGCTTCTGGATGTTGTTTTTTTTTTATTTTTAAAAGTTTCAAAGCTTTTATGAAAAGAGAAGTTGTGGAAATTTTCTAGAATTATTGCTTAAGCTTGTTTGTGTTGGCTTTAAAAGTCCATTCAGGTGTTTCGTGAAAAAATATTTATCTATTTTAAAGATAGTTTCTGGTTCTTTTGTAAGCATAACGAGTATCTTCAGGATTTTGACTAGCTCCTCAATCTTTTTTTAAGGAATCTCCTTTCTGAGTACCTAGACCTCTATCTTCATCTCAAACAACCAGTAAATCTTATGATACCATGCAAAATCACTAGTTTTATATTCCTCATTTTGTTCGTCATCCAAGACTTCCTTAATATTCATTTTTCGATTTATTTTTGAACAGCCAAATTTATTTGTGTTACGGTAAACGATTCGCTGCTCACACTATACATGATCAGCTATCTACTTTTCCTTTAAGATTTTATTCGTAACATTATTTTCCTCAAGCTACATTTTAAAGCTGTTGCTATCATCAATATTATTAGTTTTTTTTTTGCTAAAAGTTAAGTCATATAAAAATGTTTTTATCTATATCGAATTTCTTGAAATAACTATCAACAGTTTTGATCAGCTTCCGTTTCTGCATCCTCATCATGTTCATCTAGCAAAGGACTATTATCACAATTCTCAGGAAATGTTCCAGGAGTTGTTGGAGCTGATTTTGAATATCCATTTTTGTATTTATTACATCCGCGTGACTTATTTAAGAAAACACTGGCAGTGCCAGATAATGGACTACGTAGTTTCGTGTTCAGTCCATTAGGCGACGAGAGAGGATTACAGGAAATCGGAATATAAACAGAACGATTTTTCATATTAAAGAATCTTCTTTTATTGCTAAAAGATGTGGGTCTCTTAATCATATTGTTTGTTGTGGCTATCGTAGGTCTAATTATCGTATTACTACACGATATTTCAGTCGATGGTCCAGGCCTCGGTTGACTTTCAAGTTTCACATTATTAGTTTCCTTCTCTAAATTTATATTCAGTTCCTCATCAGAGAATGTTCTATCCTTTAATTGCCTAATTTGTTCTAATAAATCTTTCACCTCTTGTGTCGGACTAGTGGCTTGAGGCGGCGATGAAGGACTATTTAAATTAGCTAGACTCGAAACTGTCGAGCCTGTATTTGAATTCATATAACCTAATCCTATAATCGCACTCTCACTCATTTTTTTAGCTATTTCACAACTTATTGGAGATTCGGATGCGCTATCAAAACTAGTTGTAATATTAAAATGTGATCGAGTCTGTTGAATTTGTTGTTGCTGTTGCTGTATCAATTCACAACATTTTTCCAATTGCTTTTGAATCATATCGAGTTTTGTGTGATCATTAGTTTGTTTACTATAAGCTATTTTATCTATCATTGCAGCTGATAATGAGAGCATTGTATCATTCGAATGATAAATGCTACTTGCTTGATTTCCGACAGAATCATTACCAATATTCCCAATCGATGCACCTTCACTTGCTTGATGAAAGATTTCTTCATCCTCATCATCGTCATCATCCGATATACTAATATTATGATTTCGTGACGATCCCGAGCATGTGTGTGTCGTTGTCATTGTGGAATTTGAATTTGACGATGTTGGAATGCGATAATTTCGATTCTCAATATCACTATGATCGTTAAGTTGAAATAAATGAGAGAAATTAGCACTTTCCGATGCTCGAAAATGGTAGTGTGAATTAATTGTCGTATTCGGAACTGACATTGGTCGATTTGCCATGTGTGCTTCATTACCAGTTAAAAGTTGCGATTCTATTTGATTCTCGTTGGATATATTAAAATTACTACCGATATTATTATGACTAGAACTATTAGTATTATTATTATTATGGCTGCTTATATTATTAAAATTATTATTATTATTTGTGTTCGAGTTATAGCCTTGCTGAGATGCTGATCGAGGAATTGCATAGTTTTGCAATGAAATCGAAAGATCATCAGGCGATGCGGCAGACGAGTATGGTGGCGGTACCATTGTATTTGCTTCATTTGCTGTACATATAAAGCTTGAACTTAATGAGTCGATAGTACTTGTTGCTGACAATGATCCTATCGGACGTACTATGTAGTTTCGAAAATATTGCACCATAAGATAATTTGCGGCTCCATTGCTGGCGCCATTTTTTGATCCATCATTCGTATAGCTGAATACCAATGGATACAAGTCGGGTTTCGATGTGACCTTAAACAAATAAATAAATGAATTGTCAGTTTTGGTTTAACAAAATATTTTGGCACTTTAGCAAGAACAAAAAGCAATGATAAATCATCCCGTACCTCATTGTATGGAGGAGGAGCATGATAAAATGAACTACATCTAGAATAATGCGGCGGTGCATAACATGACCCCGCAGAATCACCCTCAGATGGTGTTCGATGATTTGATGATGTACTCCATCCTGTACAGAATAATGTATGTCGTTTCTTCCACAATGAACATATCAATAAAAGTGCTATAACAATAGCAAAAAGGAATAGCCTGGAAAATCGATAAAAACATGTCATAAGCATAAGCTGGAGCTCAATATTAAATAAATTTTTAATTACTCACCAAAAATACCAATGATTAATGAAAAAAAGATTTAGTACATGATCTGCCGGTTGTTGCGGACGTGGTGCACTAGGTGGTGAAAAAAGGTAACAACATCCTTGTGCACAACACTCTTTGGGAGGCAAACAGCGATGATTTCCGTTCTCACAAAAACGAGCTGAGACCTAAATATGACAAGTTTTTTTTATTTTTTACTTTTTTTATTAGACACAAACAAATAAAAAAGCTTTAGGAAACAGTGGTGAACGGACAGAAGCAGGATGAAGAAAAATATGCTCGAAGGAGAAAAATTCAATTTTTTGACTTTCTGTTCCTTTTTCCTAATTTCACATTAATGTTAAATTTACGAATAAGCAAGCACAAAAAAAAGAAATAAAGATTGTCTCCATAAAAAAAAGTCTAATGACATTAAAAAGACTGTTCATGCAAACATATTTGGAGACATCATACATAATATGCGAATATGATGATAGAGAAGAGTTATGTAAATTTTTATGTAACAGATTTTCAGCGCATTACATTACGAGGCGACAAAATTTCAATAAAGAAAAAAAAAATCATGATTTCAAAATAAATTGTGTGTGTTTGTATAGGCATAAGTTATGGAAGTTGAACTTTAGTATTCTTGGGTTATTTGGTATGAATAAGAAATTTTGATATCATCAAAAAAGTTCCAATTGAATATATACAATACTTAATTTTTCATGGATTCCTACGAGGCACTCAATATGATATAACAGCACAAAGTTTTGTATATTTTATTTGTGGGTTCATTCACTTTTTATGTCTAACATGCTGAAGTATCGTTTAGGGAGTTTCCAATATATTATGGACATTGAAATGCCAAGTAGGTAATGGTGGCAAAGGCTGATCCATGAGACCTTTAAGTTATTAACTTTGAACACAATCCAACCTTTGTCACATCATTTACAAATAACCCCCAAGTAAAAAAGGGCAAAAAAGAAAGGATATTACTGCGTATTATCAGATAAATAAATGAACTTTGCCAAACTTCTGACGATTTTCTGTGTGAATAATTGGCAGAATCAAATAGAAAAAGTTCAGCAATCTTTTTATAGATCATCAAGCACTGCCTTTATTTTTTATTTCAAAATCATAGAACAAAGAAAAAGAACATTCAAGACATTTTCCACTTAATTTAGTAACTAGCACATAAACGCCTATGAATATCTTCTCCTAATTATAGCAAGGGTCAATTTGAGTTTGTACAAGACTAAAGCTCTATAATATATGACAGTAGCTCAAAGAATAAGAAGAATCAAGGAGAAAAGAATGCAGTAAAAGCTTATGGTAAACTATAAAAATATTTTTTTCTCCTTCCTACTCTTCTTTATTACGCTATAGTCACGTATTTTTGTGTAGTAAAATCATTCTTCCTCGTAAGTGAAAAAAAAAGTTATTTTAGTTGAACGAATAAAATGAAATTTTTGAGCTTTATTATCGTTTGAAGGTGGATGTTGAAAATTACTGGTTGTCTATAAAAAGAAATAAGTTGAAAAGTTAATAGCTCATTGCAGCTATTGCGTATTTACTTGGAAATTTGAGGAATTTAAGATTCTTTGAACTGAGGACAGGCATTCTTTGAGATCATACTACAAGGTCTAAGCTAAGGTACACAGGGAACTAGGTTGTACTCTGGAGTAGATTTGAAATCCGATAAACTATAAAATGAGTTATAAATAAAATTTATCTGAGTCTAAGGAACGGTGCCTCATGTTACCAACATCATGACCTCTAATGCAACATCCAGATCAAACATTAGCTTCACAAAAGCTACATTCAGTGTAACTGGTAAGTCCAGAGTGAAGTAATTTGAACAAATGTCTGTCATTTTGACATTATTCTTATAAGTAATGAGAAATCTTGCTCCTCGTAGGAATGGAACCTACGTCTTTGAAAGCAAAAAGCCTCTGGATTTAAAACTGTTGTCCAACCTTTCGGCTTCAAAGCCCTTACTATAATACATTGCTCAAAATCTTTAAATTCTACGCTTCTTCAAAACCACAATCAACAAACAACCTTTTCCCCATTCAGTCAGTTAGCCAGTAATGCAGAGTTATGTCCCACATTAAAAAACTTTTCATTCATTTCATTTCAGTAATTTTAATGCTTAAAAACTGTTCATTGCAAAAGAGGAGCAGAAAGCAAATAAAAATGAATTGAAAAAGGCAGGAATAAAAAATGACGGAAGGGAATAAAGCAATTGAAAAATTTGCTCAAACAACAGAAGCAGAAGCAAAAATTGTCGAAGAATTAATTTTAACAATTTTCATCATATTTATTCAACATTTTTTCAGACGATCTATGTTCCCCTTGTGATTGCCTGCTGCTTATTTTAATAGAAATTTATTTAATGTTCTCGTAGGACGCATGGAGTAGACAGAGAATGAAAAAAATGATGATGAAAAGCAAAAATTTGTTTGCAATTTTCCTTTCAATTCATTTCACTTGATGTGCTTTATACTCTGCATTGGAGATTATATCATTATCTGGCTATAATAATCTACCTCCTTGTTTATATGTCAATAGAGGGGTGGAAAAAGAATTAAAATATATGAAAAGACTCTACGAGAATTGGGTACATAATGTAATTCCACCTACACACACACACACGAATTAGTTCCTCATTTTTCTCTTTAATGATTTCGTCGTAAACACGGAAGACACAAAAGTATCGGAAATGTAGAATGAGAAGATAATGATTAAATTCGAATGCTGCTACACGTTTTTGACAGATCTATCTATCTTGGTTCCGTTTTGATACAAAAGAAAAAGATGATTATGTCAGAGTTGTCTCTTGGGATGTTAAGCAATTGATTTTTCATAGAATTTTTAATGAACTTGTTATGAAATATTTATTTTGTCATTGTTGTATGCATCTTTAGAGAATAAAGGATATCCTTGTATTTTGCGTGAGCCAACAGATTTCTGTACTTGGAAATTCCATTTACATAAATTTTTCATTAATTATGGAATTTTCAACAGCTGGAAAAACCACAGAATTATTAAATTTGGTTCACAGGTGCAGAATGTTGATGAATTGGAATTGTCACAATTTTAAGCTATGATTGTCAATCATTACAGAACACAAATTTTCTTTCTGACACACCCTGCACAATTGTTTAATCCACAAACAAACTCAATTGTTGCGATAAACAAACACAATCCATTAGATCTGACACATCCGTGTAGCAACTCCGAAAATTCATTTTATTTATGATACATTCAGATAAATAGATAAAGGAAAATACGAAGTAAGCAAACAAAGAACAAGTAATGGAAAGGTATATGAGTAATATCTTCTTCAACCTTCTCAGGTTCTTTTAATAAATATATATATCATGTTCTAATTATTGTGTCCATTTGTCTGCTCATATTTCATCATCACCTTGACCAACTGTTTCGAACTCAAGGTTTTTGTGGGTTACACAGACCGAAAATTTATGCAGCATTAAGAACATGTAATCATATTCTCATAAATAACGGTTTTGATGTTGATTCTATGGACTTAAATGTGTTTCATTCAACAAGGATTTTCTATAAAACTGTTTGTTTAATAAACGGAATTGATGAATTGTGATGAGACATGATGCTCATCTTTCTATCCTTCAAAAAAAAAGGCACAAAAGATGTTTTCTTGATTGAATTGTGTTAGGCATTCAAATATATGTATGATATACAACAACAACTACTATTGAATGCATGTATAAGGAATTGGTAAAATTGATTTTCCCTACTTCTATAAAATATATATATATATAAAAAGAAATCAAGTGCTACATTCTAGGAATATGTTGCAAAAACATTTCCTTTTCTACGTCAAATCATAAATTGAGCTACTATGAATGGTATAAAGTTATGGGGCATTCTCACTAGATTGATTGTAAGGGCAGCGAGCAAACTAGAGTAAATCCAAATCAGGTGTTCCATTGCGAACATTTTCTAAAAATTAGTGATGTGAATTCAAGATGAAATTTTGGCATGATTCTATATGATGACGTTTGTCCTTATGTATATGTATTTTTTTCTATTTGTCTCTTCCTCCCGAAACATGAAAGAGATCCAGAAATAAAAATTATATATTTTTTTTAAAATTCTTTTCTAATTCATTCACTCGTCGGTGGATTAATGTAATAATGAGTTATTAAGTCACGATAAAACAAATTTCCATGATCAAATAATGCACGAATTCTGAGATAAATGTTCACTAATAATGCCTTATTTTTAATATATTTTTTGAAATTATGCAAAGTCCTTTTTCCACTTTTTTATACACAGTCATTTAGAGTTGGAACAAAAACGTTACACTTTCACTATTTTCCACCGAAAACTGCTGATTTTCCATTTACTTTCGATCATATCATGGTATCTGATAAATTTTATGGGATTTTCCTCACCACAAATTATTAAATTTCTTAACTTTTTTAATATTTTATTCTACTTGCGAAACTTTTTTCCTTTCTCTCTTTGGAAAATCCTTTTTTGTTTTCCTTTTTATGATTAGCGCATGCGCATAAATTTCACATGTCCTTGTACAGTTTATTTTAAAAAGGAATTCTTGACATAAATATTTTATACGCTCATGTAAATCTAGTCTGTCACTATACTTAGAATTTTATTTGATAGACTTTAATGAATGATAAGTAAATTATTAAATTTAATCAAATTTCATCTCAAAAAAAGTGATAAATCGGATAAATCTTAAAATCATTGTCAACTTTATAACGGTTGAATAAAATTCAAAAATCAGCCCTTTGAAACAATAAAAACTTAATAAAATATTGTAGGGTTCGCCCACATGCGTATGCATGCGCATCCATGCAAATTTCTCATGCGCATGCATGCAACTTTCTCGTGCGCATGCATGCATTTTTATTCCTTTTAGGGATTTTATTCCTTTTAGGGGCTGTTCACTTATTACGTTCGCATTTTAGAGGGGATGGGGGGGTTTGAAAATTTGTAACAAAATGTAGCATAGGGGGGGGGGGGGGGGGTCAAGAAGCATGTAACGTTTCAACTGTCGTCTGTCTTTTAAAAAAAGTTCACGAAAAAAATTTGTTTACAAATTCACACCAAAAACATTTTTTTTAACTTTCCACCTTTTTAATGATAAAATAAATTATGAACGTTTAGGCGGGGCGGGGGGGAGGGGGGGGTTGTGAGTTGTAACATATTGTAACAGGGGGGTTACATATTGTAAAACAATATGTAAATGTGTAACATATTGTAAAAATGTTGAAATTCGCTTTAAAACTGCTTAAAAGTACAGGTTCCTACATCAGCACACCTCTAATTTGACCTTCTACTCACTACTCAATAATCATTATTGAGACATATTGAAACGAATCCAGCAAAAATGAGAAGTTTCAATTTTTTTTCTCAGATATACATGCGCATGTTACGTGCGCATACATGCGCATGTTTTTGCATGTGCATGCATGCGCATGTCAATCTGGTGAACCCTTAAATATTGCCAACATAGTCAACATTATTTTAGAATTTAATATTATTTAAATGTTAAACATCGTTCAAAGATGAAAGTAATACTATTAAGCACACTTTTGATCACAATCTACTTTGTATCACCAGCACAAGCATGGGACAGCGAAGATTTAGAAGTTTTCGATGTAGTTGATGCAGTTAAAAATCAGAATTTTTATACACTATTTGGAATAAGTCAAGATGCGAAATTGGCTGATATTAAGCGAGCATTTAGGAATTTATCAGTTACTATGCATCCTGATAAAAATAATGCAGAGGATGCAAATGAAGTATTCAGAAATATAGTAGCAGTATATGAAATATTGAAAGATCCAGTGAAACGTGAAAAGTATGATAGTGTTCTTAAGAATGGAATGCCTAATTGGAGATCAGCTGTTTATTATTATCGAAAAGCTAGGAAAATGGGACTTGCTGAAGGAGCAACTTTACTATTTGTCATTATTACTGTTGCTCAGTATATTGTTTCTTGGGGGGTCTATCTTGAGAAAAAGTATACAATGGTAAGTCATGGACACTTAATAACAACATGTTGCTTACTAATAAAAAATATATCCTTATAGGAATCACTTTTTGAAGCAAAGTCTAAGAAAGTAAGGAGAGCTAATGTTGATGTGAATTTACTGCTGAATGAGATACCTCGACCAAGTGTCAAAAATACACTGCCTTTCCAAATTCCAATTGGGATTTATCGAATGATTGTTGGAGCTCCATCAGCTATAAAAGGATCAGTTAATGTAATATCAGAGGAATTAAAAAAAGAAATGGAAAGAAAGCGACGTGAAAAGGAGGAAGAAGAACTGATCAAAAAGCAAGAAGCTGAAAAGCAACGTGAAAAAATAGAACGTAAAGAAGGTCTTAGACGACGTAAGGAACAGGAAGCAAAATTAATAGAAAAGACTGATGAAGAATTAGCAGCTTATTCAGCAACAATAATTTCAAGAAGACCTGGAATGGAGGAAGTCAAAAAGATTCCAATTAGTGGAGGTTTATGGACTGATGATGATCTAAGTGAATTAGTAAGATTAACGAAAAAATATCCAGGTGGTACAACAGATCGATGGGAAGTAATTGCAGAGTCTATGGGTAGAAATGTCAGTGAAGTTACATTCATGGCTTACAAATTGAAAGACAATGCTTATCATACACCTGGTGAAACTGACAAAATTGTTGAAAGTATCAATAAAGAATTGTCAAAGAAAGTCAAGACAAAATCAACAGCAACACTAGCAACGGAATCACAAAATCCTGAGAAAAATTGGTCACAAGAACAACAAAAAGCACTCGAAGCAGCCATTCAAAAATATCCTAAACGCGGTAATGAAGACAGATGGTCAAAAATTGCTAATAGCGTGCCAGGTAAAACAAAAGAAGAATGTCAGACACGCTATAAATATTTGGTTGAATTAGTAAAGAAACAAAAGGAAGCAAAAGACAAAGAGGTGCAAGAATTAGAGAAAGAGAAAGAAATAGTTGAGGTAGAGCAACAAAACATTGAAGAGGTTGAAGACGAAGCTTCTCAAAATGCTGACACTGGAGGTAAAAAGAAAAATAAGAGAAAGGAGAAGAAAAAGAATGTTGACTACTACGCTGATGATTATTCTGAAGAAGATATGAGTGATTAAATTGATTTTATTTTTACTATTGCTTAAAATGTCACACATTTATTATTCAGAAATTAAAACATGAGTAAAATGAATGTCTTTTTGCGTCTTTAATAGAATCGACTTGGTAGCTGAGAGAATGGATTTCTGGTCGAATATCTATCTCTTGTCATTTTATACAGGTACTTAGCTTCGTCAAATTTAATTTTCAATTGTTCGAGTTCCTTAGCTTTCATTGGTTCCATTCGACAATTTCTAAACAATTGAACTGCCGCGACAATTTCCTTCAGTTCAAATCTCTCTCCTGCTGTCAATAGACTTCTATCATTCTTATCAGTCACGTGAACCTTTCCTGAATACAAATACTTTTTGACTTCATCGAAAGTGTCCTCGTTCATGTCTTCAATCACAGCTTCATTCTGATTGTTCGTAATAATTTTGGCAAATATTGGGCTTTGTGCTAAATTTAAAAGTTGTCGATTGTGATTAAAGGTGTCAGAAATTATCAGAAGCTATAAATTCAAAACTTACCAGCAAAAACGATGCGATGAACTCGAAATGCTTTTCCATTTACAATGAATGTAAAATCACAGAGGTCAGCAAAGGAAGAGAATTTTTCAAGTGAAATTCCGTCAGTCATGATGAAAATTGTTTTTTTGGTTCTTTTCTTATCAGGTGCACTTAAGAAACTAACGATAATTTTAGAATCCTAATAATAAAGAAAATTATTTTTTTTTTTGATCTACCTGATGAATTGTCGATCGACTGCTTACAAACACTAAAACGACCAAAATGAGCTCAATGCTTTTCCATAAATAAGTGAAAGAAAAAAAAATAATAAACAGTCAGTCAATGAGAATTATCAGAAATGTGTTTAAAAAATTCTGTTTGATCACTCTCACATAGCGTGAGTAAGAAGGTTTATTGTTGTTGTAAATGTGAACTACAAACAGCTGATTGACTCAACTTGTTTACATCTACCAATGCAGTCATATCAACACTGCGTTTCCATAAACGACTTTTTACTCTCTGAGAAAAGCTTCCATTCTCTTTTGTTCTCTTTCGTAAGAGTGAGCTTTTAAGATTTTGAGGAGATAAAAGCTACAAAAAGAATGTAATGATCCTTTACGACCATGTGGATGCATTTGACGAATTTTAGTGGATCATAAAATGATCTTTTGCAACATTTTGGAACCTATAAAAAGGCTGGCAAGAAAAATTTTGATGCAGTTATTCTTGAGATTTTGGTAACCACTGGACTCAGTCATGGATAAATTAAAATCTATTTTATTCTCCTTATTCTGCTTGCTTTACTTAAAAGAAAATCTGGTTATTGGTAAAATAAGAAATGACAGAAAGTTGTACTTCTTTAATTTCACAACGGTAAAGCCGCTTGCTCAAAGAATAAAGGATAAAATGACTTCTCGCATTCCGCAAAATTATGGAATCTATAATTTTACTCAAGATTACAACTACAATAATTGGAATGTATTATTCACTTATCTGTACACAAAACCTAAATTTTGGACAAGTAAGTTTATAATTTTTTATGCTAGCAAAGCATCAACAACTTAATTTCATCATAATTATAAGCAAAACCTCCAAAAACATCAAGTTATCATCACACATTGACTTCTGTCGAAGAATTAAGTTCAACGATTAGCTCAAATATTCAGTCAATAACTTATACTGGCTCACAGCCAACTTCTAGCTCGATGACTCAAGTAACTTCAAGTTTTGTCATACAGCCAACTTCGTCTTCAACCTTAGAAACTCAAACATCAACAAGTTCTGTCAGTCAGCCAACTTCTTCTATAAGTTTAGAAACTCAAACATCGACAAGTTCTGACAGCCAGGCAACTACGTCCACAAGCTTAGATACTCAAACATCGACAAGTTCTGTCATTCAGTCAACTACGTCCACAAGCTTAGATACTCAAACATCGACAATTTCGGACACTCAGGCAACTACATCCACAAGCTTAGATACTCAAACATCAACAATTTCGGACAGCCAACCAACTACGTCCACAAGCTTAGATACTCAAACATCTACAAGATCATCTCGAACTTCAACATCATCTTCAAGTTTAGAAACTCAAACATCTACAAGATCAACTCGAACATCCCGTGAGCCACAATCTTCAACTTCGCCTCGAACATCAACATCCCGTGGGCCACAATCTTCTAACAGCTCTTCAAGCTCCAACAATAATTAACTTAAACAAGATTCACTGTAATAAAACCGGCTGAATCAAAATGTGAGAAAAATGCATTTATACAGTACCTAAAAAATCAATAAACAATCTTGTAAACCCCACAAAATTTTTATTGCAAAGATTATATAATAAAAATTCCAGATTTAGATCATGACGACGGATTTTTGAACAAAAAGTTCAATACACTGTTTTGGTGGGTCATTCTTGTTGATGTTCTTAAGCAAGCACAAAGTTACAGGTCCATAAAAATTTTTATGAATCTCTCCTTTATGATGATTTTTGGGACTATAAAAAGACTGATTCTGTAAATTTTTAAGTAGTATATCCTAAAAAGTTGAGAAGTAACGACCGAAAAATGAAAGTGTCCAAATATTTTTTCCTGCTTGCATTTCTTGTAATATTCCTGAATAGTAAGACAACAGCTGGCGGTTCCAGAAATGATCGGCAATTGCATCAATCTGGTTTTACCACACGTGCTCCTCTAATTCATCGTGTGAGAGAAAGATTAACGTCAATATTAATGCACAACCATGAAAATATAGCTTATCATCATCAGCTATATCATCAACATCAGCACAATTACTGGAATATTTTGCATGGACATTTATATACAACTCCAATGGTCCCAGTATCTCAATCAACTGTTACCGCAATAAGTTTAAATTCAAGTAAGTCTGATGGAACTATGATTATATGAAATTAATAAATTTTGTGTCTTTTTGTAGCCACAACTTTTCCTGAAACAACTTCTTCTATTTTACCAACTTCCACTGAATCAACTGAATCCTCTACATCATCTTGTAAAATTGAAGAAATTATTAATTTAAATCTGTGAACTTTTTATATTTTAATTTTCAGCAACAACAACTTTGAGCCCTCAAAAAAACTCTCAAGCTGTTACACTTCCTTTTTTCATCACGACTCCGACTACTGAAGCCATAAAACAATCTACAACATTAGCTACAGAAACATCGACTATACAATCAACTACAATCGAATCCACAACAACTAAAACTGAGCCAACAACAACCAAGACTGTCCCAACTATGTCCAGAACTGAGTCAACAACATCCAGAACTGAGCAAACAACATCAAAAACTGTGCCAACTACGTCTAAAACTGAGTCAACAACATCCAGAACCGATCCAACAACAACCAGAACTGAGCCAACAACAACCAAGACTGTCCCAACTACGTCCAGAACTGAGTCAACAACATCCAGAACTGAGCAAACAACATCAAAAACTGTTCCAACAACATCCAAAACTGTGCCAACAACATCCAGAACTGAGCCAACAACATCTAAAACTGAGCCAACAACATCTAAAACTGAGCCAACAGCATCCAGAACTGAGACAACAACATCCAGAACTGAGTCAACAACATCCAGAACCGATCCAACAACATCCAGAACTGAGCAAACAACATCAAAAACTGTGCCAACTATGTCTAAAACTGAGTCAACAACATCCAGAACCGATCCAACAACAACCAGAACTGAGCCAACAACAACCAAGACTGTCCCAACTACGTCCAGAACTGAGTCAACAACATCCAGAACTGAGCAAACAACATCAAAAACTGTTCCAACAACATCCAAAACTGTGCCAACAACATCCAGAACTGAGCCAACAACATCTAAAACTGAGCCAACAACATCTAAAACTGAGCCAACAGCATCCAGAACTGAGACAACAACATCCAGAACTGAGTCAACAACATCCAGAACCGATCCAACAACATCCAGAACTGAGCCAACAACAACCAAGACTGTCCCAACTACGTCCAGAAATGAGCCAACAACATCAAAAACTGTGCCAACTACATCCAAAACTGAGTCAACAACATCCACAATTCAATCTACAATCTCGAAAACAACCCCAAATTCAATGGAAACATCACCCACTATAGCATCAACAACTACAACGCCGTTGAAAGGTTTAAAAAAAAATATTGTCAAAAATCTTTATGGAATTTTAATTTTATTTTTTATAGATCCTTGTGATGATCGTAAAACGCTTTATGCAAATGGAGTTGCCCTTATAAAGTTGTGTTACATCAATGAATCATTGACATGGTTTGAAGCAGAAGAAAAGTGTTTATCACTTAAGTATCGTTTATTTGAAATCAACACATATTTTAAGGAAATATCCATGTTTAATTATTTTAAAGATTTTGCAGTCAACAATGAGTTTCATTGGGTAAATGGAATCGCTGTTTATACTGCAACATCCACAGATTGGTATGTTGTTGATCCAAATCAAGTATGGAACTATACATCTAATAATTGGTACGGATTGGTTAAGGCTCCAGTTCCAGGATTATGTTTGGGTATTATATTTGTGTCTGGAGCAGGAAAGTTTACTACAAAGGACTGTGATGTCTTCCACTCTACTTTTTGGTGTGAATACTAATTATTTCATGTGAACCTTAATTTTAGAGTTTGTGATTATTTTTGAGAAATAAAAATTGACTTTTCATTTAATCTAAATAAAGAGATTAGATCCAGTTCAATAAAAACTGATTTTGTTTGTTGTATTTAAAGTATAAAGCATGAACTCTGCAACGCAACAGTCAACAAGCACAAAACATTCAAATATGTGGCAGCATCAACGATTGTTTTGATGCGAGCAACAAAAAGAGTAAAATGTTAATAGCTTATAACAACAACTCACAAAATAATGATGATCAACAACATATATCAAGTGATGGAGAGAAGCTGAAGAGAAGTTTAGTCTCTTTTCAGCCATCATCGGAATCAGATGAAAATTTCTCGGATGAAAGCCAACATCGACATATTTTAAAGATACAAATTTCTCCAACGACAGCAGTAGTAAAAGCAATAGCTGCGACAAGAAATTCCTCGTCGAGTGAAATTGTCGACAATAGCAAATTGAATAAATCATCGTCAATAATTGTGAATAGTAATAGTAATAATAGTAAGAGTAAGAAAATGTCGGTAGTGTCAGGCAAGAGATGTGAAAACGATTCGATTTATAGAAATGTGACAATAATAAGAAATAGTAACAATGATGACAATGAGTTCGATGATGATCAATTTGAAAAGGATGAATACGATATTGAAAATTTAAGTGATGATCAAAAATTAGTTTTGAATGGACATCATATAACGGTAAAATGTGGTAGTGGCAGTGCTAAAATTAATAATAAGTTAATTAGGAATAAAACTGAAATCATTCAATTGACGAATGGACATAGTGGAAGCGGAAATATTATGAATATTGTAAATAGTAATAATTCCAATGGAATCATATTGAGTAGTGGTCAATGTTCACCAGAAGAATGTATCAGTGTAAATGGTGAGGATCATTTAGATAGTGGAACATGTAGTGATGTGGAAATTAACGTTGGTTATGGTTTAATTACAAAATCAATGCCTTCATCACCGCCACCACTTCCTCCAAAAGGTTTGAAAAAGATTGCCAAATTGAGTGAAAGTACATTCAGTGATGCATCAAGTGCATCCTCATCGTCTGATTCTATGCAATATCAACATCAACAAATTGATGATCAACTCAAATCACCGGATCTAATTCGTTCTATTGAGAACAGCACTAAATTAAATCAATCAATAAAAAATAAAGAAAATGACATGATAAGTGTACTCTTACCGACATCCTTACTGCATGACATTCGAAATCATTCAATGAAAGCATTTTTACAATCAAGTTTAATTCATGGTGAAGATGATGACGATAGTGAGAATGATATAGTGCTGCAATATGATAGTGGTGAACTTAATTATATTGATATTGACTTTTCAAATGAAAAGAGTGAGGAAGTGAAAGAAGAAATTGTCATTAAAGAACATTTTGTTGAAAAAAGCGAAAAAAGTAAAAATAATAAAACAATTGTGGACTTTTTTGAGGATGATAAGTTTTACAAATTCCATTTGAATGAAAATACAGCAAGTGAGGATGATAAAACAGCAGCAACACATGAAGAAAGTGATGAAAGTTTTGCAGGATATAAAGATTTAAGAAGTGGAACATCTACAATAAGAAGTGCAAAAGGAACAATTCGTGGAGTAAAGAATCGAGTCAGAAATGGAATTGCAACATTCCTACAGATGCAACAGTCAACAATTAAGGTATGTAGGCCACGTTATCATTATTGTCAATAGTTTGTAGAACATTCTATAGCGTCTCACGATCAGTATCTCTGTTTGTGGACTCGATCGCCATTTCTTTCTGCATGTTATTATGTTTGATCAAGAAGGAGAACAAGTAAGAAGTTTTATGTTTGAATGAGGAAACAACGGGAATTTCAAGTGTGCAGAAACTGTTGATGCTGTTGATGCTGTTGATCTTGTTGCTAATTTCCATTCATGTTGTTGCTTAGTGACATAAATTTTACCTTTCAAACTATGTTTTGCTCTTATTCAGTTCCCCAAAAAAATTGGTTCCAATTTATAATCAATTTTCATTCAACTAACATCAGCTTACTCTTGCCTTCATAGTCTTTTCACTCGTATTTACTAAAGATGAACAAAAAACGTGAGCTAGCGAGTGTAATTAATTAATTTTTTAATTCAATTTTCTTCTCGGCATGTGTAATTTCAAGTTTCGCTGCTCTTGGAAGGAAAGAAGAAAGCACTTTATGAGGCCTCATCTTCCTGAACTTCTCAAATTTCAAATTAAAACAATAAATGTAAAAGTGCTGCTGCTGCTGCTGCTTTAAACGATGCCAATATCAGATTATACAGTTATGTCTCTCATTCATTTTCTTTCTATCTCTCAAATATGAATTCATGACTCAATTTCTCAATCCAAGCATGCTCAAATAATGCACTCACTATGTCTTGCGATCTTACAAGCTGACCCTGACTTAGTATACTTTATCCTTGTTGTTAATAAGACTGACTTGATCAATATTTCTTTGATTTTGTAAAACTTCTTGAATGTTGTAGAATCCAGGAGTGTAAAGCTATTGTGGATGCGCTCGATTGCATTTTGAACTTGCTTTATTCATTTTTCAAAAATGAGTCTTGAGATTGAATAAAAGAAAAGTTTACAATTCAGCAATACTTGTTCTTGTCATCATAAAGTTGTTGTAGCTAAAATAAATCATGGAGATAAATTAGATCAGCTATTGCTAGCCATAAAGACTGTAACAGTGTCAAGAAAGAAATGAAAAATGGAAAGAAAAAATTGCAAATAATTGAAAAGATTTAATTAAGTCTAATTTAATTTGAATAGACAATCAATTCAGCAACAGGTAGCAATTAGAACAGCAAAATCTGCAATATTGGGTCAAAATTCAATTGTTATGTGCTGTGGATGGACATGCATGATTATTAAAATTTCTTTTATTTGATTTGAGCTTCAATTTGAGTTTAAGTTTTGTGAGATGAAAGAGAAAACTTGCAATTTAGCCTTCCTTCCACCAATCTACTCCTGCTCAATCAGATGCAGTTAGTGCATGCACGCGTATTGAATTTCATTCTCATTAAAATCGGCAAGAAAGGTTGAAATGGAAAGAAAACAAAGCGATAGTTAACATGCTAATTAAGTGGCTAACATCTCACTTTGCTCAAGCATGCCTGCAACAATTTCAATGTTGATGGATGAATGGACAGATTGAGACTTTGTGAAATTTTATTGCTGCTTTGTTTTTCAATTCAAAAATGTAAAAAATTTACAATGAGAAAAATTCATGGGATCTGACAGAAAATTCACTTCCTCAACAATTTCTTACTTCCATAAAGTTGTGAGACAAATAAATCTAATTGTTGAGATGAAAATCTTGAAGCATAACAATAGAAGTGAATTTTCTTCTCAACAATTCATCATTTAATAATTTTTTTTTGGATGATTTACAAAATACTGTAAACTTGAAACTTGAAACTTTTTGGCTCGAGACCGAGAAATGAAAGTGCAATCATTACCGTTTTGTGATTTGCAAGTTTAACAACATTTTTGTAATTCCACGTGAAATTAATCAAATTAAAATTTTTCCCGCGCATTTTCCTTCCTTTTCACTCATTTAAATTCATTGACATTCCAGCATGTTCCACGACACTATGGAGGATTTGATAGAAGAGAGCAAAATCACCACCAATAATATCTTTTAATAGAAGAAGAACCGACTGACCTGCTTTCTCTTTTCATTTCGTTAAAACTTTTAAGCAATGCTCAAAATATTTTTATTTCTTCTTTTCCTTTGCCTATGTATGTATCTCTCTCGAGTATGTTCATTCATAATTTTTACAAGATTATGATAATGTAAATACAGCAACAAGTATCATGTCCATAACTTATTTATTTAAATTAATTCGCCGCATAAAAAAATTTCTTTTGCCAAAATTTCGTTTTCATTTGATTTTTTGCCAGCCACAACTTGCCGTACCTGAATTAAGTATTCAACTCATGTGCATGGATGCTTACAGAATTTCAATTATTGACAATCTTCTCAATCAACACAGCATGGCCTGTGTCTTAATAACATAATAACATCATACATAATATATTGGAGTTAAAGCCACTCCATCATCAATTTATCAGGTGCAATGCTCTACATTGATGTTCATTGAATAAGAAGTCAGGTCAATAATTGTAAAATATTTTTCGCAATCTACAGAAATGTGACGGTTCCATTGCAATAATGAATCTGTCGTAAGAAATGCTTTATAGCAGGCAGTTATTGTAGCTTCAATGTGAAGAATCTTATGTAACGAAATGCTGCAATTTAACAAAAAAACAAAACATTTATGATATTTAATTGCACTCTGTGTATGTGCTGTACTGCACTTATCTAACAAAGAAATCTTGAACATGGCCACAAAAACCCAAAACAGATATGATGTGCTGCACATCATATCATAATATTTATAAGATGAGAAGAAAGCATGTAGAGCTGTTGATGCTCACAACAATAATTAGACTGGAACCGCCGAAATATTTCATTCTTGTCAGTCTGAAGACATCTAGTCAAACAATCTGCTTGTTGCTTATGTTTTTAGAATTTAACGACCCATAAAATTGTTGAAATTTATTTTAATTCCATTATTATTATTTTATTGTATTTTGACAGAACTTCAAGGAGAAAGACGGTGGAAAGATTGTGCTGTATACAACAAGTATGGGTGTTGTAAGAACAACTTATGCCAAATGTCAAGCAATGAAACAAATTCTAAGAACATTGATGGTCAAATTTGAGGAACGAGATGTCTTTATGTGCTTTAATCATCAAAAGGAAATTCGAGAACGGATGCAATCAGATGACATTGATGTTCCACAATTATTTGTTGATGGACACTACATTGGTGTAAGTTGACTTGTCTGTTCATTGAATTCTTGTTATGTGGTAGCAATTAGCAAGTAATTAGCCGCTTGACATACATCAAATTATGTCATGAACCATGTCAATCGGTTTCAATACTTCAAGAAATTCACACACATAATTTCTGGCACATTCCAAGCAGTCAATACTCGTTCTTGTGTTGGTGATAAATACTCAATCATAACTGTACATGTGTGATTGCAAAAAAAGTTCATTTAGCACATTTGTGCTACCTGCAACATTAAGTGCCAAATTGAAATGAAATTCTATCTCAATTTGCACATCTAAAGCTCTATAATCATCATGATGATTGCCACTTATGCACTTAAAGAGATTAAATTTTCATTTTCTATTATTTTTCTTCACAGAACGCTGATCAAGTCGAAAGACTCAACGAAACTGGTGAGCTGAGAATGATGCTCAAGCCATTCAAGGTAATCTCAAGTTACCAAAATATAAATTCATGGTGCTGACTTCCTCAAACTAATTTTCATTTCATTATTTCCGTCTTTTTTTCACAGTCCCGAGACTCATTAGCATTGTGCAATACGTGTGGAGGATATAAAATGATGCCATGCACATCATGTGGCGGTTCCAAAAAATCCATACATCGCAATCATTTCACAGCAGAATTTGTTGCTCTCAAATGTATGAACTGCGATGAAGTTGGCTTAGTCAAATGCTATAACTGTGTATAAATGCTTCTTAAAGTGTTTTAGATAAAAGAAATTTTTCTTTTCTTAAAAGTCATTAAGAAGAACACAATGAAGACTGAGGGGAAATGTTATAAACTCCATTAATACTGAAGAAAGTCATTAAAGTAAAACGAGCAAATAATTGCAATAACATGAAAATTCAATTTTCGAAATTTAATTCAAACAAATCATAATAAAATAAATGATTAGGTAAAATTTGTAAAGCAATGTGGTGAGTGAGCTGATGCTTAATGTAGTAGTCTAATTAAATTTCTTCTCTTTAGTATTAATTTTATTTCGCGTTTTACTTATTGAAGAAATCGTTATAAGAAGAGAATGAATGAAGATTTTTATTTTTTTGTGTATGCATAGCTGTTATTACTTTTACTGTAATTGTTAATAAAGTTATTTTATTTATTGCTTATTAAGTTGTTTCATTATTTAAAGCCCTTTTCTCTCACTTAAGTTTTTTTTTTATTACAGGCATGATGGATTTGTAATTGACGAAAGGTTTAGAGATCGTTACACCTCAAATACTTATTTTGACTTTCATTGAGGGGCAGCTCAATGACAAGGGTGTGGAATTGATAATTAATTCACTTATAACGTGCAAGGGGGGTTCAGCAAGAAAAGAACAATAGAAATTCCTGGAAACCCATTGTTCTTTTTTAAGAAATGACTGTTAATTTTGGACGTGATAAGTGACAACCCAAAAATTAGATTTTGATCAATTTTGATTATTTATGGTCATTTTGATCAGTTCCGCACTCTTGCTCAATGACTGAAAAAATTGATTTGATTATCAGAAGGTTAAAAAAAAGTTTTGAAGCTGTTCTTTTGTTGCAGTGGTGCTCATATTATGCTTCGCGACACACTTGAGCTAGAACTATAGCGAGTTCAGTATGTCGCATTCAAAAAAGGTTGATCCAAAAAGATTTAAATTTATCCAAAAAAAAATCTTTATTAACTTCCCTAATCTTGACATTGTCAGACTATTCAAAGAAACAGAAAGCTTAATTTTTCGATGTTTATCTCATTGTTATCCCCTTTGGAATTTTTCAATAAGTACTCGATGACATTTCAATATAAAAAAACCTCTGATTGATGTACCATGATCTTGATGATCGTAAGACATAATCAATCAGGATCAATTTTTATTATATTCGTGCTGCTGTGATTACAACTTTTTTCTTTCAGCATAACAAGTTGGTTTATTCAATATTGATCAGTTGATAGACTTCGATCCAATTACGACATCACGACACCATAAGCAGCTGGCAATATTATCATATCTACTTAGTAATTTTGTTACTTTGTTGCGAGACATGTATGTACGCCATGGTTTTAATCATGTGTTTAAAGTTGATGATCAACACTTATTATTTTGCATACGATGGTTATGAAATAATGAAAACATTAAATTCAAGGAACTGAGATTTTTAATAATGTGTCACGAGCTTTGAAGGGCTTTCAGCATTGATTGACAATTTTTGTAAATTACTAAGGTTGTCGTGCAATAATTTTGGTGTAATTAAACGCACTAATCATAAAGTTTCATTTCAAGTCAGTGACAATGTCTTTTAATTGACCTTCAATATTTCAAAAAGTGCGAATCTGTAACTTAAGTTGAAATCTGAAAGTCAAAATCTATTGCAGATTATTCACCTTTACACTCATAATTCGTAAATCCAATCTTTAATCCAGCATCTTCCTCAATAAAACTCACTCGAGAATCTCTAAGACGATTACAAACTGAAATGAAGAAATCAATGGAAGTAATTGAACATAAGCTTTACTAAGATCATTAAAACATTTATTAAAATACATTCTTTATTCACATGTTCTTCAGGTTTTAATCAATTAAAATGAATGAGAAAGAATTTTCTCTGCACACGTTTATGACTTTAATAACATTCTCTACATTTAATACAGACAAGAAAGTATGAAAACGTTATTTCTTTTATGGAAATGTATAACAACTTTTAAGCACAGTTATAGCATTTGACTAAGCCAACTTCATCGCAGTTCATACATTTGAGAGCAACAAATTCTGCTGTGAAATGATTGCGATGTATGGATTTTTTGGAACCGCCACATGATGTGCATGGCATCATTTTATATCCTCCACACATATTGCACAATGCTAATGAGTCTCGGGACTGTGAAAAAAAGACGGAAATAATGAAATGAAAATTAGTTTGAGGAAGTCAGCACCATGAATTTATATTTTGGTAACTTGAGATTACCTTGAATGGCTTGAGCATCATTCTCAGCTCACCAGTTTCGTTGAGTCTTTCGACTTGATCAGCGTTCTGTGAAGAAAAATAATAGAGAATAAAAATTTTATATCTATAACTGCATAAGTGGCAATCATCATCATCATCATGAGCTTTAGATGTGCAAATTGAGATAGAATTTCATTTCAATTTGGCACTTAATGTTGCAGGTAGCACAAATGTGCTAAATGAACTTTTTTTGCAATCACACATGTACAGTTATGATTGAGTATTTATCACCAACACAAGAACGAGTATTGACTGCTTGGAATGTGCCAGAAATTATGTGTGTGACTTTCTTGAAGTATTGAAACCGATTGACATGGTTCATGACATAATTTGATGTATGTCAAGCGGCTAATTACTTGCTAATTGCTACCACATAACAAGAATTCAATGAACAGACAAGTCAACTTACACCAATGTAGTGTCCATCAACAAATAATTGTGGAACATCAATGTCATCTGATTGCATCCGTTCTCGAATTTCCTTTTGATGATTAAAGCACATAAAGACATCTCGTTCCTCAAATTTGACCATCAATGTTCTTAGAATTTGTTTCATTGCTTGACATTTGGCATAAGTTGTTCTTACAACTCCCATACTTGTTGTATACAGCACAATCTTTCCACCGTCTTTCTCCTTGAAGTTCTGTCAAAATACAATAAAATAATAATAATGGAATTAAAATAAATTTCAACAATTTTATGGGTCGTTAAATTCTAAAAACATAAGCAACAAGCAGATTGTTTGACTAGATGTCTTCAGACTGACAAGAATGAAATATTTCGGCGGTTCCAGTCTAATTATTGTTGTGAGCATCAACAGCTCTACATGCTTTCTTCTCATCTTATAAATATTATGATATGATATGCAGCACATCATATCTGTTTTGGGTTTTTGTGGCCATGTTCAAGATTTCTTTGTTAGATAAGTGCAGTACAGCACATACACAGAGTGCAATTAAATATCATAAATGTTTTTGTTTTTTTGTTAAATTGCAGCATTTCGTTACATAAGATTCTTCACATTGAAGCTACAATAACTGCCTGCTATAAAGCATTTCTTACGACAGATTCATTATTGCAATGGAACCGTCACATTTCTGTAGATTGCGAAAAAATATTTTACAATTATTGACCTGACTTCTTATTCAATGAACATCAATGTTGAGCATTGCACCTGATAAATTGATGATGGAGTGGCTTTAACTCCAATATATTATGTATGATGTTATTATGTTATTAAGACACAGGCCATGCTGTGTTGATTGAGAAGATTGTCAATAATTGAAATTCTGTAAGCATCCATGCACATGAGTTGAATACTAAGTAATTCAGGTACGGCAAGTTGTGGCTGGCAAAAAATCAAATGAAAGCGAAATTTTGGCAAAAGAAATTTTTTATGCGGTGAATTAATTTAAATAAATATTTTATGGACATGATACTTGTTGCTGTATTTACATTATCATAATCTTGTAAAAATTATGAATGAACATACTCGAGAGAGATACATACATAGGCAAAGGAAAAGAAGAAATAAAAATATTTTGAGCATTGCTTAAAAGTTTTAACGAAATGAAAAGAGAAAGCAGGTCAGTCGGTTCTTCTTCTATTAAAAGATATTATTGGTGGTGATTTTGCTCTCTTCTATCAAATCCTGCATAGTGTCGTGGAACATGCTGGAATGTCAATGAATTTAAATGAGTGAAAAGGAAGGAAAATGCGCGGGAAATATTTTAATTTGATTAATTTCACGTGGAATTACAAAAATGTTGTTAAACTTGCAAATCACAAAACGGTAATGATTGCACTTTCATTTCTCGGTCTCGAGCCAAAAAGTTTCAAGTTTCAAGTTTACAGTATTTTGTAAATCATCCAAAAAAAATTATTAAATGATGAATTGCTGAGAAGAAAATTCACTTCTATTGTTTTGCTTCAAGATTTTCATCTCAACAATTAGATTTATTTGTCTCACAACTTTATGGAAGTAAGAAATTGTTAAGGAAGTGAATTTTCTATCAGATCCCATGAATTTTTCTCATTGTAAATTTTTTACATTTTTTGAATTGAAAAACAAAGCAGCAATAAAATTTCACAAAGTCTCAATCTGTCCATTCATCCATCAACATTGAAATTGTTGCAGGCATGCTTGAGCAAAGTGAGATGTTAGCCACTTAATTAGCATGTTAACTATCGCTTTGTTTTCTTTCCATTTCAACTTTTCTTGCCGATTTTAATGAGAATGAAATTCAATACGCGTGCATGCACTGACTGCATCTGATTGAGCAGGAGTAGATTGGTGGAAGGAAGGCTAAATTGCAAGTTTTCTCTTTCATCTCACAAAACTTAAACTCAAATTGAAGCTCAAATCAAATAAAAGAAATTTTAATAATCATGCATGTCCATCCACAGCACATAACAATTGAATTTTGACCCAATATTGCTGTTCTAATTGCTACCTGTTGCTGAATTGATTGTCTATTCAAATTAAATTAGACTTAATTAAATCTTTTCAATTATTTGCAATTTTTCTTTCCATTTTTCATTTCTTTCTTGACACTGTTACAGTCTTTATGGCTAGCAATAGCTGATCTAATTTATCTCGATGATTTATTTTCGCTACAACAACTTTGTGATGACGAGAACAAGTATTGCTGAATTATAAACTTTTCTTTTATTCAATCTCAAGACTCATTTTTGAAAAATGAATAAAGCAAGTTCAAAATGCAATCGAGCGCATCCACAAGAGCTTAACACTCCTGGATTCTACAACATTCAAGAAGTTTTACAAAATCAAAGAAATATTGATCAAGTCAATCTTAATAACAACAAGGATAAAGTAGACTAAGTCAGGGTCAGCTTGTAAGATCGCAAGACATAGTGAGTGCATTATTTGAGCAAGCATGGATTGAGAAATTGAGTCATGAATTCATATTTGTGAGATAGAAAGAAAATGAATGAGAGACATAACTGTATAATCTGTATTGGCATCGTTTAAAGCAGCAGCAGCAGCACTTTTACATTTATTGTTTTAATTTGAAATTTAAGAAGTTCAGGAAGATGAGGCCTCATAAAGTGCTTTCTTCTTTCCTTCCAAGAGCAACGAAACTTGAAATTACACATGCCGAGAAGAAAATTGAATTAAAAAATTAATTAATTACACTCGCTAGCTCACTTCTTGTTCATCTTTAGTAAATACGAGTGAAAATACTATGAAGGCAAGAGCAAGCTGATGTTCGTTGAATGAAAATTGATTATAAATTGGAACCAATTTTTTTGGGGAACTGAATAAGAGCAAAACATAGTTTGAAAGGTAAAATTTATGTCACTAAGCAACAACATGAATGGAAATTAGCAACAAGATCAACAGCATCAACAGCATCAACAGTTTCTGCACACTTGAAATTCCCGTTGTTTCCTCATTCAAACATAAAAACTTCTTACTTGTTCTCCTTCTTGATCAAACATAATAACATGCAGAAAGAAATGGCGATCGAGTCCACAAACAGAGATACTGATCGTGAGACGCTATAGAATGTTCTACAAACTATTGACAATAATGATAACGTGGCCTACATACCTTAATTGTTGACTGTTGCATCTGTAGGAATGTTGCAATTCCATTTCTGACTCGATTCTTTACTCCACGAATTGTTCCTTTTGCACTTCTTATTGTAGATGTTCCACTTCTTAAATCTTTATATCCTGCAAAACTTTCATCACTTTCTTCATGTGTTGCTGCTGTTTTATCATCCTCACTTGCTGTATTTTCATTCAAATGGAATTTGTAAAACTTATCATCCTCAAAAAAGTCTACAATTGTTTTATTATTTTTTATACTTTTTTCGCTTTTTTCAACAAAATCTTCTTTAATGACAATTTCTTCTTTCACTTCCTCACTCTTTTCATTTGAAAAGTCAATATCAATATAATTAAGTTCACCACTATCATATTGCAGCACTATATCATTCTCACTATCGTCATCATCTTCACCATGAATTAAACTTGATTGTAAAAATGCTTTCATTGAATGATTTCGAATGTCATGTAGTAAGGATGTCGGTAAGAGTACACTTATCATGTCATTTTCTTTATTTTTTATTGATTGATTTAATTTAGTGCTGTTCTCAATAGAACGAATTAGATCCGGTGATTTGAGTTGATCATCAATTTGTTGATGTTGATATTGCATAGAATCAGACGATGAGGATGCACTTGATGCATCACTGAATGTACTTTCACTCAATTTGGCAATCTTTTTCAAACCTTTTGGAGGAAGTGGTGGCGGTGATGAAGGCATTGATTTTGTAATTAAACCATAACCAACGTTAATTTCAACATCACTACATGTTCCACTATCTAAATGATCCTCACCATTTACACTGATACATTCTTCTGGTGAACATTGACCACTACTCAATATGATTCCATTGGAATTATTACTATTTACAATATTCATAATATTTCCGCTTCCACTATGTCCATTCGTCAATTGAATGATTTCAGTTTTATTCCTAATTAACTTATTATTAATTTTAGCACTGCCACTACCACATTTTACCGTTATATGATGTCCATTCAAAACTAATTTTTGATCATCACTTAAATTTTCAATATCGTATTCATCCTTTTCAAATTGATCATCATCGAACTCATTGTTATCATTGTTACTATTTCTTATTATTGTCACATTTCTATAAATCGAATCGTTTTCACATCTCTTGCCTGACACTACCGACATTTTCTTACTCTTACTATTATTACTATTACTATTCACAATTATTGACGATGATTTATTCAATTTGCTATTGTCGACAATTTCACTCGACGAGGAATTTCTTGTCGCAGCTATTGCTTTTACTACTGCTGTCGTTGGAGAAATTTGTATCTTTAAAATATGTCGATGTTGGCTTTCATCCGAGAAATTTTCATCTGATTCCGATGATGGCTGAAAAGAGACTAAACTTCTCTTCAGCTTCTCTCCATCACTTGATATATGTTGTTGATCATCATTATTTTGTAAGTTGTTGTTATAAGCTATTAACATTTTACTCTTTTTGTTGCTCGCATCAAAACAATCGCTGATGCTGCCACATATTTGAATGTTTTGCGCATGATGCTTGTTGCTCTTATTGTCGTACCACATGTGTTTATCATCAACTGATGTGGTTTCATCAAATAATCTGATGTTGTACGAGTTCAGTGATTTCTGTTGAAATTCTTCAGCATTATTTTGCAAATTTTCGTTTTGACTGACGCTGATAATGGTTGGTGTTATTGGATATTGTGTTGATGACATCATCTTAATTTATGCAAATTCTCCTTGATGATTTTTTTGCATTTATTTTAAGTTGACTAACAAGTTTTTATCTCTTGATCTTTTAATATTTTTTGCAAGGTTTGATAATTCTTATGCAAGATTTAGAGGTCTTTGAGGACATTATACGGAAAATTAAGCACAATTATTTGTTTCAATTTTGAACATTAAATTTTTTTCTCAATCTTATAATTATTCACATTGTTAACAATTGTCAATAAAGTTAAAGTTCTTTAAAAATTCACTATAGAAAAAAAAACTAATTTGAACTTATCAATTGATCTGTCAACGAAAAGGTATTGATCTCTTCGAAACTTGCCGAGTGACTGAAAGCGAAAAAAAAATTTTGTTATTTTTTTGTAAACCTCAAACTTCCATCGTTCCGTTTGACTTTAAAATGAAATAAACTTTTAATGGTATTATTTTTCGGGCATGTGTTTTAGTGCTTTTCATAACTTTTTTTTGTTTCTTTCTCTGTTTCGTATTCTTCACACCGGTGCCGATTAAATTGTGATTATGAACCTTTTGCTAAGTTTTGTTTAGCTTCTTTTCACAGTGATTATTGGTTTTCTAAGTCGTTTTGGCTGAATTTTGATTTCTTGATGTTTAGATTTCGATAGTTTCTGTCTTATTCTACATTTTCATTGAGTTTATCCGTCATTCTCCTCTGGTTTTGTGTTTAATAAGGAAATTGGAACTGAAATATCTTAAATTGTCCTTCGATTTCTCTATTGAACTTTAATTAATCAAACCCAGGCCATGTCTAATTTTCGAAGCTCTTTTTCCATTTCACCGTTCTGGTTACGAAGCTCGGTTCGTGTGTTGGGTGTAGTTTTGAGGTTTGGCACAGAATCTGCCTCCTTTGCTAGGTATACAAGGATATACTAGCATCTGGATGACTTCCTTACCGCATCTTGCGCACACGAATTGTGACTAGGTACATTGCAGGGTACATCAGGTCTTATGACGTACTCGTGTCTTTGCAATGTGCAGAGCTTGCAAGTGGTTCGGATCCCACTATAAACTGTAGGTCTAAAGGGTGTGGTACAATAAATTCTGTTCTAATTTTAATCGCAGTGCCTCCAGCTGAAAGGCTGGGCCCTACATACATTATTATTATTAATTAATCAAAAATTATTACAATAAACAATCTCAGAACCTTACAATAACAATAATAATGCTTTCAAACGTAAAACTTCATCGATCGTTAAATGAAAGAAAGTAAACAATAAAATAAAATAAATGCTTCATCTTCCCAGAATCTGTGAATCACCGACTTTCTTACCAACTTTTCTTTCTTGCTGTTAAGCAACCGTGTGAAATCGATACAATGAAAAAAATATCAATTTTATGTATTTGACTGGAGGGAAATTTATTATTTTCAAGATGAAATTGAGAAATTACTTTCTTTTGGTAGATAATCATCATATTAATCTTCAATTGTTGAAACTATTACGCTCATTGTATAGTCATTGAACAAAATTATTTCATTAGCACAGCGCGTGTATATGAGTAAGTATATATGTCCAAATGGACCAAAGTTTTATGAATGAACTTTTGTTTTAGATCGATAATCTCCAATTAAAATATTTATAAAATTGAAATTCGAGTCGATACATTAATTATCTAAAGAGAAGCTACATTGTATGCACTTGGATGCCGTAAATTTTTTTATAAACCTGGTTATAGCGGACTTCGACAAAAAACAATCTTTTTTTATAAAAATCAAGTTTGATAGTCGAAGTTAATTGAAATATAAAATAAATAAAAATTGAGTAGCTGGAATTTGTAATATGCCACAGCACCAGTTTCTTTATTTACAATGACTATCTTGCCATGATTTCTTGTATTTCTTCTATGCTGCGATTTTTTGTCTCCGGAATGAAAAAGATATTAAATATGACGCCAATTAGACAACAAATCGCAAAAATTGACATCGTTCCGTAAATTCCCATTACGTTAATGGTCGTTGGAAGAAACTTTAGATTTGCGTACGAGAAAAGAGAAATAAAATAGTTAATAAAATGTAAATATTCGCAAGGTGAAAGGCAACAATAAACTTACATATATTGTTAAGAATGCCAAGCCCCAAGAAAACACTAAAGCGAATGAGTATACAGTACTTTTAATCTTCATAGGAGTCAACTCGGTGATTATAAGAAATGGAAGAGACACAAGACCTAAATAAAGGAATGGAATGAAAGGCGATAATTTAATTAGTAAAGAAGAAGCTGTAAATTGATGAAATATTATTACCGAGATTTGCAAAGAAGATGACGAAGGCGAAGCTCAATAACGGGATAAAGTTGAAATCCGATACATCAATTCCAATGACTTTCATATAGTCATAAACGCAAAAGACTGATAATCCGATTGTACAGCATGCAGCAGATGTTACCATAAGAAGTTTTCGTCCAGCTCGATCGACCAAAAGAGTTGAAACATAAACACCTACAACTTGAATAACACCAACAATAATAGCCGAATCATTTGGAGAAAGTGTCGAGCCAGATTCATCAAAGACTAGTGAAGCATAACTAAGAAGCGCATAAGTTCCGGTAAATATTTCTGAATAGAAAGAGAAACAATAGTTTCCGAAATAATAATTATGAAAGTTAAATGAGGTAAATCGTATGTCTTAATACCAAAAACCATGAGAGCCATGGCAGCAATGATTGATTTTCTCGCGGGTCTTGTTGCTATGAATGATAAAGACATTGTAAATTAGTTCTTGAGAAAGGTCATGGCAACAGAAGCAATTATGCTTACTGAAATCTGATAACGTTAATTTACTATCTCCTTCAAGATGTGCTGACTTGATATAAGCCGTCATGTTATCATACTCATTCTTTAATTTATTACTCATTTCAGCTTGTTTGTAGCTAAAACCACTTCTGTAAAATTTTAGTGCATTTTCTGCGTGCTGAAATAGGTAGCTTATCAGTCTAAATATTTGATGACTTGCTGAATTTATGATATTCACCTTAGATTTACCATTTTCCATTAGATAAATAGGAGATTCATGGATGACACTGACACAGATAAAGAATATTAAAGGAACAATCAAAAGTATGATGCAATTCCAATGATAATTGATGTAAGCACCAGTTACATAAGCCATAATCATTCCGATATTGACTGAAAGCACCATTAATGATCCCAAACGACCACGAATTCTAGAAAATATTTTTTTAATGCATAACTAAGCAAATCGAATCTGTTGCAAATTTACCGGTCTTCAGATATTTCCGTAAGAAATAAAGGTATAACAATATAAACGCCTGTAAAATATGTTATTGAATTGTAACTTCTAGAATCTTAACAAAGCATAGCTCACCTCCTCCAGAAAAGCCTTGCAAAAATCTTGCAGCTATGAGATAATAAGCATTCTGCCCGAAATAAATTAAAAACCATGCAATAACTTGCGGAATCGCAATTGAAATTAGTGCTCGTTTTCTTCCAATTTTATCGGCTATCTGTACATTTTAAATTGATTACTATTAAGTGCTGTTCCTATTAAAAATTTGATTCCAACATACCCAACCATAAAAGAATGACGTCAAGCAGCCTCCAAAACTACTGGCAGATCCTACAATTCCTATATCATAATCTGATAATGGACCACTCGGTAGTGGAGTTGCATCTGTTTTGAGGAGATCTAGAGCAGGTGATATCCATCCGAAAGAGTTGCCATATGCAATCTGGGATGGATTAAAGGAATTTAGGCTGGTCAGACTTTTCAATGCAAGACTCCTGCAAATTATAATCTTTAATAATCTGCGGGAGTCTTGATTCAATCAAAGAAATTTTTCTGATACAAAACCAAAAGCCTATTAATCATCATGACTTGTTATCAGTCAAAAAAGTATACAACCATGAAAATCACTGCTGAATTCAATGAATAATTGAGCAGTTCATCGATGATTCATTAATTTGACATCAATAGAAATGTCAAGTGTCAGTAATTAAGGTTTGAACTCAAGGATTCTTAAGATTTCAGTGATTCTGAGTACAACTAATCATATTATTTTCATAAATCCTTTGCTTTTTCAAGTGGCAATCAAGCTCTTGTCCGATTAAATCTTAAATTTTCAATTATTTCAATATTGCTTGAACGAAATTGTCGCCAAAAATCTTTTCTGACGCAATAAAATGTGTTTTTTATGGTATCTGACCAGAAACTTTGATGTCATGTTCTTGGGAAAAGGGGATTAACTTTAAAGTATCTTATTAATTGCTGCTTCATATTGGGATTTTTCAGATTAAAGTCTGATGTTTTTGAATACATACTGTATGTATGAAAAGATCTTCAGAGGTTTGAACCATTCCAGAAGATCTGTAGCTTCAACAGATGATCCCTAGCTAATTGTTAAAAAATATTCAAGAATTTCTGTTTGGATATCAAACCCAATTAAAGATTTATGATTTAAGTATGTAGCTCAGTGCTGTCCAAACTGTGTGCCGCGAGCCACGTGCTGTGTGCGACTTTGGAAATGGCTTACCTCTAAGGTGTTCCGTGGCTCTAAAAAGTTTGCACAACACTGATGTAGATCGATGAATAATCCCTTAGAAGGCAATCATTGATAAGAATTTAAGAATAGAGTTTTAAAAATTTAATATTCAAGTCACTCTGTATATGAATTGTTTTTGTAAGAACTGACCCTTTAAAAGTTCAATGAATCATGTGATTATTTTTGTTCAGTAATATTGTATCAAACTTGAAATTGATAAAACTGAAAGCTGTTTGTAAAACAGCATTGATTTCAAAGCACTTGAGATTTTATATTATGTAGAAATTCGATAAGTCTTGTTTGCGGTTATGTCAAAAACTTCTCAAAAACGAAAGTTTCAAAATATCATCGAAATCACTTGAATAGAACAACGTTGATTACTTGCAAAAATTAGAAGCACTTACGGCTAGAAGATTAACACAAAAGGCTGTGTAAACTTGAGTTTTAAAGTTACTTTCCTCCTTTGGCTCCATATCTCTCCAATTACCTAAGAAGAACTGAACAATTTCAATGAGAATTATTATTTTATTTCCATTATTATCATTTTGATAAGGCAGGCATAAGATTTGCAAATGTTTAAAGAGATAAAAGGGTCTGTAAATCATTTCAATAATTTATGTCTCGTGCGAGGAAGTAAATAAATGGTTATTATCTTTAATGTGACTTAATACAAATATGTATTACTAAAGAGTCAATTTTATGGAATAATAGATAAACAAATAATGGCCAACGACTATAAAAGAAAGTGAAAATAAACAATTCAACATAATAAAAATGGTTGTGTTGCATGTCAAAAGCTTTCTCAATTCTATCGATATTATTTCAAAAATTTTTCTTCTTTCAGCGAGCGGAAAAATATCGAAACATGATAATTTGCCATCATGGAACTCTTGGACAGTCTCTAATATTTTGGTAAAGTAATTGAAAGTCTTCTTAATCAACTTATTGTTATCTAATTTGTATTTTGTCGTACAGAGTGATTTATCAAGTGGAACTAAAATTTTGAACAGTCATTGGGCTTGGGGCGTGTCAGTGGAAAATCTTTTGTTATTCATTTCTTAGCACACTTTATTTTTTAAACTTAATTGATGCAGAAAATGTTACTGAACGCAGATGAGATGCAAAAATAATTACTGAACGCATAAAAGATGCAGAATTTTTTTAATGATCTCAAAAATTATTCAGAACTTTAAAGATGCAAAAAACAAACGGTTGCACAAAAAAAACAGATATTTCAGCTAAAACAAGACGCAAAAATGTTAATAAACACACAAAAGATGCAAAATTATTTTTTTGAATACACAAAAGATGCAGAATTATTTTCTAAACACACAAAAGATGCAGAATTATTTTTCTGAACACATAAAAGATGCAGAATTTTTTAAAGATCTCAAAAATTATTCAGAACTTTAAAGATGCAAAAAACAAACGGTTGCACAAAAGAAACAGATATTTCAGCTAAAATAAGATCCAAAAATGTTAATAAACACACAAAGGATGCAAAATTATATTTTTGAACACACAAAAGATGCAGAATTATTTTCTAAACACAAAAAAGATGCAGAATTACTTGATGATCTCAAAAATTATTCAGAACTTAAAAGTTGCAAAAAACAAACGGTTGCACAAAAGAAAGAGATATTTCAGCTAAAACAAGACGCAAAAATGTTAATAAATACACAAAGGATGCAAAATTATATTTTTGAACACACAAAAGATGCAGAATTATTTTCTAAACACACAAAAGATGCAGAATTACTTGATGATCTCAAAAATTATTCAGAACTTAAAAGATGCAAAAAAACAAACGGTTGCACAAAAGAAACAGATATTTCAGCTAAAATAAGACCCAAAAATGTTGATTAACACACAAAGGATGCAAAATTATATTTTTGAACACACAAAAGATGCAGAATTATTTTTCTGAACACACAAAAGATGCAGAATTACTTGATGATCTCAAAAATTATTCAGAACTTAAAAGATGCAAAAAACAAACGGTTGCACAAAAGAAACAGATATTTCAGCTAAAATAAGATCCAAACATTTTAATAAACACACAAAGGATGCAAAATTATATTTTTGAACACACAAAAGATGCAGAATTATTTTCTAAACACAAAAAAGATGCAGAATTATTTGATGATCTCAAAAATTATTCAGAACTTAAAAGTTGCAAAAGACAAACGGTTGCACAAAAGAAAGAGATATTTCAGCTAAAACAAGACGCAAAAATGTTAATAAATACACAAAGGATGCAAAATTATATTTTTGAACACACAAAAGATGCAAAATTATTATTCTGAACACAAAAAAGATGCAGAATTACTTGATGATCTCAAAAATTATTCAGAACTTAAAAGATGCAAAAAACAAACGGTTGCACAAAAGAAAGAGATATTTCAGCTAAAACAAGACGCAAAAATGTTAATAAACACACAAAGGATGCAAAATTATATTTTTGAACACACAAAAGATGCAGAATTATTTTTCTGAACACACAAAAGATGCAGAATTTTTTAAAGATCTCAAAAATTATTCAGAACTTAAAAGATGCAAAAAAATAAACGGTTGCACAAAAGAAACAGATATTTCAGCTAAAATAAGACCCAAAAATGTTAATAAACACACAAAGGATGCAAAATTATATTTTTGAACACACAAAAGATGCAGAATTATTTTCTAAACACGAAAAAGATGCAGAATTACTTGATGATCTCAAAAATTATTCAGAACTTAAAAGATGCAAAAAACAAACGGTTGCACAAAAGAAAGAGATATTTCAGCTAAAACAAGACGCAAAAATGTTAATAAACACACAAAGGATGCAAAATTATATTTTTTAACACACAAAAGATGCAGAATTATTTTCTAAACACACAAAAGATGCAGAATTATTTTCTAAACACAAAAAAGATGCAGAATTATTTGATGATCTCAAAAATTATTCAGAACTTAAAAGTTGCAAAAGACAAACGGTTGCACAAAAGAAAGAGATATTTCAGCTAAAACAAGACGCAAAAATGTTAATAAATACACAAAGGATGCAAAATTATATTTTTGAACACACAAAAGATGCAAAATTATTATTCTGAACACAAAAAAGATGCAGAATTACTTGATGATCTCAAAAATTATTCAGAACTTAAAAGATGCAAAAAACAAACGGTTGCACAAAAGAAAGAGATATTTCAGCTAAAACAAGACGCAAAAATGTTAATAAACACACAAAGGATGCAAAATTATATTTTTGAACACACAAAAGATGCAGAATTATTTTTCTGAACACACAAAAGATGCAGAATTTTTTAAAGATCTCAAAAATTATTCAGAACTTAAAAGATGCAAAAAAATAAACGGTTGCACAAAAGAAACAGATATTTCAGCTAAAATAAGACCCAAAAATGTTAATAAACACACAAAGGATGCAAAATTATATTTTTGAACACACAAAAGATGCAGAATTATTTTCTAAACACGAAAAAGATGCAGAATTACTTGATGATCTCAAAAATTATTCAGAACTTAAAAGATGATTTCAGCTAAAAGAAGACGCAAAAATGTTAATAAACACACAAAAGATGCAAAATTATTTTTCTGAACACACAAAAGATGCAGAATTTTTTAAAGATCTCAAAAATTATTCAGAACTTAAAAGATGCAAAAAAAATAAACGGTTGCACAAAAGAAACAGATATTTCAGCTAAAAGAAGACCCAAAAGTGTTAATAAACACACAAAGGATGCAAAATTATATTTTTGAACACACAAAAGATGCAGAACTATTTTTCTGAACACACAAAAGATGCAGAATTATTTGATGATCTCAAAAATTATTCAGAACTTAAAAGATGCAAAAAAACATACGGTTGCACAAAAGAAACAGATATTTCAGCTAAAACAAGACGCAAAAATGTTAATAAACACACAAAAGATGTCAAAATTATTATTCTGAACACACAAAAGATGCAGAATTATTTTTCTGAACACACAAAAGATGCAGAAAATATAGCATAAAATATTGAACACATATAAGTTAAAGCATATTTACCTGAAGTCAAAAACTTGCAAAAACTTTTCAATTCATATTTTCTAACCTCGTGTAAATAGTTTTTAATATTCACTTATAATTTTGATTTGTCACTTTGAAAATTCTCGTTTATTTTCTCTTTACTCCTCGCCTACTTGATTTTAATACACAAACAGCAATAAATTAAATGAAGCAAATTGTTTTTATCACATCCATTGGCACACCTTGACATTCGTTTTGTAAATAAGACTTCCTTTTTGATAAAAATTTTTTGCATTCCAATTTACAGACACTTGCTGGATTATTCTCATACTCTACCTTTCATTTATCATATGTGGTTAATGCTGAGAATGATGGGCCAATAAATCGATTTAAAGCTGTGACTTATGCTATTGATATCTACAATAAATATTCTGGATTTCTGTTGGTTGTGATTCTAGTCGTTATTGGATATTTTCAGCAGTCAAAGAGAGTGAAAATTCATCAAATTTTCATTGAGATTGAGAAAATTGCGAAGAAAAGTTTGAAAATTGACATAGAAAATATGATCACAATGAGGTAGATCTGGCAGGTCTGTATGATTATTATTCTATCAAATAACTGTTTATCTATTTCAGACTCGTCTACACTCAAATCCTCGTTATGTTTACTTTGCTATCAGCTGTAGAATGGTTCAATTGCTTAATGTACATCGGACCCACAACTGCTGTGCTCAGCAACTGCATAGCTTTATGCTTAATACCATTGCTTGTGACTGCAACAGTTGAGTGTCGAGTTTTTGCCTATTTCCTTCTTATCAAGGCACGCTACAAAGTGATAAACACGCTAATACACAATTACAGAAGTAACATTGATAAATTTAATCTACAACCCAACAAAATCCATGTCATTAAACCAAAATGGACATTAATTGATGATACTGTATTTTACATAAATGACTATCCACAACCACGCAAATTTCCTGATAAATCAGCACCAAAGAAAGCTCTTACGAGCAGCATTAAGATTCATATCATCAAGTTGCTGAATTTTCTAAAAAGTCTATTTACATTCCAAAATAGTCACGATTATTATGATAATAAGGCTGTAGAAATGGACATAAATTACAATTTCAATTATATCGATCGAATAATGTGTATGCAAACAATATACTCGAAGCTGCATGAAATATTTGACTTGATCAGTGAAGCTTACGGCATGCAAATTATCGCCATAATAGCCTTTCAGTTTATTACACTGACAACACTAATGTATGATTTTTCAATGAACATAGTGAGGTGAGAAAGTACATGCTTTATGTACACAACACAAAATGCCCAAACATTAATAAAATATTGATTTTTAACGCTTAATTAAATTTCTATTTGCATGTCAATTGACGTCGTTATAGATTGCTGTCATCTAACATTTCTACAAGCGATAAAGATGCAGCCATCGATGAAATATGGAGCTCTGGTTTATGGATTTCAATTTACATGTACAAGGTCTATTCGATGTGCTATTGCATTCATATCACAGTTGATGAGGTAAAAAAAAATCATAACTGGATATTCGTGTCTAGACTGAGTGGTTGAATTAAATTGAATATTGCGGATATATTTGATATTAGGGGCCGTTCACTTATTACGTTACGCAAAAAAAACGACTTTTTTTCACCCCCCCCTCCCCTCTTGTTACAATATGTTACAACTCACAACCCCCCCTGAACGTTCATAATTTATTTTATTTTGATAATTTTTCATAAATCATTAAAAAGGTGGAAAATTTAAAATTTGGAAACAAATTTATTTCGTGAACTTTTTTTTAAAAGACAGACGACAATTAGAACGTTACATACTTCTACACCCCCCCCCCCCCCCCTTCTATGTTACATTTTGTTACAATTTTTCAAACCCCTCCTCCCCCCGTAATAAGTGAACGGCCCCTTATTTGTATTGAATAATGATTGCATATTAAGATAACATCTTAATAATCAATTCATGCCTGATGTTTGAGATTTAACCAGAGATAGATTTACTTCCACTTTGTTAATTCAATTAAGAGAAATGCAAGTTTAAATGGATGTTAGGATTGCTAGGCGCATTTTCACCGATAATTGTTAAATTTTCAAAATTAAGCGACTTTCAAAAATTCAAAAACTTTATCGGTGATCTATAATTCAAATTTTAGCAGTTGTCAAAAAATTCAATTTTGAACAGTTTTCAAAAATTTAAACTTTAACAGTTTTCAAAATATTCGATTTTTAACAGTTTCCAAAAATTTAAACTTGAACGATTTTCAAAAATACACATTTTAACGGTTTTCAAAATTTTAAATTTGAACGGTTTTCAAAAATTCAAACTTTTAACGGTTTTAAAAAATCTTAAACTTTCATTTTAATTTGAATTCGATAAGTTCGTTGTTTTTTAAAAATTTCTATTTAATTCAAGCACATCACTTAACTCACAAAGGAAAACATTAACTTAAGTTAAATCAACAAATTAATATTTTTATATTCACACCGTTTTCACGTATGAATCTATTGGTTTTGTTCAGATTGAAAAATCAGTTTTTCGCATTTTGCGATGAAATGTAGCAAGATAGATTAACATGTTCTAAAATGAAAAGTTTGTGCCTGAAATTTCACATCTTTTGCAAAAAAACAGATTTCAAATTGGTTGCGGCATTGCTGAGAAAATCGCAAAACACGCTTTCTGTAAGCAAGCAAACAAACAAACAAGCAAACAAGCAAGTTAATCAGCAAGAAATCTCAATAACGAGACATCGTAGAGACTTCTAGTTTTTTACATTTGATCCGTGCTGCTCTATAGAAGAGCTGTATTGTGTTTGGGGAAGGTAGGAACAGCCGTTGCTTCAGAAAAAGCAAAAAACTTTCAACTTTTGACGTTAAGCTTTAGACCTTCAAACTTATGCTGAGCGAAGCTCAGTTAACTTATCAAGCTTCATACCTTAATACTGGGGGTCCTCGATTTGAGTAGTTGTTTTGGTCCAAAAAATTTCTACTCAAATCGAGGCAAAGAATCCATACAAAATCACATGTTTTGCTCCAGAGTCCAAAAAATGTATCAAAACAATGAAAATTTTGATAATTTTTTGCACATTTTACCTAGTTTCTTAACTTTACCTATGTGTTTTAGATAACTTAATTTATTTCAACGCATATTCATATTGTTTTTAAACAGAAATTCACAAAAAATATGTTTTTGGAACAAAACAAAAATATGAGAACCTTGCAAATGTTATTTAACCGAACAATTTGTAGGGTTTTTGAATTTGAACTTTTTAAACCCGTAATTTTATATCGATTTATTAAATTTTTACTTTAATTTTGTAACTTTAGTATTGATTTTTCGATCAATATGATAAGTTCACGCTTATTGCAGAAAAATTTGTGTCTTAAAAATAGTTTCTGAAATGTTTTTATCAAAAATATTTGTTTTGTAAACAATTCAAATCGAAGAAAACAGGAAGAAATCTACTCAAATCGAATATTTTGGTGGGTAAAAAATTTTCTGTTCAAATCGAATCTACTCAAATAGAATCTCCTCAAATCGAGGAACCCCAGTACTTATGCTGGGCAAATATTGGTCTATCCATAAGACTTTTGATGGTACGGTGTGAATATAATCCGCATTGGGTTTCTACCCGATACACTAGTTTATTTCACTTTCTTTAATCTTTAAATTGATGTTTTTAAAAAATTATAGGGTCAAAAAATAGGAAATTATCTTCATATTTTTGGATTGCACACGAGCAGATTGGATGAAAAATTTAAAGTATAATCACTTTCTAACAAATTGCTTAATGAAATGAAATTTAATTAATTTTTCAGATCAAGATTTTTCTTCTTCAAATTTTGCATCATAAAATTAAGTTTGCGCCATTCGATTTGTTTGAAATTAACTTGGGATTATTCAGCATGGTAAGTCATGGTCACTTATGAAGCTTTCTTTAATTTAATTGTCGATATTTTATAGATTTTTGGGGCGATTATAACTTACATTTTAATACTAATTCAATTCGATATCGCACAGAGAGATTAAGTATGAATGTCTTTATTTCTATACAGCATTTATTTTTTACAAATTTAATTCTTTACATTTCATCAGAGTCATTGAAGAAGTCATCGTCAACATCATTATTACTACTTGCATCTATCGAGGATCCAAATTTGCTGTTCCATTTGTCCAATTTCACAATCGTTTCCTGCGAGACTGTTGGCTTGACATTTTTGAGAGCATTGACAAAATCTTTTGGTGATATTGGTGGGATCTGGAAAAAACTTCTTCAATTCATATCCCAAATAACTTAATTAAATTAACTTACGTCGTCAACCTTCATAGATTCGAGTGTGGAAGCATCGAGACGTCTTATGGACATCATAGCAGCTTCTTTGCACACCTGAGATATATCAGAACCTGAATACTTTTCACAATGATCCGCAATCTTATCAATTTGACTATCTGTTAATGTATGGCAATGTTTTGAAAGTAAGTGACTAAACATATTAATTCTAGCTTGTTTAACTGGTAACGGAACTAAAATTCTTTTTGTAAAACGACGCAATATTGCTTCATCAATAACGTCTGGACGATTAGTAGCACCAATTAGCAATACTTTATCCGTTTCTTTTAAAGCATTTGCTCCATCAAGCTGTACGAGAAATTCAGTCTTGATGCGATTAAATGTTTCATTTCCTTGTTCTGATCGCTTCTCGAGTAAAGAATCAATTTCATCGAAAAATATGACGCATGGCTGCTTAATTTTGGCATAAGTAAACATTGCTCGAACCAATGTCTCTGACTCTCCAATCCATTTTGAGGTCAATGAACTAGCTGAAACAGACATGAATGTTGCGTCACAAGAACTAGCTATACACTTTCCTATTAAAGTTTTGCCAGTTCCCGGTGGACCAAAAAGCATGATTGCACGAGAGCTTTCTCTCAAACCAGTAAATAAATCTGGTCTACGAATAGCGAGAATGACAGATTCCTTGATTAATTTTTTTGCACCTTCAAGTCCAATTATATCATCCCATGATACTTCCTTGCTGTCTATAACAATTTCACGTTCAATACGCTTTAAAATTTCTTTATCAAATCCTTTTAAATCGTCGTGGACATCTTCAGAATCTTCTTGTTCCTTCTTTTTATTCTCGTTAGCTTTTGGAAATGATGGGCAATGAAATCTTTTCTTAAGCGGATCTATGTCGCTATTTGGCATTTGTGGCTGTTCGATGACATTTGTTATTGCTCGCTTCTTGGACAATCCTCTTTGTGGAATTTTTTTCTGTAGATTTTTTTGCCATTCTAATTCTTGATGACCAGTTCTGAACGATGAGAGTGGATTATTATTAATTGGTTTTGTGTTTTGTTCCTCTTCATCCTTCTTATTATTGATATGAGATTTGAATGTATTTGATTTTGTGGAATGTTGCTTCTCAGCATTAAGATTTCTATTAATGCAGTTCTCTTTCGAAGTATTTTTATTAGTTGATTTTGTGCTGAACAGGTTGGGTTTGTCTTCTTTTGACTCAAACAAGTCATTAAAGTTGTTGCTTTTGACATTTTTCCAAGGATTTGTGAATTTTGACTTTGCAGCATCTTCTTGCTTTTGTTTCTCCTCTTGCATACGTGACCTGTAGAATTCAAGCTCATATTCCTTTCTTAGTTCACTTTCGGTTAACTCAGTGTGAGGATTAGCTTTGCTTTCTGCCTTTTTAATAGCTTCTTGCATTGTATTTGGTTGTTGTGAATGTTGTGTGAAGAATACTGAAATGTCATTCTCAATTTTTGGCTTTTTAAATGGATTATGAAGGACCTTCTTGTCTACTTTTGGTGCAAAAAACGCCTTTGATGCTTGACTTACTGGAACTTTTTCATTTTCTGAACTTCGTCGAGCTTTTTCGACCTTTTTGTTTTCATTCTTGTTACTTCCTAAATCAATTGGATCACTCAAGCTGAAATTCATAATACCTTCACTGTTGCTTGACTGGATGTCTTCTATTTCGTTTGATGATACATCCATAACTGAACTTTCGATACTATCGAGTATATTATTGAAATCTTTCTCAAAACTGACATTATTTGTGTTTGAACTTTTGGCATTTAATCTTTCGACAAGTGACTTTACATTCTCATCATTTACTTCATTATTTTGGCATGAATAATCAAAAGATCCAGCACATTTTCGTTTTCCAAGGAGACTATTTGCATTCCTATTTGTGGCTTTTATGAGATCAGATTTGTTAATCAGATTAATGTATTCGGTGGTTGTCATGAGATTTGTGTATTCCTGGAGATAGATTTTACTTCTAGATGCTGCATATTCTTCATCATTGTTGCTGTAAGAATTGTAAACTTATCAATTTTTGAAATGTTTTTATCAAAATGTGATTTCTACCTTTTATAACTTTCGACGAACGCAGCAGAACTTAATTTAAGTAATTTTAGCACCTTATGTCTTATATTTTCATCGCTCATAGCGCTGTTTTTATTTAATTAAATGATAATCAATTAAAAACAAAATAAAACTGTAGAAACTATCTGAAAATTGGCGGTAAAAATTCAAATTTAAAACGACAGTTAATTTTTGTACATAATATTTGAGTTTAATGCTACATTGAGGACTTTAAACTTTACACATTTAAATGACGACTGACTTTAACTTCCCATAACTTCATTAACAGCTTTATCTACAACATTCACGTCGCTAATTTCCCTATTAATCTGTTTTTTTGAAACCTCACCTGCAATTGAAAAACAGTCAACAAATTAATCATCTGAAATAGCTTAATTAATAGACAAAGACTGATAGACTTTTTTTTTTGGAAAATTCTAACTTTTTTTATTCTATTTGTAGCTTATTCAATATATATTTCACTTTATTCATTTACCACGAACAAATCTTCCGAATTACGTGAAATGCGAGCTAAAGACGTAATAAAAATTGGATAGATTATGTCCTAGACTTAATGAAACTTTCAGGCAAATTCTACAAATCAATGACATATTATGTTTTTTAAAACATTTAAGGAAAATCATAAAGAGCAATTTGAGTTAACAGAAGTCCATTAATTTTTCTTTAATAAGTGACTAAAGCAAGTTAAATGATTTATTTCTTACTTTTGTTGATCTTATCTAAATGAACTTTGTCTAAATTCTCTTCAAATGCGGAATCCTGGATGTTCAACATCAAATTGTTTGCATTAAGGTATACTTTGTTCTGTGAGTTGGCAATCTATAAATCAAATTCATAAGTTATCATTAAATCTTATTGGAATCAACAAGAATACTTACAGTACGAGCGATACTTTGGGCAGCACGGATTTTTCTGAGTTTAAGATAACCAGGATTCATGCTACAAGCTTCACCGATTTTGATGGCAGCTTCAGCTTCTCCCTCAGCTTGAACAATCTTTTGTTGACGTTCTTGCTTGGCTCTTTCAACGAAGAAAGCTGCTCTTTGGGCTTCTTGCTGTGCAACTTGCTTAGATTCAACAGCTGCTGTATATTCCTTTCCAAAACTCAATTCAGTCAATGAGACATCATCAAGGATAATGTTGAAATCAGCTGCTCTTTCTACAAGCTCTTTCCGGATGAGAAGTGAGACCTAAAATGGACCAAAAAAAATGTTAAATTCATGGATTATAAGGAACAGTATGAAGTTTTTACTTGTTGACGTTGTGTGATTAATTGAGAGGCATTGAACTTAGCAACGACACTCTTAAGGACCTCATTACAGATTGATGGAAGTACTTTTTCATCATAATCCAAGCCCAATTGACGATACATAGTTGGCAAGCTGTTTGCATTTGGTCGAGACAAGACACGAAGAGAAATGTTAACCATCTGCAAATCTTTAGATCCTGTTGGTGATGAAATCTTTCTTGGACGTGAACGAATGTCATAGATAATTGGATATTGGAACCACGGAATGCGAAAATGAAGTCCTTCTGAATGAACGTCTTGTTGAACTCCAGTCAATCTGCTAAAAATGATTGCACGATGACCACCCTCAACTGAAACATTAAGCATGACAAGTAAGATTATAAACAAACAACATAAATTACGCAATTTTAATATACGAGATACAGATAAACATTGAGGTTATGAATCTGAGCCGAAATTATCAAGAATTATTGTGAAATACAGTATAACATACCAGTATAGACTGATTGAGACATTCCATAGGCAGCAGCTCCAACACCTACTGCTAGTTTTAAGGCTAAACCAAGTCCAGGTGGTGTGCCTTTGGGGAATTTTCCAGCTAAATCATTAAACTTTGATTGTGCCATTATATTTAATTAAATGCACTCAGATTTATGATAAACTTGATTTAATGCTGCTTATGTTTATGAATTGAATTGATTAATGAGCTGATTATGCTTAAAAATCAATTTAATTAAACTTTTAAATATTTTCAAATAATCAACACAAAATGACTGGGCTCGTATGAGAGTTACGTACTTATTGGAAGTGCCAGTATCAACGGTTTATAATTTTTTGAAAATTAGACCTAGAAAGCGCTTTTCTAATGTCATTAACAGTCATTAAGTTCTGCTACTCGCAAAAAATTAAATTATTGGTTCTGTGGATATAAAAAAAATTAATTTAAATGGTTTCTTAGTATAATTAAGACATTTAATCTATATATAACTGTGCCAAACAAGCTCTTTGAATCATGTATTATTCAGTGGGATGGCCAAAGCTACTGGATACACAGCAAAAAGCACCATTAAAATTGTCAGTCGACAAAGTAAAAATTTTATTCGCAATTTTATATGAAAAGAGTATCTCGATATGGCTAATATCACCTTCAGTTCCAATAACGTATCACCGACGTAGTGACAAATGCATCCAAGAGAACGGAACTAATGCTATTGTCGAGTGGAAAGTTGATAGTTCAAAAATTGTAGTTGCTGTAAGTTTTAAAATTTTCCATTTATGTCCCACTTACAATCAAAGTTCTGCTTGCTGACTTGGATTTTTTTTTCTACGCATCTTATTGTCTAATTCCCGTTTTGTTTTGATTTCTCTCTTCTTTCTCGTGTCTGTTTATGTACCATAATGCTAATAATTCTATTATTTCTCTTACTGTATCGCAGACAAATGATGGTGCATTAATTATTTATGATGTTCAAGTGAATGATGACACTACTGGCGGTTTATATACACAGAATGATTCTCCTTTCAATTATTTACGGCGTGATTCTGCCGAATTATTCATTAAAGAGACGATTCCATCCTTAAAACTAAATTTGGTAAGTTTATATAATTACCCAATCGTCCATACTCAATAATTCATAATTTGATTAAATTATAAATTTTCTGTTCTATTTTTATTTCCATGCGAGCAGTCAATTATTGTTAAGCTATATTGTAATATAACGAGTATATCGTGCGTAAATGTGGCACAAATGATGGTCGCAACCGATAAATTAAGTATATTAAGAATCAATTGGGAAGGTGCCGAAGAACGCGATTATTCGTTGGATCTTAGAAGAATCCCTTTTAGTATAAATCAACAAGTTCATTATGGTAAGAAATTATGCTATTTATTCCATTACTGATTTAATCCGCTTGTTAGCAGACTGTTTTGTGTGAAACATGATTGAGCAGCATTTTGTCTGTGTGGATGGCAATTTTCATGGTCATTAGAATCTGAATCGAGGATTTAAATTTGAGGGATTAAGGTTTAATCCTAGGATTTAAATTAAATTCAACTAGATTAAAATTTCTTAATCAGCAAAAATTTCATTCAATGCGCTTTATTTAAGACTCTCACTCTGCAAGTTCATGCCAATTGTTTCCCCATTCTTTCATGCCTCCCACATCACATACGTCTTGTCTCGCTCATTGTTTTCCAATCAATACAAATTTGATTATAATGCATAAAATTAATACATTTTTCTCATTGATGCAGCCGTCCCTATTTTGGAAAAAGATGCCTATGTTGTGTCAATGGATTATTCTCCATTATTGGCAGGCTTTTCGATTGTCCTTAAAGATGGTCGAGCTGCCTTTTTAACATCAAGCAATTTAAAATTTGATCCAAACGTAAGGAATTTATAATTAATTAATTAATCATAGCTTTATATGAGACTTAATGTTTATATGTATTTACAGCAAGTTAGTGGAATTTGGGCTCAAAATCTAGACGATGTGACTTGCACATCAATCAATCATAAGCATAGATTAATTGCATTTGGTAGACGAAAGTATGTCACGTTAAATTTCTAATTTATTAAAATCAAAATTATTAATCATGCCTTAATGTTGTTCCAGTTGCCAAGTGAATGTATATATTGTGGATGACGTGACGGGTGGCCTTGAACTTTCCCACACAATGTCATTGAGCTCAAAAGATTTTCCGGGTTCGCCAGGCTTTGTACGTGAAATAAAATTTACACCAGACGGTTGTGCTATGGTCCTATGCTGGTCGACAGGCGGAATATCTTTATGGTCAACATATGGCAGTATGCTTATGTCATCATTAGCTTGGGATTATGGCTTAAATGTAGATTTAAATAAACAAAATCCACTTAATATTCTGAGTATGGATTGGTCGACAGAAGGTTATCAATTGTTAATGATTCAATTACATACGAAATATTCAGAAGAAGGAGAAGTATTGGAACAGCAAACGAGAGTAATTCAATTGGACTTTGTCAAAAGTGTCCTATCAGTAAATCCATCCATGAGCTATAATCCATATTTACTTCTACAAGGTGACAATAAGTTATATTTAAATCGCGGTGATGCTTTACAAAAGATGTATGCACATTATGCGACAATGGAAAAGTCAAAGAATTATTTAGATTTATACGATGGATGTGCTGAAAAGATGGAAGAAGATTATGGATATTATCATTATGGAAGTGATAATAAGAAGACGATAACATCAATAAATACGTTATCAGAGAGTAAACATTGGCTAATCATAACGTTACCAACACAGTATGCAGCATCAAATTGGCCAATTCGTTACAGTGCAATTGACTCAACAGGAAATAATCTAGCCGTAGCCGGACGTACTGGAATGGCTTTATATTCATTAATAAGCCGAAAATGGAAATTATTTGGCAATGAAACTCAGGAGAAAGATTTTGTTGTGTCTGGTGCGATTTTATGGTGGAATAATTTTGTCATTTTGGGAAGTTATAGCTTATTAGATCATAGCGACGAGATACGTATTTATCCGAAAGATTCAAAATTAGACAATAGATTTGCGTCTATAATTAAAATAGCATCGCCCGTTATGCTGATGAATATTTATAAAAATCAACTTATTATGTTCACGTCTGATGGATATGTGACAATTTTTGCGATAGTTCAAAGCACTGTGGATACCGTCAATTTAATTAAATTTAAAGTATATGATATTAAGAATTTATGTGTACATCCAGCATGTGTCGTGTCCGTTTCTCTTGCTAATTTAAAGCATGATGCTGTTACAAAAAATCCAGCATCACAATCGTCCGATACATTACTATTAAATGTGTCAGGCAAGATATTTATGTTACATTATGAAAATATTGGTGCTGAAAATCAGCAATTGGCATCGACATGCTTAGCATCGTCCGTTGAATGTATATGGGTAGCAAATTCATCAAAAATTCATTTAAAAGATTCTTTATGGCTCTTTTGTGGGAAACTTGGCATGCGAGTATGGTTACCAGTGTTTCCACGACAAGGCGAGAATGGAAGTAGAAGCTTACGTCACACATTTATGTCAAAAAGAATAATGTTGACATTTAATCTGAAGATTTATCCACTCGTAATACTTTTTGAGGAAGCAATAATACTTGGCGCTGAGAATGACACAATACTCTATACGAATGATTTAGATTTACATTTCTCACTTCCATTCTCGACAGTTGAACGCTCGACGCAAGTTTACCTTCATCAAATACTCAGGCAATTGATAAGACGAAATCTTGGATATAATGCTTGGGAAATTGCACGAACTTGTACAAATTTACCATATTTTCCTCATGCACTGGAACTTTTGTTACACGAAGTACTGGAAGAAGAAGCAACGAGTAAGGAACCAATACCGGATGCACTCTTACCAAGCGTTTTAGAATTCATTCAAGAATTTCCAATTTACCTTCAAACAGTCGTACAGTGTGCACGTAAAACTGAAATTGCACTATGGCCGTACTTATTCTCGATGGCTGGAAAGCCTAAAGATTTATTTCAGCAATGTATTACACAAAATCAATTGGAGATTGCTGCAAGTTATTTAATTATATTACAAAATTTGGAACCGTCGTCAGTGAGCAGGCAATATGCCACAATGTTATTAGACACGGCATTGGAACAGAAGAAATGGGATTTAGCTAAGGATCTTGTAAGATTCTTACGTGCTATCGATCCAAATGATGTTGAGTCACCAAGAACATCATTTATTATGGGCAATAAGTTTGGCATTACTCAGTCATCAGTTTTACCAAATTCTGAGGATTTAACGTTAATTTTGGGCAATATTACACGAGGACGAAGCTTCTCAACAACTCAAACACCTCCAAAACATGCACTAGAAACAAAACCCGCCGATGCACCAATCACTAAAGATAAGTTTGTCATATCAACGGCAATAAATCCATTAAGGAACAAACGACGAGTTTCATCGATTCCAAAAGAAAAGATTAAGATTGTTGAGGATTTCTTTATTGAGGATATCCTTCAAAGGCATGCAACGAAATTATTACAGAATCGAAAATTGGAAGATTTAGGATATATGGCAGCAAAACTTGATTTCCAGCTTGTCGGATGGTTGTCAAAGGAAAAGGACAAGTCTGCAAAAATTGATGACTTTGTGACAACATTAAAGCAATTGCATGATCAAATGGAATGGCCCAAACCGAGTATAGAGAATGTAAGAAGTAATTCTAATGATAATGGATCAACAATGTCACACACGCCAGTCACAGATAATACAGAATCTGGATATCATTCAAATGAACCGGAAAATTTTGCACCATTTTATGGTGCTTATCCTTCAAAGTCAGGTAATCTTATGGATGGGAAATTTCATGATGTTGTCGAAGCAAATCTCTTGCCAAAAATGGAAATGATGAGTGTAACATCCGAACAAGTGTCATTATGGGACGATGATAAAGCTATGAGTGGACAAGTATTTGCCAATTTTGAACTTGAGGATCAAACATATCATGCGATTGAGGAACAGAAGAAGAAAGATGCAAATTCGAAGCAAGCAATTCAGAAAATGGAAATTAAATTACGATATCTGCTGCAATTATTTATTGAAGGAGATTGTTTGGAGTTTTCCTTACTCTTGAGTATTATGCTACTCGATAAAGCTGCAGTCGTTCGAATTACAAATAAAGCTATTCGATCTAATTCACTCATCTTGTGCCGTAAATTGAGAAATGGATTAAAGGACATTACTCGATGGAGTCTGTATGAATGGTAATACTATAAACTTTTTTTTTATAATTAATGAATTACTTATGTATCATCTTCTTACAGTCTTGGATATCAGTCGTTCATGTTATCGCTGAAATCACAAATCTCAATTTTGGATAATTTTGTGATTCGTGAGGAATCAATTTCACCAGTTTTGGCGATGATGAACAACAAAGAGACGCTTACTGAACACCATCCTCATAATTCAAGTGATAATTCACTCAAGGAGGTCAGATTTTGTTTACACACATTTGTTATTTATAGTTTAAGCATTTAGTTTGCTGTGGATGAATAAGTTTGATCCAGGGTTTGATCACTTTTCATTGACTGGAAGACTTATAACATATCGAACTTTTGGGATTTGAAATTCATTTTAAATTTTGAAAAATTTCAAAAAACCGTAAAAATTTAAATTTTTTTTGACTGTTATTTTTTCAACATTTTAACTCAATTTAATTGTTGTGCCCTAGTTTATCCATAAAACCGCTTTATCTCTATTTTAATTTTAAATGTATTCACCGAACTGTTACTAATATTTTTTAATGTTTACAACATTTATTTACAGAATAATGAAAGCGAAATCAAACAAATACTAAACACAAGCGGAGCATCTACATCAAGCACTACAAATACAGTTGAGAGAAAGATCAGCGTTGAAGAGAAACGATCTGTAACAAACAGTCGATCAAGCATTACCAACAATCAGCAATTGAATGAAAGTTCTATCTCGTCAACCTCAACAAATGATCATTTAAAGAATTCAGTTCCACCAGTAAACATCAGTAAAATTAATAACGACGAGGCCGATGAGAAAAACGAGCTGATTGAAGAATCTGAGGACGGACGGTGTATTGTGATGTAATTTTTTTTTTAAGTTTCTTTCGTAGCATTGGTGCTCATTTACATTTTCTCAAAATTTAATAAAAATACTTGCTCATTCCTTTTAATAATATCAAAAATTATGTTAATAGAAAATTGATGTTAATTCCTTACCTTTATTTTTGATTCTTTTTTGTTCTAACAATTTTCCCATGAGATAAAAAATTTATAAAAAATTTTTTTGTTAACGATGTAGTGCAATTAGATAAAGTGACGATTTATTTATTCGATTTTAATGAAATTCTTCTTTTTGATGAAAAAAAAGTTAAATAAAAAATTTGTATTGGTAAAATGTTACTGATTCAAGATGAGTAGTTTTTAATTTAATATTTGAAGCCATATAAATGCTCTTAAAAGCCAGTTTATCGGTTTTCAAAATTGAAAACCGTTCAAATGTTTGAATTTTCTTGAAATTGAAGGGTTTTAGCGGTTTTCAGATTTTTTGAATCTCAACAAATGTTTCAAAACCTTTCAAATGTTCTTTAAATTGTACGGTTTCAATCGAAACATTTGTAAGGTTCTGAAATTTTCAAAAAATTAAAACCCGTTAAAATCTATTTTTTTCAAACTCCAAAAAAAGAAAGTTCAATACACTTGACATTCTTATCACCAAAACATCTGTTTAGCCTGTAACAATGCTATAAAATAATCCCAAAACTGCTTGCACGGGAGAAGTTTGTTTACTTTCCTTTACAGATGTTATGCGTTTCACAATCTATTTTATTCGTACTTCCTATATGTTGCTATATTGAGCCAAACTGATAACAAATTTGACGTTAATATTCAAATACCATAAAGCTGTCAAGTCTAATGCTCTCGCTCTCTTTCCAGTCAGATTTGTTTTAATCTCATAGCCATTTCATTGATAATGATTAATTATTTATTTGCAATGAGAGCCATGAGAAGCTATTCCATTCCTATTTATTTCCCATCAGTCTCACGTTAGTCATGGGATCGTTAAAACCTGAATTATTTAGTCTTCAAGTCGTTGACAATAAACGGCAATTAAGCACTTCTCGACAATATTCTGCAGTGTTTTGCATGAACTTGTTGACATTTTCTTATGGTTTCACATGTGGATGGTTGTCAGGAGCTCTAATAATTTTTGAAAGTGCCGAAACACCTTTGGACACAGGAAACTTAACAATTGAGGAAATTGGATGGATTGCAAGTTCAATTGCAATCGGTGGATTTATAGCCAATTTATTTTTTGGATGGGTACATGACTTTTAAGCTTTACTAGTGATTAGCATGTGATTAATTCTAATGTATTATATACGCAGTTATCTGAGAGAACTGGAAGAAAAGTCGCACTTTATGTAGTCGTTGTGCCTCAAATGCTAAGTTGGATTTTTGTCTATTATGCAAGAACTCCGTTCTATTTGATTGTGTCGAGGATTCTTGGCGGATTTGGTAATTATTTCAGCAGTTCCAACAGTTCCAACATTAGTTTTAAAGTTTATGATTTTTTTAGCCGGTGGTGGCATCTTCACACTAGTTCCTTTATATGTATCTGAAATATCTGATGATAAAGTTCGTGGAATTCTGGGGTCACTTCTAGTTCTTGTTTGTAATGCTGGACTTCTTTTCGCATACATTTGTGGTGGATATTTCAATTATTTCACTCAAATCTACTTGATACTTCCATTTAGTGCTGCATTCATCCTTTTATTTGCCAAATATCCTGACTCGCCTAGTTCGTTGATGAAAAGAAAGCTTTTTGATGTAAGTAGCAAGATTTTTTGTAACTGAAGCTTTTTGGAATAGAAATTAAGTATATTAATTGGATTTTAGGAAGCTGAGAAGTCATTCCTGTTCTACAGATCTATAGAAAAATATTCGAGAGAAGCAAAAACTCTGTTTGAGGATAGCGTATCCAATGTACACAGTAATGAAGAGAAGGACAACAAAATAACTGTTAAAGACTTCGGTAAACTAGCTTTTATGTAAATTTGAGCACTAAGAGGTCTCATAGTAAATTTTAATCCACAGCATCAAAATCATCCAAAAAAGCCATATTCTACGGAATCCTCTTAATGGCACTAAATCAATTTTGTGGATGCTTTGCAATGATTGTCTATGCAGCAACAATATTCCAGAAATCAGGCTCGAATTTGTCACCAATTAATTCATCAATAATCGTTGGATCAATTCAAATTGTTGGTGCTGTGTGCGCATCACTTTTTGTGGAACGAGCAGGCAGGAAGGTTATGATGAGCATTTCAGCATTTGGAATAGGAATTGGCTTCAGCAGTTTGGGATATTATTTATATCTACAGTCAAGTGGAGTTTATTTAGAAGGTTATAGCTTCATTCCACTTGTTGCATTTTCGTTTGCGATATTTTTGGGGAATTTAGGAGTTCTGACGCTGCCTTTTATGATCCTCAATGAGATTTCACCGCCAAAAGTAAGATAGTGACTTTGCTTATAAGTTTGTTCCTATTACATCACTTCTATTACAGATAAGAGGATTTACGTCAGTTCTGTGCATGAGCTTTCTATGGATTTTCGTATTTTGTGCAATCAAGGTGATTAAAGTTCTAGATTAGCATGTCATCCTTATTTAATTAATCAACTTCTATTTTCAGTATTTACCGAATCTTATCGAGTCACTCGAATTGCATGGAGCCACATTTCTGTTCGCATTCAATTCACTTATTGGTGGACTATTTATACTGATTTGCATACCCGAGACGAAAGGAAGAAGTGCTGAGGAAATTGTAAATATTATGGAAAAGTGAGCCTAGTTCAAAATTTAATAAAGCTTTAAAGCAACCTTGTATTTGCTCAGAGATTTTATAACTTACTTTATTAAAAATCTTATTAGGTAAAAACTTTAATTAATTAACTTAACTTTAATGTTCACAGCACTCAACTATTTATTGTCGTCCTTATTCTTCTAAATAATCAATCTCATCGACTTCCATTGGCTGAACATTTTCATTATTTCTAGATTCTTCATACAAAACTATCTGAACAAATTTCGAAATGCTCTTCAAAAATTTGCGTAGCTGATTGACTAAGTCTTTGTCCATTCCCTAAAATTACAACGATTCTTAGAATTCAATTTAAGCCATCAATATAAAGCAAAAAGCTTACCTCAAATAGCTTCTCACTAATAATAATGAACTTAAAAACAGACAAATAATTTATAATGTGCAGAATAAGCAGCAAAGCTTTAATAAGTTGTCGACATGTCGATGGCAAAATTCTCTTTTCGTCCTTCCATTTCTCCACAAACTCAATAGACTTTAATTTTGAAATGTCAAAGTATCTCCAAGTAAAGTTTGTGTCATCAACTTCATTCAATTCCGTTTTCGTGTAGAAGAATAGATTTGAGTTCAAGATGTAGTCAGACAGCACAGAATTGTAAGTGACTGTAAAGTTATAGACCGTATCCTTAAGAACTTTAACAACAACAACATTCATTAATGGATATGCTCGTTTTCTAACTTTTGTTGGATTATAAAGATCCTTATTCGAGAATTCCTTAACTTTTCCTAAAGAATCGATCAAGTTTTGATACGCAGCTGGATTTAAGCATTTAAGATCCATTCTATTAACAGCTTTAAGTCGAAGAAGTCGAGCATAAACATCAGAAATCTCATTGACAATAACTTCCAAGTCCTGATTTTGAAATTCATCATAAATTGACTGCTTAAAGCTTACTGTGCTGTAATTATTGATGTCTTTAAGTGATTGATTGAGGAAGCTGTTCATGTCTTCGACAACAACTTTTTCAGCATATAAAGTTCCAAAATCTCTCATTTGTTCGTAATTTTCAGACAATTCTTTGACATAAACTTCAGCATTATCTTGTAATTGCTCGAGAGCTTTTTCCTTATCATTCTTTAAAGCTTCAAATATGTCAATCTTCTTTAAAAGCTCTTGAAACCTTTCAGATTCCTTCATATTCTGGATTTTGTCAGTTCTGTTTCTCTTGTGAGCTCTTTCACATTTCGCAAAAATCTGTGACAATTTTAAGTTGTTGAATTGGACTAAAAGGTTTTGATCTATAACTGTGCTGTTTATGTGATTATATTGTTCATAAGCCGATGTCATTGCTGTGAAATTTACTTGTTCTTTTAATTCATTTGTGTCCAATTTTTCACATTCTTCTTGACTTGCTTTCAGTACTTCATTCATTTTGTTCAGGATATCCTTTCTGGCATTGATCATTGGATCATTTTTGTCATTATTGATTGTTGTACTAATGGAAATTTTAGTGACACGTTCATCGAGTGCTGTGAACTTTATGTCTTCGAATTTTTCAGTAATTTTAAGTTTATTATTAATTTTATCGGCAATTTTCATGTATTCCTTAACAAGTTTATAATAATCTTGAGCTACTTCAACTGGACCTTTTTCTGACTGTTCCCAAATGTTGTTCCATTCACTGTTAATTATTGCAGCTCCATCATAATGAGAAATTGATGAATTATTATCATAAAGTTTAATACAAAAAGCTCCAAGCTCATCAACTTCCAAATCATCATAATCTGTCTCGTTAGCAAGAAGATATGGATATAGCATTGACATAATGACACTTTCTAGTTTTTTAGAGCTGAGATTCTTTTTAATTAAATTTCTCATCGATATAAATGACTCACTTTCGTGGATATTCTCATCAAATTCCTGTATTGGATAGTCATCGATCGAGCAGAACTTGATTTGGTCAAATTCCTTTTCAACTGCCAGAAACTTTTCAACAAAATATATCTTAGTATCTGATGTCTTGAATAAAATTGTGTAAGCTACGGACGAAATGTCATTCCACATTTTAACATCCAAACCTGAAGTTGTGTCAAGGAAGTTGAAAACTGGACCTAAATAATCATTTTTAATCTCAATTAAAGAGTCGATTAATTTCTCAATTTTTATTAGAGTCTCAAACTCGTCATTTGATAATTTCAGATTCACCAAATGTTTATTGATTTGCAATAAATATTCTTCAGCTGTGCTTAAATTTTTCATCGATTCAGCTGTTGACAGTTCCTCATTAATTCTCCATTGTTCAAATTCTGAGATTAAATCAGTAGCCATGCTACAATCAGCCTTATTGATGCTGTCAAATAACGGAAATGCTTCATCTGATTCTACAAAATTAACAAATTTCTGGTCAAACTCGTTAAGTGCTTTAAGGACTTCCTTAGTTTCTTCAAATTTGTCATGCTTAATCGATTCTGAGAGGGTTAATTTAGCTGCTGCAATTTCATTATCTACAAATTTATTGGGGTCATAATCAGCATCAAAATATTCATCCATGCTTAATGTTGTGAATTTTGCAAAGCCTTCAAGGAAGTAGAAAATTAGTTGTTCACGTGCTTCTCCTTTATAAGACTCTGCAAAACAGTTAAGCTCATGATGCATCTCTTGGAAATTATTAAGGATATTTTCAGACGTCAAAATATGATTTAAATTTACAAAACATTCTTGTTCCTTCTTGTGCTCGTCGCTGACACTAGCATTGATTTCTTGCTTAATATTCTGAACTTTTTCATCTATTAAACCTTTTTGTGTGTTGAAGAAATCAATTTTTCGTTCATTAATGATATAAAGTAGTGAGAAAAAACTCTTGTTTAATTGGATTCGCTCATAAATGTCATTTCTGAGCTGCACCTTTTTGGGAATTTCCCTAAGAACTGTATCTGCTACAATTTCGTATGACCTAGACATTGCTTTTTGTTTCACGACGCCCTAAGATTGAATTTCCTTTTATTGAAAGGATTCTTAACATTTATTTGAGTGATTTCACTTACCTCACGTCGCTCAACCATCTCAATTATCTCTTCATGTTCAATCATTTTAATCAGCATGTTCCAGAAATCATCACCAGCAAATTTGCTGACTTTTTTGATATCATCATCCATTAACTTATGAATCGTAAGATTGTTGACATTTTGAAAACCTAAGCTGATCAATGCATGATGGAAAATGCTCAATTCACATCGTTTCTTGTTGATAAAGATCCCTTTTGGATTTTGAAGGACTCGCTTTAACTTTAGCTCATTTCTTATTAACTTGAATTGAATGATCCTTATTATTTGATTCAACATTGTCTAATTAAATGTATCTTACCCAATCGTAGTGACTAAACTTGTCGCCTTCCTTTTGATGCAATGTTATTTCCACAAATGACTCTCCTTTATGGTCCTTATTAATGATATCTTTGTAATCAAACTTTGAATCATATTTTAAGTCAAATATAAGCATTAATCCTTGAATGATTCTTTTGTCATTTATGCTGTTTACATAGTTATTCTCAGAATCTGTGTTTTGGTCATCTTTGTATGTAAAGTTTTGTTCCTTGATGTCTTTAATGCCCAATAAACCACCAATTTTTATCTTAAATGATTGACAGCGATTAAACAGTGATGAGATATATAAAATAACATTATTACTACTTACATTCTTAATAAACATTTTGAGCTGGTAATTTATTTAAACAATATTTTAAAATTTTATGTGTATTTTGGCGCCAAATTTATTGATTACAGATTTCTTCACTTTTCACTCACTTATTTGATGACTTTTCATACTCATATGTTCTATTTGAAGCTGATTTTCAAAGGAATTACTTGGTTATACTTTCAATTTTACTAAAACACAGTAAAATAATTAATTTGTAGATTTTTTTGAATAATTCTTGAGCATGTTTACACAATTTAAAAAAAAGTCGTTGCTGAATTTGCTGAATGAAAAATTTGAATTTAAAAAAGTCGTTATTGAATGAAAAGTTAAATTTAATAAACTTAAACTTTATAAGGATAATTAAACTTAACTTCTGTAAAATTAAAAGCTTAATTTTCAAAATATTATGTTTTAAAATTATTTCAAGGCAGATAATCAAGAATTCAATTAATTTTAAAGAAATTAATTTAAAATATCCGAATTTTAAAAATTCTAAACCAAGATATAAGGGGAGAATCAACCGAATACCTATAATATTTGTTTACTAGTGCAGTGGAATTTCAAAAATTTGTGCATAAAATATTTTTTAACTTATCAATATCCAAAAAAGTAAACTCAGCAATCTTATCAAAAAAATCAAAGTGAAAAATTGCAGTTTTGATTGAATAAAAAAATAAGAAAAAAGTGTTCATTAGTGCCATAAAATCACAAGATAAGTTGTGCAATAAATTTTATATCGTAAAGCGGGAAAATCGTGGAAAATTGCGGTGAAGCATGGGAAAATCTGTTCAAAATTCAGATGATGATTCGTATGGTGAGTAAATCCTTTTTTTTTAAAATATCTTATTTACGTCAATTGAGCTCAAAAAGACAAACAAATTTTGTATCAAAATAATAAGAGTAAAAATTTCTGAGAAGTATATTCGTGTAAAAATCTTAAGTCACATACAATAATATAAAAAAAAAGAAAGAAAGAAAGAAGGAAAGGAATAAAAAGCAATAAAAACAAGTCAATGAAGCAACAAGCGACGAGAAGGAGAAAAAAATATTGTTATGCTAAGTCTTTCTTGTCAAAATAAGAGACTAAACGAATTTACTGTGAAAATTAAATCTAGCTTGATGTCATTGAAGATGATTTTGATGACTAATGAAGCTCAAAAAAAAACAAAAATAATATCTGAGATGCTGCGAGTTTTGCAACCTTGTGATTTCCTGTATTTGTTTTATGATGTATATCACTTGAATCTGTTTGTTTATTAAGTAATCACGAATTGCTGAAAAATAATCATCTCGTCAGCATATTCAGGTTTTATTTTTAACATTTCCGTACTCTTAGTTCTCTGAAAATTAGAATCGCTGGTGAAGACACGTTTCTTTTGACACTGACTGATGAAAAAATTGCAATCTCGGAAGCATGTGCAAGCTTTTAACGGTTGTTATTTGAATCAGTCAAAAATTCCAAAACCATACAAAGGTAGTCTAAAAGTTATCAAAACCGTACAAATGTTTGCGAAATTTAAATTCCAAAAAGTCGTTATCCAAAAAAATCACATTCTCAACATTTCATTAATAATTAATCCACCTAAATCAAGTCAATCCTAACCAGCTAGATTATTTTTAGCACATGGATAAATTTGAGGATTCAATTGAAGGATCATAAAGAGTCAACATCAATATTTTTAAGCAAATAAAAAAAAATGTGTATAAATTGTCATATGCCAGAGATTGGCATATCATCCACTGTATAGAGTTCAACATCAAAAAAAAACATAACTCGCGCGCGTTTCTTCTTAATCCTGAATTTTAAATTTATCTGCCATTAACTTTCCTTTCATCGCATGTATGAGCTATGATTGTGTACACAAAAATGATATGTTCGAGGAGACGAGAAAAGAAAAACATATTAATTTTCCATGACTCGTGCGGAAAATCCTCTCACATAGAAAACGTATATACGGTATATTTGTTTGTGGATATATATATCAAGATCCCCCTTCGGCAACATATTCACTCATAATATATGTACACAACACATAAATTTGTCCCGGCATATTCAACAAAAAAAAATAATAAAATGAGTGTGTACATAATACAACACAATACAGTACAGACCGAGAGATATGATGATGCTCACCGAGATTATACGATTACACAATATTTAAGCAACAATTTGTTTGCTGCTGTGTTTAGTCTCCCATCGTACACACACATGTTTGAATGCCGAACATTTTGGGGGAAATTTTTCTTCTTCCTTATCATAATAATAATAAGCAGAACTAGCTTTTTCATCGGTATTTTCAAGAGAGCCAAATATCCACAAATGAGAATTTATTAATGGGATTGAGAATCGCTCCTTGTGCATGTGTATTTATGCAGCGGCATTTAAATTGACACGTAGTTTAATTGGTCATGTAAATTTGTTGTAGCCAATTTTCTATAAATTTGCTGTGGATAATTGGAATATTGTATGTTGCACAATAATTTGTATTTCATATTAATCTACTATAAGCATCCCCCAGAGCCTCGTGCTTGCTCCAAATACTACTCACTCTCTCGTAAACATTTCTCTCCAATTGAATTTTCAACTTTTTTTGTTTTTTTTTGTGTGTTATTCTGAAAGAAAAGAAAACCGAAAGCAAGACAGCATGTTGTCGCTTAGAGGGATCTCTCAAACACGAATACACGAGTAATACGAAATTGTATGCCGGGGGAGAAGAATGAAAAATCCGAACGAAAACACAAATTTTTTATATTTTTTTATATTCAAGTCGCTCTGACACTCTGGCTGTAAGGGAAAAGCTTCGACGGCGGGAGAATGAAATAGAGAAGAAAGAAGAAGAGGAAATGAAAAAAAAAATATACGATTTTCATCGTGTTGATTCTGTCAGTAATGTTTATGAACCCATTGAGTGAATAAGTGAATCGTTTAAGCTCTGACCTCGTGAGTGCACTTTTAATTCTGAATTAAGAATTTATTTTATTATTTTTTTGTGGTCTCTCGGATGACGACATGAAAAAATAATAATCAAGGATATTTATCGAGGAAAGCTCATCCCTTTTGTGGCTGATAATAATAATAATAATAATTGAAAGTTGTGGGAAAAAATTCAATCTCGTGCGATCATTTTCCCGTCGATTAACAGTGACACAAATTTCGCACAACATTAAAAAAAGCAAAATTAAGTGAGCAGCAAAGAAAGGAAAGAAAAGTCATGAAATTTAATTTGTGTTGATTTCTCGCCGTATTTTTCACACGATTTCCTTATTTTTTGAGGACATAAACGGAATTCTCATTTTTTTTTTGGCGCACAACTGACAATTTTATGAAAATTTTTTGATTGATAAATTTCATCGCATGCACGCCAACAATTTAATGTGAAAGGAAAATTCTAGTTGAGTGCAAAAAAAAAGAAAAGTAAGCGGCTCTAGTGACGAAAAGTGCCGTGAAAAAAAGTTTTATTTTTTTGTTTAAAAGAAAAAGAAAAAGAAAGAAAAAAAGTTCTCTTCGAGAGAAAAGTTATTTTTTTGTGAAAAGTTAAAATTAGAAAATCATTCAAAATAGCTAACGAACAGAGATTTTCACATTTTCAAGACACAATCTTCCGTCAAAATTTTCCGACTATGGATTGTGACTACTCGAAGCTGTTTTATAAACGTAAGTTTAAAAAATTATTTAATTATCTTCGCTTTTCTGGAAAATATTAATTATGAACAGCATGATGATGATTTTACAGTTTCTTATTATGACACAAAATTGAAGTCAAATTTTTATAAAGTTACAATGCAGCCTTGCTACAATTTTCTACAAAAAAGATTAGTGAAATTCGATCCGCTGATTGCTGAATAGTATAGTATGTAAATGCCGACGTGATATGACGTGCTGGCTTGACGACAAAAATTTTCTGATAAGCGGCAAGTGAGAAAATATCAGAAAAGGTGCAATTTTACAATCAAGCCTCAGTTTTGTGCTGTCGATAGCACAAAAATCGGATTTGCGCGTTTTTCCACATTTAAGAATTATTGCATAGTTTGCAATATAATTATTATTTTGCAACATAGTATATCACGCTTTTCTAGCTTTTTGCCTCTCTCTCACGCCTGGACAGACTATTTTTGCAATTATTCAGAGCAAATTTTCTATCAAAACGTGACTCCTTGTATGCTCAATTTGATCGACTGACCGATATTTTGAATTCCTTGATAATTAATTTGTTTTACTACTGAATTAGTAGGGTTGATAATTAATATATGAAGTTAAGTTCTTGATAGAATTTACTTTATCTATCGCTAATCTTTGGACTAGTTGAGGCTTAGGCATAAATTTTATCTTATTTTCTTTTATGCTAATTCGGATTAATTTATAAACTTTAGTTTTTACAAATCTGAACTATAATTGATCTAACCTTATCAATAAATTATTTGATTAAGCTAATCTGAGACTAGTTTAGTAAACAATTGATAATACAGCTACAATTAAAATTCCAATCGAACAATAATCGTGTCAATCTAAAACCTCGTAACCTAATCAATTAAACTTTGTTTATGAAACTGAATTTTTGTTGTTTTTCGACAATAAATTTGATAAATTTGTATGATATCCACCTAGATTTTCAAAAAACAACAAAACTATTTGGTGCTAATAGTCAAAATATCCAAAAGCTTCTCAAAATTCTTAGTTTATACAAAAATTCTAAACTATTTAATTAGTCCACATAAATCCAATTTAAAATGAAAAGCATTATTAAATTATGCATCACAAAATGAATATAATCTCTTCAACATCAAGCTACTAACATGAAGCTAAGTAAATGCGCATAAATATTCAATCCACTTACTAGCTTACTTATTTACTTACATTTCAAATGTCACTGTCAGGGACGAGTGAGTGTGTAATATTCTAATTTGAAAATATCTCAAGGCAAGTTTGTATCATAATCCCTGAATATCACGATTCTCATCGGCATTAAAAAATTTTTTTTTCGTCAAACAATGCAGTGCATGTGCAAATAGATTTTGCAAAATAATAAAAATAATTATGAAAAATTATCAGCAATAGTTGATTTTTATTAATTGTTACAATTTTTGTAAATACAATTTATTAATTATGAGTCACAGATTAATATAATATGCCTATTATTATCATTTGCCATTGATGTCATTAGTTTTTTTTTGTGCTCATTAACGAGCTGCAGGAAAAATTTAAATTAATGTAATTAAAAATATTTTAATTAAAAG